AGACTCTGAGTAACTTATTTGGATGTCATACTCACCTAATGAATTACACAGAAGACTAAAAGCTAGCTACCGAAGGCCTTGGTAAAATAAAGGACGTTGTCAGAAGTAGAGCTGTGCCAAGAAAATGGACATCTACCTGCAGTCTTATGATAAATTCTGTATGTTAAGAGGTTGCTTTGCATGTGCAACCTTATGACTGGAGCAACACTGCCTTAGTATGTGTTAATAAGATGTCTGCTTCTGTAACTCCAAATAGTTAATAATAGGAGAGAGAAGGTGGTTGGAAATTAAGTATGAGCTGTTTTGTGGAGCTGGAGTGTTGTCTGGTGTCTCTGTTTTGCAAAAGAATCAAACATGAAGTGTCTTGCTTTTGCTGTTGTTTGCTCATGTTTTTGAATATCAGAGTTGTTGGATGGTTAGCAAATGTTCCCTGCCTTTTATAAGCTAGCTTTTGGCTGATTGCCTTGTACTGTAAAACAAGGCATCAAAGCATCTCAAGTATCTCAAGTTTTCTGTTGATGCTCTGCTGGAATTGCAGGTTCCTGTTTTCTTCAAAGGCTTGTATGTTGCTCCTGCTGTGTAACCTATTTTGGCAATGTCAGCTGCGTATTTGTTTGTAGCCTGCTTAAAGTTTTGAATGATATCAAAAAGAAAATGAAGTGTGTTGATCTCAGCAACATGGTAGTTTGAAGCTTTGCTTGCGTTTCACCACTAAGTACAGACCTAAAGGCTGCAATGTAGGGTATGCTCCAGGCCATGCTGGAGTCATATTTCTATTGCACACTCTCATGCTCTAATTTCTTTTTCTTCTCCAGTTTGCGCAGAAAAGTTAATCATATTGTTCCATTATTCTTATTGTTAACAAGTTTCTTTAAATTTGGTGTCAGCTGCTAACAAGATAAAATTTGTGTCTGTAATAAACCTGGCAATTGGTGCTACAATTACAAAAGCCTATTATGGAGTGTCTTAGTGTTAATAATGTGCTGGTGTTCTTCATTATGCCTGCTGTCCTCTGCTAACAGAAGCTTGAGCTTAAATTGAGAGTTTAACCCCAAAGTAAATCTGAATAAAATAATTTATATAATCATATTAATGTTAAAATCATTGAAGAGGCCACACACATGTTCTCCAGAGCATAAATGTGGAGTACAAGCAGTAATTCTGGGGCAAGTACTTTTGAAATAGAATTAATACTGTAGAAAGTAGGTGAAGTGTTTATTGGTCAGTGATGACTCATATGCACATATACTTTATTCTAGAGAATGGGTAAAGGAGCTACAAGCCTTTGAACTGGAGGCCAGAAATAACTGGATTGACAGTAGCTTATAGAAAAATATGCTTTGCAAAGTATTAATGCCTACTACAAATGCCACTGCATTGTACTTTGTACTCAGAAGGACTTGCAGCCATGCCATGCGTGGCTAGTGTTTGTCTCATCTGAAACAGAAAACTAAGGAGGTAAATTAATTATATGTTAAATATATCTTGTTAGGTATATATTCTCTACTCTTCTTTGCATGACCTGTAAAATAGCTTCTTGTAAATTTATTTTTCTTACAAGATTGGCTATAATTCCTTTGGTGCGTGAAGATGCTCACATAACTAGGTAAAAAAGGCTGCTTTTATTGAAGATAACATAGTTTGCTTCAAGAAACTAAGGCTTGCAGGTGCTTCAGACGTGCCATACATTACTTTCTTAGTACATTAGCACTTCGGCTTAGTCAGGCAGTCAAGCTGTGTGAACAGCACTCAGTGGCATGTTCGTTTTAGACTGATACAATTATTCAGTAATGAGCCATTTGAGGAAATGTATTGACATTGACTTCACAACAAATAGAAATTAGTTAAGTAGGTTTTTTTAGGGGGGTTGTTTTTTGTTTCTGTTTTTGGTTTTGGTTTTTTTTTTTTTTTGCTACTGCTATAAAACTAACATTTCAAGAAGAGTTTTATAACAAAAAGTCTATGGGGAGGAAGGTTTAATAGAGCATTAAGTGGGACTGTTGTGTGACCTGGTGCCCACCATCGAGCTTCCTGCCTCTCCTTTACTCTTGCTGTAGCCGTTGGCCAACAGTTACTGAAAGTAATAATTTAAATCAGTATTACCGGATTGGGACTTCATTTGGCTTAGTACTATATTTTATTACAATGCTGCTATAGTAATTTAATAACTGCTACTTCTTATTGTATTGCTGGACATTCCAGGTCTTTCTGGGCAATGAATTGCTGAAAACATAACCAAGCCCTGTTCACTCTCATATACAGAGTACTAGCTCTGACCTTAAGCTTTTGTTGCATTTTCTGTATTTCTCATGTTACTAATTATTAGCACTATGTAAAGGTAGCATATCCATGATTTAGTGTTCAAGAGTGCTAAATTGGTCTTATTTTTTAGTCCTGTCCTTTAAATTATTTAAAAAATGATTTTTTTTGTCTTTTAAAGGCTTCAAGTCCACTGAAGTAAGTACAAGGCATTCCTATACTTGGAGATGCTCAGGTGGTGAGCAACTTGATAAAAATGGAAATAAGTTCAGAAAAAAAAACCAGCTTCAAGTGCAGGAAATCAATTTATACCACAATAGCAAATAGAAATAAGTCACTTGAGAGCTGGTGCAGAAAGGGGCCAGAGGGAAGATGTGATACAGGTAGAATTAGGAGGATGATAGAAAGATGGGCATGAAGAGGGCAGATTAACTGTGAATGTCACATTATTCATGGTTAAGTGATTTATTCTTTTAAAGCTTGTGAGTTTTTTCCTTTTAGAAATAAATAATAGTACAAGTGATTTTTATGAAATCTGATAGTAATAATCTTCTAGAGGTGAAGTGGAATTTAAGAATGTGCCTATTTTTTCCAGGGCATGCTATAGGAAGCCCTGACACAATGTGTTTTCAAAGTGTCCCATTGGGATTGTTCACTGTGCTGTGAACTGAGGTTCTGGTACATTTCTTTCTGCTCTCATATGGCTTAATGTGTGATGGTTTAGATTTCGTGCTTTTTGCCTAATTAAGGTGACCTGTGATGTCTAATGAGGGGTGAAGGCATTCTACCTCAGTACAGGCATTTTGTGTAGCATCTGCTTAGGTATCACCCAGCAGTTAAAGCTGTATCACTTTAAACAAGAGAAAAAGTAGTTCTAACCTGAAGCAAGTTGGCTGGTGTACTTTCTTGGGGTGAGATGAAATGCTATGCTCTGTAAGTTGTAGTATCAGCATACGATAATCCGCATCAGAAGTATGACAGGCAAGCTGAAACCTTGGAGTAGGGGTGGATTTATTGTTTTTTAAAAGCCAAACACCTCTACAGAGTGTTATGTTACAGCATCAGCAGGGCAAGTCGTTCACCGAGTTCTTTGAAAAGCAGTGTGCTTTAAGTGCTTGACTGGCTTGTCGGGGAAACAAGAAAGGGAAGAAGGTTGTCTGTGCATATGCTGCTTTTTTTTTGGTGGGATAAATAATGAGATGTTTCCAAAGACACATTTGTGCTGTCATTTCATTTTATAACTTAATTGCAGAAACAGAAATAGGTACAACTGAGAAGTAGCTAGCACTTGCTGGAGTGAGACATTCTAAAAGAAGCTCTTCATTATCCAGCATGGTATCTCTTTACATTATTTTTTTCTGCATTATAGATGAGAGCATCTTAATTGTTTACCAATTCTATGTGAAATTATTGCCTTAAGAAGCCATGCTTGATGCCTTTTTGCATTAACATCAATAAAATATCTTTTATCTTAACACTGATGCTGAGAACTTACCCTTTTGCTAGAATATGGCAGTATCTGTTGAACCCATGTAGCAGTGCAAGCAGTGCAGGAAACCTGGAGACTGAATTTGCTTAAATTGATCAGTTGCAATGAATTGTGAGTGATAGCTGCATGGGTAGGTTAGTTTTCTGAGGCTGTGGATGAAAAGTGTTGTTCCCATACACTTAAAGCAGGGAGCAAATATTGGGAACTTGCCTGGGGAACCTACTCTTTCCCTCCTTCCCTAAGGACATTTTTCCTGTAACGTTCATGCTTATCACAGTTTAAGTGTAAAGCTGAAAATTTCATTTTAAAATGAAAGACTCATAAACCCTTTGACAGTTTAGCTTAGAGCAAGGAATATGGGATGTTAGGGCTTCATGAATGTATTCTCTCTACAGCAGTCATTTTCCTTGAGTTATTATAGTACCTTTTTGCCCTTTGTGCAATGATAGCAAAAGCAGGCCTGATGTATGTGTTGCTTTCTTCTAACTTTTTTGGTAGAACGTGCCCTAGGTGTACTTGTCTTGTCATTTCTGGCCCTTCTGGAGTGAACTGGGAGATTGCTTCTCCCTACAGTTATCATAGTCTTTTCTTAGTGAGTAATTGCAGATAAAATAGGGATAGCTTAAAATATTCCGTGGAGGAGGGGAGGGCTGCACTGCCTGTTCTGATCCTTTGTTAGGATTGGATGGGGCTAAATGAGTAGGAGAGAAGTAACTCTTAAACTGCTTGAGTGGTCTGTACAGAGGACGTACAATACTGTTCCTTCCCAATTTTTTTATTGCATCTTCCCCAGTCCTTAATGTAATATATTGGTTGTCTGTTAGGACAAAATAGAAGGACAGGTTTAAAATGCATTTGTGCCAGCACCTGATTGCATAATTCAGTTTCTTATACTATACATCACTTGTACCTAGAGCTGCAGGTGCTTCAAGTACTGTATATGCAGGTTGTAGTCACTAAAAATTCATACTGCTTCTGGAGGGAAGTGTTTAAACTTGCATACCAACCACATCTTATGTTTTAAAAACTAGTGAACTTTATTATGTTAATTTACCTTACAGGCACCAGGTGTTTTCTCTGTTTCATAGGGTATTGGTTGTGCTCAGTCATAAGCTAAAAGTGAAAACTAGACCTTTAAAACTCAAAAACCCTTCAGGACTCTTCTTAAACTTTATATAGGTATCTTAAATGAGTTTTAAAAACATCATGGTTAAGATGCAATTTCTTTGTGTTTTTCTCTTCTTAAAAGCAGGTGAACCAAGGGTGGTGTGTTTCCAGAACATACTTTTTCTTCCACATAGGAGATAAATGTGTTAAGCTGGCAAGGTAATTCTGGTAAGAATTTTCCCATTACTTCTACAGTGAATGTCATTATAAGTATTCAGTCTTACCCATAGGAGGAGCTTTCTGTACCACTAGTTCTGGCAGACTTGAGCTTTCATACAAGGTCTTTTTTTTCACCTAATAATTGCATGTACATGTTTGTTGTATTAATCTATCTGCTGTTTTGCAGTATTAATCTATCTACTGTTGTATTTATCTACTGTTTTGCAGTATTAATCTATCTGCTATTTTTAAATGTTATATTTTAACTACTTTGGCTCTGTTGCATATTCTATGCTTGCATATGAAGAAAATATTTGACTTTTAAAGATTTTATTTCAGCTGTTTATGTAGAAATTAAAGCAGTTCAGTATGCTGTAGTATCAATTGAATGGGGTTTATGTGGATTAAATGGTCCGGTTTCTGTAGCTGCTCTCACTGATTCTTGTTTCTGTTTTTCCTTCCTCAGTGATACTCTTGAGTGTTTTTCACAGCTGTCCTGCATTTCTGGTTTTGTTTGATTCATGTTTAAATGTTTCAACATGTACTAGTGCTGACCAACAAAGAATGCTGTGGCATGAGAGAAAATGCATTTTTATAAGAGTGAATAGACAAAGTGTTGAGGGCCTTGTGCACATTATCTGAAATAAAATAATTCAGTTTGGGAAATAGTATCAATGCTTTTGGAATTTTCTCCTGGAAATTCTATTTGCAATAGAATTATGCTTTGAATTAAGTACACTATAGCAGTGCCTGCCACCCACTCAGTCTTGCTTGAGGGAAAACACTGAGCTGGTAAATCTAAACTGTTGTATTTATGAAATTCCCACATTTATCTTAACTACTTAATTTTTCCCCCCCTTGGAGCAATCTGTACTGTTGGAATACATAACATGATGGAAGATAATGTATTCAAATAAACTATTAAAGAACATGTTTTCTGTACAGTGCTACGTAAGAGCTGCCTGATTTCCCCTTATGCTTCAGGTCAGATACCTTTCAGAAACAGACAAAGGTTGAAGCTCAAATGTATAGGTTACAAAGAAAAGCTGAAACGAAGTCGTTGGCTTTCATTTATGCAGTGGGAGGAAATGTTGTGTGTCACAGGCTTTTACCTGATAGATGTATAAAATGAGTGTTTGGGGTTGTGAGCTCTTCGCTAAAGTTGCACTGAAATAAAAGAAATTATCTAAGGTTATCCTTCCCATTCCCTCCCACCTGCATTAGAATATTTATTCCTTAGTTCTACAGACTCTCCATGCCTTAGGGGCAGGTAGGGTGGGATACAGAGAAGAAACATGCCTCTCTTCCCAACCCCCACCATGTTCTCTTTCCATAAGGAATGTATTTTCTGACAGGTTTAATTTCTGTACTTTCCTCTACTTACAGCTCAGACATGAGCAGTGCCAGTAACTCACTGGCACGGGAATTCTTGACGGATGTCAACAGGCTGTGCAATGCGGTGGTGCAGAGGGCAGAGGCCAAGGAAGATGAAGAAGAAGAAACTCATATGGCAGCACTGGGACAGTACTTGGTTCAAGGCCGTGGGTTTATTTTGCTTACCACACTGAACTCAACTATTGATCAGGTAGTACTTTTTCTTACCAGGTTGTAAATTTTTATTGAGCTTTGACTGTGAATTTGGCTCAGTGCTGGTTTTCTTGCCCTTTTATGATAGAGAATGTGAGTTAATTGTGACAAGTAGGAGTTCAAGAGGGTATGTTTGCACTTGCATTCTGTCCTTCAGCAAGAAGAGAAAAAGCAAAAATTAGCTAATCATACCTGTTTGCTGGTTGATGCTGATGGTTGCTAAGCTTCTGTCTAATTGAGGCGCATGTGAAGCTCAAGTGCAGTGCTGGGTGGAAAGAGGCAAGGGGCTGGAATTTCCAAGAGAATGAGTGTTTACTGAGCCTTCAGTGAAGAGGGTCCTCTTGGTTTAAGGTAATGAAATGAAGATGTACATGTTTTTATTCATGTGCCATGGGATGGTTTTGCTCTTTAAGTAACTTGCTTTTGAACATAATAGAAAGGAAATATTTTGTGACTTTAGCTCAGAAGAGAAAGCATTTTAGAAGAGGTAGTCAGTTTATACTGAGTTTTTTAGATAAAAAGTCTAGCACACATCCCTGTAGCTGCTGTTCATGCCTTTCTCTTCTCCTTCCTCTTCAACACTCTTGGTTATGTACTAAGCAATGGAGTAGGATGAGATGTTCATTAAATTTTTGTGCTTTGAAACTGCAGATCTCAGTGTTTAAAAATAATGAACCAAGTGAACCTTGGTGGGGTTTATTCAGCCCTTGTCTTAACTGAAGTCAGCTGTTAATGCTGCTCAAATTCATCTTGACTCCTTCCCACTTGTAGAGCCATGGGGTTTTTTAGATGTCACTCAAGGCTGCATAGTTGCTGTTAATAACAGCTTCAGGATTAGAGCTGCCAGAAAAACAGCTGTATTTCATGAATGAATTAAATGAGGGATTCCCTGTGCCTCCCCTCCAGTAAAAAGCCAATTACTTTTCAGGTTTCATTGTATTGTATCAATAGTTTTAGATATTTTTAATTTTTGTTTAAAATGATAGTATCATGAGACAAATGAGAGTATGGAACTCTGCCTGGGAACAGGTGGGCAGTCAACAGAGAGTTTGTGGATCAGGGTTAAAGGGAGAACAGTGATGGGAGACATTACTGTGGGGATCTGTTACAGACCGCCTGATCAAGAGGAATCTGTGGATGAAGCACTCTATAGACAGATAGGAACAGCCTCACACTCACATGCGCTCATTCTCATGGGGGACTTCAACCACCCTGATACCTGTTGGAAGGATGGTACAGCCCGGCACAAGCAATCCAGGAGGTTCCGTGGAAAAGGAGAATCTGTGGATTATGGAAAGAGGGGCTGGCCACTTGGGAGGAATATAGGACAGTTGTTAGAGGATGTCTGGAGGCAATTAGGACAGCGAAGGCCTCCTTGGAACTTAATCTTGCTAGTCGGGTTAAGGACAATAGAAAGGGCTTTTTCAAATACATAGCAGATAAAACTAACACAAGAGGCAATATAGGCCCACTGCTGAACAAGGTGGGTGCCCTGGAGACAGAGGATATAAAGAAGGCAAAGGTGCTGAATGCCTTCTCTGCCTTTGTCTTTACTCCTGCAGACTCTGGGGGCCCCAGATTCCTATTGCCCCAGAAGGAGTCAGGACAAAGGAGGAGTTTGCTTTGGTAGATGAGGATTGGGTTATGGATCAGCTATGCAATCTGGACATCTATAAATCGATGGGTCCGGATGGAATACACCCATGGGTGCTGAGGGAGCTGGCGGAGGTCATTGCTAGGCCACTCTCCATCATCTTTGGTAAGTCATGGGAGACGGGAGAGGTGCCTGAGGATTGGAGGATGGCAAGTGTCACACCAGTCTATAAGAAGGGCAAGAAGGAGGACTCAGGTAATTATAGACCGGTCAGCCTTACCTGTGTCCCTGGAAAGGTGATGGAACAACTTATTCTTGACTCCATTTCTAGGCATATCAAGGATGAGGGGGTTATTAAGAACAGCCAACATGGTTTTATGAGGGGGAAGTCATGTTTGACCAACCTTATAGCCTTCTATGAGGAAGTGACTAGGTGGAGGGATGATGGTAGAGCAGTAGATGTGGTTTTTCTTGATTTCAGTAAGGCATTTGATACTGTCTCCCACAGCATCCTCATAGATAAGCTAAGGAAGTGTGGGCTTGACGATCAGGTAGTGAGGTGGATCAAGAACTGGTTGGAAGGAAGAAGGCAGAGAGTTGTGGTCAATGGTGCAGAATCTAGCTGGAGGTCTGTGACTAGTGGAGTACCTCAGGGGTCGGTGCTGGGACCAGTGCTATTTAATATTTTCATCAACGACCTGGATGAGGGAACAGAGTGTACCCTCAGCAAGTTCGCTGATGACACTAAACTGGGAGGAATGGCTGACACACCAGAAGGCTGTGCTGCCATTCAGCGAGACCTGGACAGGCTGGAGAGTTGGGCGGGGAGAAACTTGATGAAATTCAACAAGGGCAAGTGTAGAGTTTTGCATCTGGGGAAGAACAACCCCATGTACCAGTACAGGTTGGGGACTGACCTGCTGGAAAGTAGCGAAGGGGAAAGGGACCTGGGGGCCCTGGTGGATAGGAGGATGAACATGAGCCAGCAATGTGCCCTTGTGGCCAAGAAGGCAAATGGCATCCTGGGGTGCATTAGAAAGGGTGTGGTTAGTAGGTCAAGAGAGGTTCTCCTCCCCCTCTATTCTGCCTTGGTGAGGCCGCATCTGGAATATTGTGTCCAGTTCTGGGCCCCTCAGTTCAAGAAGGACAGGGAACTGCTTGAAAGAGTCCAGTGCAGAGCCACAAAGATGATTAAGGGAGTGGAACACCTCCCTTATGAGGAGAGGCTGAAGGAGCTGGGTCTCTTCAGCTTGGAGAAGAGGAGACTGAGGGGTGACCTCATCAGTGTTTACAAATATGTAACGGGTGGGTGTCAGGATGATGGAGCTAGGCTTTTTTCAGTGATATCCAGTGATAGGACAAGGGGCAATGGGTGTAAACTGGAGCATAGGAGGTTCCATGTTAACATCAGGAAGAACTTCTTTACTGTGAGAGTGACAGAGCACTGGAACAGGCTGCCCAGGGGGGTTGTGGAGTCTCCCACATTGGAGATATTCAAGGCCCGCTTGGACGAGTTCCTGTGTGATGTACTCTAGGTTACCCTGCTCTTGCAGGGGGGTTGGACCAGATGATCTCTTGAGGTCCCTTCCAACCCTTGGGATTCTGTGATTCCTTGATTGTGTGGAAGACAACTTCCTTGTGCAAGTAATAGAGGAGCCAACAGGGAGAGGTTCCATGCTTGACCTCATGCTCGCCAACAGGGAAGGGCTCGTTGGAAACATGGTGCTTCAGGGCAGCCTTGGTTGCAGCAACCATGAGATGGTCGAGTTTGAGATCCTCAGGACAGGGAGAAGAGTGCAGCAAGCTCACTGCCCTGAACTTCAAGAGGGCAGACTTTGACCTCTTCAGGAACCTGCTTAGTAACGTTCCATGGGATATAGCCCTAGAGGGCGGGGGGCCCAAGACTGTTGGTTGATATTCAAGGATCACCTGCTACAAGCTCAGGAGTGTTGCATCCCAACTAGAAGGAAGTGCAGCAGGAGGGCCAGGAAACCTCCTTGGATGGGTAAGGAGCTCCTGAGGAAACTTTGAAGGAAAAAAGGGGCTTATAAAAGGTGGAAGCAAGGACAGGAGGCATGGAAATAATACAGGGATGTTGTCCGGGAAGCTAGGGACCAGGTTAGGAAAGCTAAGGCCCAGTTAGAATTAAACATGGCTAGGGATGTTAAAGATAAAAGGAAGGGATTCTACAGGTACATTGCAAATAAAAGACAAGTGACAACGTGGGCCCTCTCCAGAAGCCATCAGGAGAACTGGCTACCCTGGATTTGGAGAAGGCTGAGGTTCTGAATGACTTCTTTGCCTTGGTCTTCACTGGCAACGGCTCTGACCGCACCACCCAAGTCTTGGAAAGTCTCACAAGACTGTGAGAATGAAGACCTTGGGCCCAGTGTAGGAGAGGATCTGGTTTGAGACCTTAAGAACCTGAATGTGCACAAGTCCATGGGTCCTGATAAAATCCATCTGCGGGTCCTGAAGGAGCTGGCAAATGAAGTTGCTAAGCTGCTGGCCATCATATTTGAAAAATCATGGCAGTCAGGTGAAGCTCCCGATGACTGGAAAAAGGGAAATATAACCCCCATTTTCAAGAAGGGGGAAATGGATGACCAGGGGAATTACAGACCAGTCAGTCTCACCTCTGTGCCTGGCAAATCTTGGAGCAGATTCTCCTGGCATGCTAATGACTTGGGTGTGTTGGTTGATGAGAAAATGAACATGAGCCGGCAGTGTGTGCTTGCAGCCCAGAAAGCCAACCCTATGCTGGGCTGCATCAAAAGGAGGTGACCTACAGGTCGAAAGAGGTGATCCTGCCCTTCTACTCTCTTCTTGTGGGACCTCACTTGAAGCACTATGTGCAGTTCTGGTGTCCTCAACATAAAAAGGACATGGAACTGTTGGAACAAGTCCAGAGGAGGCCACGAGGATGTTCAGGGGACTGGAGCACCTCCCTTATGAAGAGAGGACGAGAAAGTTGGGGCTGTTCAGCCTGGAGAAGGCTGAGTGGAGACCTCATAGCAGCCTTCCAATATCTGATGTGGAGCTGTAGGGATGCTGGGGAGGGACTCTTCATTAGGGACTGTAGTGATAGGACAAGGGGTAATGGGTTAAAACCTAAACAGGGGAAGTTTAGTTTGAATATAAGGAAGAAGTTCTTTACTATAAGGGCGGTGAGGCACTGGAATGGGCTGCCCAAGGAAGTTGTGAATGCTCCATCTCTGGCAGTGTTCAAGACCAGGTTGGACAGAGCCTTGGGTGACATGGCTTAGTGTTGAGGTGTCCCTGCCCATGGCAGGGGCGTTGGAACTTGATGATCTTAAGGTCCTTTCCAACTCTAACTGTTCTATGATTCTATGATTCTATAAATATTAAGTATTATTTATATAGCTCTATGACTACGTATAACTATATAGTTGATGTATATGACTATTTAACTTGCATATCTCCATACATTTGAATTTCAGGCAACCTTGAATTTTTGACAAGGGTGCTGCTTCAGCTCCATATCCCTGAATGATGTTATCTGACAAAATGCTGAAGTCAGCTTTTTGTTTGAAAACTTTTGAGCTTTAGGACTTGAAACCATTCTGATAGTGCTGCACAGCACCCTGAAAACAAACTGTGTTTGAATTCTGTGCCTTCTACTGTTCCTCTCTGCACTGAAATTCTTGGTGTATAAGTCTTAGAACCCCAGTAGGGCTTAGTGGTTATTCTGTTGGTTTGATTTTGTTTGGGGTGGGGTTTGTTGAGCTTTTTGCAGGGTGTTTTTTTGTTTTTTTGTTTTAATTCAGAGTGCTCTTCCCTCTTTCCTCCCCTAAAACCTCACCTTTTTATTGTGAGTTGATAGTGTCACTTGGTAAACACAGGATTTTTTATTTGCTGAAGGTTTTGTTTTGGAAAAAGTACAAAGTTTCCCGTGAAGCTTTTCTAAGTTACGTTGTTTCAAACTTGTCTTGGGCTTCCTGCTGGCTTTGTTTAAATCAAGTTATTTGCTAGGGCTTTTCTGGCTTTGTTCTTTGGGTGGGCAATTCTCTCAAAAAGAGGGATTAGGAGAGCTTTGTATGGAAACAGTTTCAGAGGCATAGTAAGTATCTTGGATGCTTTCTGATTGGCTCTAGTTAATAATTATAGCACTCTTTGCAGTAAGGTTACTTCTAAAGTGCATAAAAAAGCAGAAAGGCTTAGGGAGCTGAATGTTGAATGGCTCTGTAAAATAAAGGTCAATCTAGTTTTCAAAAGTATAAAACCTTTTGTTTCTACTTTGTTCCTAACATAGGAGCTGACCTGTCGGGAAGAACTTCTGACCCTCCTTCTGTCACTTCTGCCATTGGTGTGGAAAATCCCTGTCCAAGAAGAAAAAGCAATAGGTACGTTTTATCACTTACAGTATTAAGTACCTAACAAAAGTAGTTTATATATTACGACAGAGCCTGCGATTCGTGACTAGAGTAGTAGTTCATTGTAATACACATCCTCTTAACACAGAATTAAGGTGTGGATTCTGCAGTGAATTTAAACATGAGTACCAATGTTTTGCCAGCATACAAGGAAGAGTGAAATTGTACAGAGAAGGTAAATGCTCTTGATCAGTGTGAAAAGCAATGTGTATATTACTGTGTAGCTGAACTTGATGGTGGCGAGTTTTTTTTCTTCAGGTGATAGAGGGGAGATTTCAAACAGTAAATAATATTTTTGCTAATGTCAAGTGTTTCGTGGTGAGTAGAAGAATACTAATTCTTTTTGTAAAAAAAAAAAAAAAAAAGAAAAATACATGCTGACACTAGAGACAGAATGAGACAGACTTTTTCTTCTGAAATCCAAGAAATGGGAAGTACAGAATTAAGCTTCAAGCCAAACAGTGGGCAACTGAGTATGAAGGAAGTGTGATGTTACCAGGGAGGCAGGCCCGGAAAATTGGAGTAATACCGGATCATTGTAAGAACCAGGCTGCATTCCACAGAAGATATGATGTTCTGCGTTAGAAACGCATGTGCTGGTTAAGGAATCAAATCACGAGGACTCAATTGCCGAAAAGTTAGAGTGAATTAAAGAAATGAAAGGGATAATACAAAATAAACTGCAAAAACTGAACCATGAAATGGTGGTGATTTCTTTGTTTGCTTGGCTTTTTTCTTTTGGGTTTTTATATTTGTGTGATTCATTATTTTTGTTTTCCCTGTTGGAGGATAAAAAAAGGAAAAAAAGAGTATGAAGCAAATGAAGCTTCTTGTCTGAGAGGTCCTAAGGATTCTTACCTGGAGCTCTCCCAGTGTTTTGCGTTTAAAAATAATTTAAAATAAAAATAATGTTTTTAAAATAATGCATGTTGAATGCTTTTGTTAATTTTTATAGACTTGTAGCATTTAAAATACCAGTTTCATAGCACTTATATAGTAAACTTTCCTGCTTACTCAGTTGCATTATTTGATGCTCCTATAAACTTGACTGAATTAAAGGAATGCTTTGGTTATCATATGGGAGCTTAGTGACTTTTCCAGGAATAGTTTAAAATGCTCTTGTATCAATGTGTTGTGTTTTGAGGCTTTGGTATTTTTACTTTTTTTTTGTGTGTGTAGTTTTTTTGGTTAGGTTTTTTTTTGTTGTTGTTGTTCATTTCCTTGGACTGAAATAAATCCACCTGTTTTGGGCAGCTTTTTTCTTCCCATTTGGGAAGTATCCTTTAAGTGCTCCTGGTTAAGTTCCTGCCTCCAAAGCAGATGATTCTTCCTTAAACATCACAACTATGTCCTTATGAAACAGTGAGGCACCACCTTGCTTGCACATGGAAGCATTTTCTCTTTCACCTGTTTGTAGCTGTTGTGTGGGCTTTGGGGGTTCTGTGGGCATGGGGGCTATTATTGAGAGCTATCACGTTTTTTCAGAATGCTGAACTTAGTGGATGGGAGCTGCTTGCATTTGTGCTGTGCTGAGTCTTTCCCTACCCAAAGCATCCAGAGACAGTCCTGTCACTACTGAAAGAATGGCGATGGATTTAATCCAAGAGCATAGAGTTGCTTGCCTACTTTTAAACAATTTATCATCTGAGTTTGCCACTACAAATAAACTGGTAGTACTTGCATTTTATTCTTCAAAGTCTTCTTGCCCACTGAATCAGATTTTAATTTTATATTTGCTATTTTGTACTGTGTAGTTGAATTTTTTTGTCTTTTGTGGGAATATTGAGCACCCTAAACATTATTGTTTGCCACCTCCCTTGGCTGTTTGCGTGTGGAGCACTGAATGCTGAAGTAAAGACTGAGGTCTGTATATTTGAAAATCTTCACTGTTTCTAGGTAGAGAAAGTTATCTTTTTCTATTACTACTAGCACACAATTTCTTCATGCAGTTTAGGAGGGCTGTGGGTAATGCACCAAGCTCCTATAGCAGCTCTGTTGCAAAGAGTGACAATGGATCATAAAGCTGAGCAAGACCTTTTCTTTCTTTTTTTCTCTGTGGTTTTTCTTCTCTTCTGGGGTAGAGCCATTTGGCAGTGCAGACAGTGAGACTTAAAATGTATCAAACAGTATACACAAAGTAAACATCACTGGAGTAACTATCTAAAACTGTTTCCTTTACAGTAATAGAGGAGATCTCAGTCCGTGTCCTACTGATAGGCTTTATTTTTTTCAACTTCTGTATTAGTATGTCTAACTTATCTAATTTTAAATTAATACAACTGGATGCCTGTGGCTATATTGTTCCTTTGTAGCCTATGTTTAACAGGCAAAGATTTTAACAGGTCAGAACAGTGTAAATTTAGATTAGGTGTTAGGAAAGTCTTCTTCACTGTGAGGGTAGTGAGGCACTGCAATGGGTTACCCCAAGAATTTGTGGATGCCCCATCCTTGAGTTGTTCTGGTCCAGGTTGGATGGGCTTAGACCAACCTGGTCTAGTGGAAGGTGTCCTTCCTGCCCACGGTAGGGGGGTTGCAAGTGGATTATATTTAAGGTTTTTTCCAATCCAAACCATTCTGTGATTTTCAGACTAAGCTTTCTTCCCTTTACTTACCAACTGTCTATTCATCTACCCTGATAACATCTTTTCTGAAAAGAATAGAATAGCTGTGCCTACAAAAAGAGTTTTAGGAAACCCTTTAGCAGGCTTTTAACCCAGTTAGAAAATGAACTCATTTGGCTCTGCTTTAGAAATAGCCAGTATGGGTCTTAAACAAATTGTTGTTGACATTTTTTTATACTGAAAATACCAGATATAGGCATATACAAAAAGATGGCCTATTAAGATATGAATGCCTCATATTTTTAAGCTGGGAATGTTAAACTGTAAAATTAAGAAAATTATTTGCATAATGTTCTTTAATGTTCCTTTAACATTCCTTATCTTTCTGTTCCAACAGACTTTAATATACCTTTTACAGTAGACATACGCCTGACCAAAGAGAATAATTCAAGTTCTGTGAAATCTACTCAGGAAAAGCTAGGCTTGGATGGAAGCACTCGTTCATCTCTTCAGCCATCTCTGAAACTGAATCTTCGGTCTCGAAAAAGTGGGCGCCTGCGCAAAACCACCCATCGTTACTCTGTGCGGGATGCAAGGAGATCTCAGCTGTCCACTTCGGATTCAGAAGGCAATTCTGATGACAAGACTACTGTAATCAGGAAACACAGACGCTCCCAATTACTGCAGCCTTTCTTAACACATCCGGTTAGGGACAGCTACCTTGTAGGCAGAAGTGATGGCCTATCTGCAGAAGCAGTACCAAATTCTCATCCTGATGCCCCTAATCTGGAAAATTCTGGCAAAATTGTTCCATCACATGAGCTAAACCAAGAGACTTTGAGTGAGCCAGCTGCAGGAATTGCTGGGAGCAACATGGATAACTCTCCTTTTGACTTATGCCATGTCTTACTGTCTCTCCTAGAAAAAGTGTGCAAATTTGATATTGCTTTGAATCACAATTCTACTCTCTTGGCTAGTGTGGTGCCCACATTGACTGAGTTCTTATCAGGATTTGGAGACTGTTGCAGTCTAAGTAGTAACACAGAAAATGAGGTAGTTTCTGCAGGGTGGACAGAAGAACCTGTAGCTCTGATTCAGAGGATGCTTTTTCGAACAGTGTTGCATCTGATATCTTTAGACATTAGCAATACAGAAACCATGCCGGACAACTTACGAAGAAATTTAACAGACTTACTTAAAGCAGCATTAAAAATCAGAATTTCCTTGGAAAAGCAACCTGACCTTTTTGTTCCAGGATACAAGAAAACACTACACCAGGCAGTTCAGGATGACTACATGTTTTCTAGATACCGTCACAGAGCCTTGCTTCTACCTGAGGTTATAGAAGGGGTCTTGCAGATTTTGATATGCTGCCTACAAAGTGCAGCCTCCAATCCATTCTACTTTAGTCAAGCTATAGATCTGGTTCATGAGTTCATACAGCACCAGGGATTTAAGCTGTTTGAAGTAACAGTCCTTCAGATGGAATGGTTGTGTATGAAGAATGAAGGAGTAACCGGGGAAGCCTCAGAGCATTTGAAAGTCCTGATCAACAGCATCATGAAAATAATCAGCACTGTCAAAAAAGTAAAATCAGAGCAGCTCCATCAATCAATGTGTACAAGAAAGCGGCACAGACGGTGCGAGTACTCTCACTTCATGCATCACCACAGAGATCTCTCTGGGCTCTCTGTATCCACTTTTAAAACCCAAGCATCCAAAACCCCCTTTGAAACTGCTGATGGTGAAATTCAGTATCCTGACAGATGCTGTTGCATTGCTGTTTGTGCACATCAGTGTTTGCACTTGTTGCAACAAGTTTCTTTGAGCAGTACCAGTGTGCAGATTCTCTTGGGTGTACATAATGTAGGAATATGTTGTTGTATGGATCCAAAGTCTGTGATTGTCCCATTACTTCATGCTTCCAAATTACCAACACTAAAAAACTTTCAACAGCACATATTGAATATCCTTAACAAGTTCATATTGGATCAGCTGGGTGGAGCAGAAGTTCCACCCAAAATTATACAGGCATCATGCAATATATGTACTGTGGACTGTGATCAACTTACTCAGTTGGAAGATGCCTTGCAGGGAAACTGTAGTGATCCTGGTCCGGCATCTACTTCCTCTTGCAGAGTTCAGGGAATTCTGCCTAGCACGGGATCTGAAGACGTGTTGCTGAGATGGCATGCACTGGAGGCTTATCAGGGCATTGTTTTTGAAGAAGACAAACTACGTGGCATGCAGATTGCAAGCCATATTTGCCACTTAATTCAAAAGGGAAATGCAGTGGTCCAATGGAAACTATATAACTGTGTTTATAACCCTGTGCTTCAGAGAGGAGTAGAGTTAGCTTGCCATGCTCAACAACTTGGACTAACTACAGTTGATAAACACACATGCAGTTACCATAGCCAGTGTTTGCCTTCTGAAGTACTTCAGATTTATTTGCAGATGCTCCCTGTGTTACTTAAATCCAGGTTGGTTGATCTTCTAATTATGTACAGAACTTTGTATATTTGTTACTGATCAGAACATAAGTTTTATTTGGACAGTAGGCAGCGCTTGGATATTGCATTAGTGATGGCAACAAGGTAAATGAATAACATAAGATGTAATCCTAGATTCACAAACCATAGACAGTGAGGGCTCTATACTGATGAGTTATGATCTTTTAACAAGCCAAAGTGTGTAGAAACAAATAAAAACCTTTATCCAGTGTGACAGGTTCTTTGCCTTTTTATTCCTTGTGCTAGAGTGAGTCAGGAATGTTGAACAGATTGACATGTCACTTTTCTGTGGGAATTAGGCTACTTAGGTTTTTATTTGTTTCCCTTTTCCTTCTAGAATGGTCTTTATGGAAAGCACCTTTCAAAAACAAGGCTTGAGAGGTTTATTTGTCTTCAAATAACTGCTTCCTAACTTGAAAAATCCTGTTCATTTAAACATTGGAAAAAAAACACAATAAAACAAACAACAAAAAAACCCCAAACAAAACAAAACACCACCCCCCCCCAAAAAAAAACCCCACCAAAAAAACTCCAAACACAAAATAATCACCCAAACCAACAAAACCACCCCCAAGCTTTCTTCCAAGGCATGAAATAGAAACTTTCCTGTTTATTGTTGAATTGATGTAGCTGTTTAAGACAGTAGCTGGAAGTTTATTCAGAATATGAATGAGTCCTGTTGTGCAGAAAATATTCTGATGCATTCTATTGGAGTCCTGGTAAACTGAAGTGGATTTAGTAGGGTTATCTGAAACAATTACGAAGAACAGACTAGTATTCCAGTCCAGGATTGTCTAATACTTTTTATAATTTTATCCTAACAAAATTTATCAGAACCTGTTATTTTTTTTGAAAATGCGTGTAGTGGCAAAGAGGTAAGAGAAGTAAAGTTTAGATTTTTAAAAGTTTAATATACGCTATTTATTTCCTACTGGCTTAAAGATGGGACTATAAAAGTAAATGATTCATTTGATTCTAGAGTGTGTAACCTGGTTATAGTAAAAGCTGACCCTGTGGGAAGGAGATGGGAGGGAATGGAAGGTGGATGTCTATGTGCATAGTACACTAAGAAGCTTGTAGATCCTTACCCTAAATTCTGAATTAACTCAATGTGGTAGGAAGAAGGGAAAATATACTTGGAAACAAATATACTGAAAGGGGTTTTTTTAAACATTGGACGTATGTTGTGAGAACTGCACAAAAAGTTGTGCTTGAAGGGTATTCCTAAATTCTTTCTGAAATACATCATCCATGCAACTAATAGCTAATAAAATGTCTTAAGTCTTCAAGATATTTGAGAAGGAATCTCTACTTTCTGGTGAAGTCACAGAACTGAAGGAGTTTTACTAGCTCCAATTGCTAATAAAAAGGTAGGAAAAGTACCACTAAAGAGCAAATGTCATAATTAAAGTTCATTAAACATCTTTTAATGTTTTGAATATCCTACATCTTTTGTGGTCTACATTTCAGAGGCCTATTTCCTACTCTGTATCTTATAAAAAATTGAATTTTCTCCTACCAGATGGATGATGCTTACTTGGGATTCTAGAGTACTGCAAACAAGTTCCTTTTCTCTTTAATATACTTTTATAAGCTATAAATTACTGTAAACATGATCAGTCTTTGGTGTTACTTAGGTATGTAGAACAGAGGGTTATGTTTGGTTGTGTCATTTGAACTACATGAATTTGTGGTTGATTTATATATATATAAGGTAATTCTTGTACTTTCTCTTGCAGGGTTATTAGAGACTTGTTTCTGAGTTCTAATGGAGTGAATCAAATGATTGAGTTAAATTACTTAGATGCTTTGAGATACCATTCTTTGAAAGTGTTAGAGACTTTGATACTCTGCCTTGGTGATCAGCAGAAAGACCAAGCAATGGCAGAGCTGGAAGGTCTGAACAGCGAACAGGAATCTACAACCGTCTTGCCTGCTTCTCTTTGTAGCCAGCATGCTGTTTCCGAAGTTCCTCAAAGCCTGAGCAAGTTTTACGCTGGCTTGAAAGAGGCTTACCCAAAAAAGAAGAAGTTTGTGAGCCAAGACATTCACGTCAACACAATAAATCTCTTTCTCTGTGTTGCTTTTTTATGTGTAAGTAAAGAAGCAGATGGTGATCTGGATTCAGCTAATGACTCCGAAGATACGTCAGGATATGATAGTACAGCTAGTGAGCCATTAGGCCAAAAATTACCTTATCTGTCACTGGAAAGCCTTACTTTGCCTTCTCTGGAACATATTCACAGGGCTGCAGATATTTGGTCCATGTGTCGCTCTATCTATTTGTATAGTTCAGTTTTCCAGAGACAATTCCATAGACTTGGAGGCTTTGAAGCATGCCACAGATTACTAATACTTATAATTCAGGAACTTGCAAAAAATACAGAGAAGGAGCAAGAAAAGAGGGAGAGAGTATTGAGTGAAAGCAGCAGAAGTTCACATGGGACTCCTCATGGTGAGCTCAGCAAGGATGACTCTCAGCTGGCTAAAAGCAGAGAGGTGACACAATTGGAGCTTGATAGTTCCGACAGTCTTGGTGGTGCAGAGCAGCTGGTGCCTGAATGCATCTCCTGTGATGGCTCTTTGAGTAGGGGACATGCTTCAGTTACTTCAGATGCCGATCTTGAAGGGATAAAGACTTCTGTAAGAGAAGAGGCTGAGTGGGCACTTCAAGGTATCAGACTTCTGGAAGCTCTGCTGACAATCTGCCTACACAGTGCAAGCACCATGCAGCAGAAGATGGAAGAGGAGTTTTTTCACCAGGTACTCTGAAACTTCCCTTAGCTTACTTTACTCATGTGTTACATACAATAATATTTTATCAGTGACTTAGTCAAAGTTGTTTCAGAGGTGAAAAAAGGTTATGCTCTTATTATGGTACCAATTTTTTGATGTATTACCAAAAGCATGCAGTTAAATGATGTGCTTAGTAGTTAGCAGTAGTGGTCAGCAGGCATGAAAGATGGGAGTGGGTTGATGAGAAAACTGGCCATTGTGATTTCTGAGGCAGCATCTTCCCACATGTTAACCTGTCACTTTTTGTATGTGGTGAGATGCTGGTAAGGATCCTTTACACCTTTGCTTGTTCTCCAGCATGATGTCTGTCCTCTGCCCTTTTGGGTTGGATCCCTGGTCATGCCAATTCCCTGCTTACTGGGGATGGGAGAGCTTTCTGGAGTGGTAGATTGATTCTGGCTGGATGAGTTTTTTACTTTTCTTGCATTTTCTGCCTGAAATGGTCCTGACTAGAGAAGAAAGGCAGTAGTGGATGTCAACAATTCTGAATTTCTGGCTGACTGTATCTGCATGTTTTTTCTGGTCAGCAACAGTCTGCTTTTTCTGTTTCCCCTGTGGAGTCCATTTGTCCAGTCTCGCATTCTCTGATGGCTGTCTGGGCTGATGGGTGTTGAACAGTGGGAGAGACTTGGGTGTTTTGAAAGAGTATTCAGTGGAGAATGTGTGACACAGGGACAGTGAAGGAGAGCTGTGTAGGCAAGACATGAGCATTATGCACATTGACTCACATGTTGTGTTTTTGGTGATAGTTATGAGCAAAGCATGGTGCTTGAGGAAGAGGGCACAGGGACTGAAAGGACACCTGAAAAAACTAAAGCCTTATGGGTGAACTAATTCAGTGTACCATAAAGTTGTTAAATCACAGAAGACACCTTCACTGCAATTTAGTGTGTTCATTGCTGTCTTGAATTGTACTTGGCAGTTTATTATAAAAGCAGAAGGTATTAGGTACAGAAGAGAACTGGAAACTGGAATTCTCTCTGGGCCACTTGTTTTTTTTTGTGGGCTTGGACATGTCACCATCTGTCTTGCTAACTGCTGATAATGTTGTTGTGTGGTTTGAATGCATTGTGTACTTGAAAGAGATGTTTGTTTTTGAAACAGTGCTTTCCCTTGCAATGTTTGGGAAATGGCATGTTTGCATACTTTTCTCAGTGTGCAGATTGCTTAACCAGCTAAATCTGTCCTGACAAACAGGATGAATTTTCTTTATTGCAAAAGACTGGACGAAGCCTAATGGTTTTAGCTAAGAACTCAGATTAGTGTAGGTGGAAGAGGAAGCTTTTAAATGAAATTACTAGACCATTTCTGTTAGCCAAACCGGAATAACATGAATCAAAATGTTTGTTTCCCCTAAAATGCAGAATACCTGTGTGGATGATATCTTACTTCAAATAAGAGAGCAACTTGCTCTATCAAAAGTGATAGAAACTGACTTGGCAAAGCCTCTATTTGATTCACTGCTTCGTATTGCGTTGGGTATTTTTTCTACTGATCTGGATCATTCTGAAGAGAAAGTTGATAAGGTATGAAACACCAACTGAGTGATGGAATTGTAAGCATTGCAAGGTTTGGCTTATGTTTGGGCTTCTTTTTAAAATCAAGAGGACATGTTTAAGTGCAGTTACTATGGAAGTGGAAAATTAATTCTCTGATTCTCTATATAAGCATGTAAGTTGAATGCTGGTTATTGGTATGGTCCCCACATTTACTGCTCAGAAATAAGTCACGCCCCAAAAAGGAGCAAGCTGTGTTACACTTTATGGAGATACCTGAAACCTCATGTTCTCGTCACTCTTTCATCCAATGACAGTGTGGCAAACTTTCAAAGGGAACGCTTCAGACAGTTTTTGATTGACCTTAGTGCTGCAGACCTATCTACACCTTAGAGTGAATGCCAAGATGTATGTTTATGGTGATAGTGATGTTGGAAACAATTATTCTTAATGCATTGGCCATCTGCTTACCAAAGCTTTGGTCAGATAGTTAGGAAGAAAAATCTATCTCTGCAGAATCCATTTTTTTTATGGAAGAATGAAGTATTCTTAAAAAGTATCTCAAGTTCCTTGAAAATACATGATTAATTTGTTTCGTTTGCCAATGGGCTTGGAGAAAATAAGCATCTGGAAGGTTCTCGATTACTTATTTTTCTGACCAAAGATGGTAAATCTGCTTGATGTGTTATACAGAGCCATTACACAGAAAAGGAGCCTGTGCCACAACCTGGAGATATTTCTGAAGAAACTGAAGAATCACAGTGCTGTAGTCTTAAACTTTTTGCTGAAGAGGAAGGATATGAAGCAGATAGTGAAAGTAACCCTGATGATAGCAAAACCAGGAATGAAGGTAAATGGCAACTTTCTGAATATATAAAGTAGTCTTTATGGCATATCAAAGCTTTCTTGTCTTTTGAGACGCAGAGAATTAGGGTGAGCGTCAGATCTTTTACAGAAATAGTTTATCTTACTTCTAGTAAGATGCTGTTGCACATGAAGAGATTGTGAATATTCTTACTGAATGTTACAGAACTCTTCTGTCTTGGTTGTCTTGCTGTGTGCAACGCTAAAGGCATGTTACTCAAACATGCTTTTGTGGTCTGGAAGCCTTTTTCCAGGGATGCTTATCATTAGTTTGTCTCCAAATCAATTCCCAGATTTTTGTTTAATATTATAACAAACTAGTAAACAGTAGATTAGTCTAATGATGTTGTAAAAACTGGGTTGGAAGGGATCTCAAGGATCATCTGGTCTAACCTTTCTTGGCAAAGTCATGGTCTGGACAAAGTAACCCAACACCCTGTCCTGTTAATTCTTGCATGTCCAGTGTTGGGGAATCCAACACTTCCCTTGGGAGGTTATTCCAGTGGCTGATTATTTGCATTGTGAAAAATTTATTCTGGTGGCCAGTCAGAATTTCCCCAGAAATAACTTGTGACCCTTGCTCCTCGTCTCTTCTGTGTGACCCCTTGTAAAAAGGAAGTCTCAATCTTCTCTGTAGCCACTCTTTAAATACTGGAACATGGTGGTAAGGCTGAAGAAAACAATTTCTCTCAGTTTTTCCTTACGTGGCAGGCTTCCTAATCCTTTCGTCATTTTCAAGGCCCTTACCTGGACCTTATCCAGCCTCTCTACATCCCCTTTGGGTAGTGGGAAGTAAAACTGAACACAGTATTCCAGGTGCGGCTCAACAAGTGCTGAGTAGAGTGCATGGAATAATGAAGTCTTTATCTCTGCCAGTGATGCCCTTGCTGATGCAACCCAGCATCCTGTTAGCTTTCTTTGCTGCAGCTGCACACTGTTCACTCATACTGAGCTTGTCCACCAGGACAACACCACTGGTCCCAGTATTGATCCCTGGGGGACCCCACTAGTGACAGGTCTCCAGTTTAAAAAGGAGCCATTCACCACCACCCTCTGTGTGCAGCCGGTTCCAGACCCACCATACAGACCACTTGTCTAGACCAGTTTCTCTAGGAGGAGGCTGTGGGAAACTGTATCAAAAGCCTTGGTGAAATCCCAGGTACACCATGTCCAGTGTTTGCCCCGCATCAACTGAGCAGGTTACTTCATTACAGAAGGCAATCAGGTTTGCCAAGCACGGTTTGCCCCTGGTGAATCTGTGTTGGCTTTTCCTGGTCACACGGCTTCATTTGGCTTGTGATAGCTCCCTTGTGATGGAATATATCTCTTTATATTAATTCAACAACTGATGTACACATCATGTATTCTGTTTGTAATTAGTCTTGAACATGAATTTGCTTTAATGTTTTCCTTTCAGATGAACACTTGGGTGCTTCTGTTATTGTATGAGGTCAGCTTGTGAAGAACTTTAATAGAACTGCATTCAAGTGTTGCTATTTACTTGTGTGACTAGGCTCTGCTAACAGATACACAGAATTGTAAAAGCATTTCTGAACTAAGAATTTAACCTGAAGTATTTCCATTTGCATGAAACCTGTGTCTGTCCCAAATAATTAAGTAACATGTTTTGAAGTCTCTCCAAGATTTAAGGCTTAACTGTTGGGGTTTTTTGACTGTCATGCAGATATTCTGTCATGTGCTGTCATAAGCATTTTCCCAGTTAAATAACAGCTGCTTCCCTCGACCTTTTAACAGAAGTCATTTAAATTTATCTCCTTTCTTGGCAGGCTTAGAGTTCTGTGTAGAAGCTTGAGGCTCTATTACAATGATTTTACTGTCATGCTTCATGAATTGCATATTTCATTATTACTATGTGTCTACTTCCGAAGAAATGAAGGCACAGAGTTTAAGAGCATGTAATGGGAGAGACTGTACCCTTGCCCTTCTGTATAATAGGAAAACTTGAAGCAGAATAAAAGATAGATTATACTGATTTCTGAAAACTGCTTAAGCTAGTGACTGGTTCTGGTTTGTATCTATGAGAAGGCTGGAGAAAATGTCCTTGGATGTTCTGCTTAAATCATGCAAACTGTATTCAGCTGAGTAAGTTTCAGTAAAACAAGTGTTTTCTTTCAGGAGCAGACACAAAGGCAGAACCGGGGTGTACTGGTCCTTCAGGTTATTTTGATGACCTAGCTGAAAACATCAATCAAGGAGAATTAATGTATCCTGAAATTTGCATGTTAGAATTAAACTTGCTTTCAGCTGGTAACGCAAGTTTAGATGTGCTTGCCCATGTATTCCAAAGCTGCCTGAAAATCATCACTCAGAAGGAAAGAAATGCCACTCTACTTATAGAACAGGTAAAATGTTAAACAAAAGCAGTAGCTTAGCAGTTGTATATCTTATTTTCTTCAGTTTTGAAGCAACAGTATATCTAACAGAGTGGCCTCAGAAATATGAGACCTAGAAAACTTGAGTTTTACAGTTGCCTTGTCTTATCAAGCTTGTTCAATCAGTAGAGCTATAGGTAGAGACTTAATGACAGGCCATTGAAAAAATGAAAACTAACAACCAAAAGAACCCCTGAAGTAAAACACAAAAGCAAATATGTCCCTGTATATGTATGTGCAAACATTCTAAATTTGCATGTATTCAACATGTGCTTTTAGAAGCTTTCACTGATGTACCGCAAATATTCATGCTTTTATTTTTAAGTTTATATTGGAAATCAGTTATGCATATGTTGATGTCCTCATAGTCCTTTGGAATTTCTGATGGTTACCTTTTTTGCTTTGTATTAACTACATTAGATATGCCTCTTGCAAAAGAAGAAAATATAGTTATTTAAGCCTTAAGTGCTTGTTTATGCAATTATATGACTAAGAAACAAAGTGCTTCTCAGCCTAAATTAGAAGCAGGAAAGGAAAACGTTTTAGCACTCCAATTCTGTGTGTGAATTGTTAACTTTAAATCACTAGCACATCTGTTTCTTTGTTTTCTGAACTTCTACACATGAAAATACTTAATTCAATATAACCTCATTTTCATTGTTTTTCAGTATTATTTAGAAAGAGCAGTCTGTCAAACTTACTAGTTTGGGGATCTTAATTATCTTCAGTGATTTTTTTCAAATTACCTTTATCTAAGACACACTTGTGAAGGATGCTCCTAACTACACAATGTAATGTACATAAATAATGTAAAAGTAATTTCTTGTCATTATTCTTGAAAGCTGTCTTGCATTAAAAGGTTAGGGAAAGGCTGAATTTGCTTTCAGTATGGCATCACTATATACCAATGTGCTGTGTTTTGCTACAACCTGTTAAATCCCCTAATTCTGTTATGATGGAGTAGACAAGGAAGATCATAGAATCAATCATAGAGTAGTTTGGGTTGGAAGAGACCTTTCAAAGTCATCTTGCCCAAACCCCCTGCAATGAGCAGGGACATCTTCAAATAGATGAGTTCTCAGTTGCTGGATTGATAATGGCTTAAATGCCACATGTGGCTTTCCAAGTGTGCCTTCTGAAACTGAACTATACAGAACGCAAATGAATGTTCATTAGCAAATACGAAAAATATTTCCATAATTTAGAGTAACTGGTGTGTTATTTAAATCAAGATCAATAAGACAAGAATTGATTGAAAGAAATTGTTTTTCTTTGGGCTGGTGTATGTTCTTCAGATATCAATTTTCCCTGTAATTTTTTGACAGGGAGCTGTTAAACATCTTTTGGGAGGATTTCTGAACATACTGACACAAACAGAATCTAGTTTTCATGGTAAGTTAAAGGTCTAAGTAATTAAATATCATTTTCTATAACTGAAGATATGCACAATTTTTAGTTCACAGTGCAAATGTGAAGTTAACAAAGCAAATTCATTGGCATGTGTGAATTTATGCAGCTGCTTCTTTAACTTGTAACTAACATTTCACTTATGAGTAAATACAAGGTTATTTCTGAGCTAGTGGAAATCTGTTGTTTAAACACCTGCCTGCAGCTCTGAAAGTTATAGTTGCTATGAGAAGCCCTAGGGTGACAGTGTTAACTGCTATTTTTCTGGGCAGTGTTTGTTATTTTACTGATTGCATCTGACTCCACCACAACCTAAGTTTTTATTTCAAATTTCTTTCTAACACAGGTCTTGGTGATGCCTTGAGTTTTATTTCTAATTGGAAAACAGCTAGCTAAGCCAAGAATGTGGAAGCAAATTAAATGCTTGGCCTAAAGTAGCCTAACACATAATGAGGTTGCTCCACAGTGTGAGATGATGTAAGCCCATCCTAGGACTTTGATCCCTGTCTTTGTGGGGAGAGCCTCTCCAATGGGACGCTAGGTTCCCAGACTTTCAGACTCTTCCTTGCAAACCTACAGCCAGACTTGATGTAGCCATCTAGATTCATTCAGTGAAATTTTAAATGATAGTGTTGGATCTCTGGAGTTCAACTCATTGTCACTGCTTCCTGAATTTGAAATGTTTCCACAAAATACCCAAATTCATACTAATCTCTCTTCATAATAGCATGGAATAGGAATTTTTAAAGCTTAAAAAAATTGTTTTCAATAATATTATTTTGTCTTCTTATTTTTAGCATGTCAAATGGTGCTGGTAGACCTATTAGTTTCCTTGATGAGTTCACAGACGTGTTCGGAAGAGCTAACTCTTCTTCTAAGGATATTTTTGGAGAAGACACCTTGTACGGTAAGTATGAAGTAGCACATAGCAAAATTTGGAGGCTTAATGAGAAAAATGGAGTAAAAGAAATCTTTGAGGAAATCAGGAGACTAACAGCAACATTCTGACAGATCAGAGCAAGTAAAATGTGGTTGCTGAAATATTTCATCCTACAAATGTGAAACTAGAAGAGACAGTTCTGAAGTCCTGGGAGCTCCCTTCACAAGAAAATAAGATTCCTGTTGAGGAGACTGGCATTGTGGGTCTGAATGACAGAACACTGTAATACTCTGAAATTTTAAGTCATTTCTTTGAAGCTGTAAAGCATCTTGGTATTTCAGGAATGCTTCAGCTGCAAGAATTATTTTCAACAGTGTCATAAGTTGGTTTGTGTAACACTGGAAACTACTGCTTGTGTGGGATATACTGCTGAAATACAAAGTGTTGTTTGTGTGGGAGCCTGTAGGGAGGTGGGGGGAAAAGGTGGAAAGAATAAATGCTGTGGAGTCTGAAATAGTAGCAAGCAAGGAGACACAGGTCAAGATTTCAAAGGTACCTTGCAATAACTGGCTAAGTAACTAGAGAAACTTCTTGGCTTAAGGGCTCAACTAGTTTTATTAGTGATTATACAATAACAAAGCGATGGCCTGTGTGTGCATTCTTAACCAGCCTCAAACACAGGGTAAAAAGTGTGGTCTTTTGTTTGAGGTATAAGCTAATCTGTTAGCACATAAATATGAGATTGTGCAATGGCCATCTGCTGTGGTTCAGCTGATTTCTGAGCATGGCAAGTTGAAGATGGATCTGCCCTGACTAAATCCCCCAGATTGTTGGTCCGTAGTCAGTTGAAGTTATTACTCAATGCTTTGTACATGTATGTCAGTTTGCATATGGACATCCACTCTGGGAAAACATAAATCCATGTTTATGAGTGGTGTTCTGTTTAGTTAGATGACACATTCTATTTGTTGTAAATGTTTTGGTTTCTTTTTTTCTAATTTGTTTGGTTTATTTCTTCCAGGAGATACTACTCAAGGGTGTGTTAAAGATTATAGAAACCCATATTCATATGAATCCATTACAGTACCTTGCCTTCCCTTTGCTGCATGGCACTAATTTGAGTAGTAGTTCTTCACAAAAATCTGCCAGCAATTCCACCAGAATAACTGCTGGAGTATTAAAAAGAGCAAAATTTTCACAGAGTAAAAGAGAGGCAGATGGTGAAAATTTGAGTCACCAGCTGCTTTCTTCTTGGCATGTAGCCCCAATTCACTTGCCTTTAGTTGGGCAAAACTGTTGGCCACACATGTCTGAAGGCTTTAGTGCCTCACTGTGGTTTCGTCTGGAGTGTGCTCATGAAACAGAAAACTCGACAGAAAAGGGGAAAAAAATGAAGAGAAGAAGCAGGTCGGTAGCTGTAAGAGAGAACAGCTTTGACAGCGCAGGTGAGGACATAGTACTTACTGCTTCTATTTAAGTGGCGCTGGAAGATTGTGTCTACAAGTATTGCTAATCAATATGCCATATGCAAAAGGTTGAATTGGTTTTTTTCTTATGATGGATATTAGACAGGTGTGGTAGGCTTTCTATTTGTTTCTTTGAGTAATGTGTCGTACACTTAAAGATAAAACATTTCCAGCCTTAGCCCATAAATTAGATTAATTCTTCTTTCTTAGAGATTTAGTGTTCTCATTGAATCTGTAGCTTCAGTAAAATGTCTTTATGCTATTTCACATTATGATGAAGAAAGTATTAAATGCTGCAGCTGAAAGTTCATGGGAAAAGACTGTTCTCAAGTTTATTTGGTCTCGTGCTGATGAAGCAAGTGGCTTTTGTGTTCTTAAATAGCGAGATAGTAAAACTTCGTGAGTTAGGATTTAAATATTGGAACTCAGCTAAAAGATGCTCTGAATCCATTAAGTCAGAGCCTGAGGCTTAGTGTAAATCCGCTTACTTGCCTTGTGTGTGTGCCATTTTAAATATTAATAGTTGTACAGCACTTCTCTGTCTATACTTTTGTAGAGACTCACCTGCTCTCAAACTCTTCTGAGCAGAATCTTTTGGATTATAATTTGTAGGGGGAAAAATTGCTTAAGTTATTTAAAATGCCTCTCAACACTTGGGGTAACTTTGGCTATACTCCCCCCCCGCCTCCCCAACTATATTTGAAAAATAGAAAGGAAAGCCTAACTCTGAATCTTGGAATTCACACGAGCTGCTTTTGTTAGAACTGTGCTTTTGCTTGGTAAAATTAAAACATTGAATGTTAGACCAGACTTAAAGGGTAGTGTGATTTATGAAGAAAATGCTAAGATTTCTTGGTGCACACTGAGGCTGCCTGTTCAACATAGGAGCATAATATGGTATGTCTAAAGCATCATTGAACTGGAATGTATTCATGCTTAGTGGATTTACATGATTAGAAAAACATGGTAAGTGCTGAGTTAATATCAAGCTCTTCTGTTTTGGTTTCTAAGAAACCTAGATCTCTGAAGAGAATAATGCATAATATTTACATTAAAAACCCAACAAAACAAAAGGAAAAAACAAACCTAAAACAAAACAAAAAGCCCCACAAAAAATCCCAAACAAACAAACCCACAAAAAACAACAAAAAGCCCCAAACCCCCCCAAAAAATCCAACTGAAGAAAAAGCTATTCTCTGCAGTACATGATCTACTTCTTTTCACACTTGATAGCTGGTAGGAGCCATTGTTGTATTGTGTTGTAATTGTGTATAAATATGTTTCTATTTCTAGAAGACACAAAGTCTATAGGAATGGAATACTTGAGCCTTGGAGATAAACTTGTTGAAGATGGCTGTATTCATATAATCTCACTGGGTTCCAAAGCACTGATGATACAAGTCTGGGCAGACTTGAATACTGGAGCATTTGTATTTCGGTATGGTGTGTTAATCCAAAAACAGTCCTGTGAACATATATATTGTTACTTCCAGTAGCAGCTTGTTACAGAAAATACTGGTGGAGCATAGAGAACTAATTTCTATGGCAGAGACATCTTGCACAGTGATGGCAAGGTCAAGTAAGTTTATTGCATACAGATCTACAGGTTTATTTGCTTAAAGTATCAATCTCTGCTCTTGCATGTTTGATGTAATCATATAGAGATAATTGACCCAAGTAAGATGCAAGATCTGTCATAAACAATGCAAGGCAAGGTAGCAATTCACATATAAATGAAATGGAGCAATAAATGTCTGAATATAAGCAGAAAGGTTTCGTAGCTGTAGGTTTTCACACCTCAGTTGTGCATGTGGAAATTGCTGTTAGTTGATATTTACTATAACAATCTTGGGTTTAATCTTCTGAACACATTTTAGCCCTAATTTAGTTCTTATAAGTAATATACCCTTAAAATCAGTCTAAAGCCACAATTTTGGAACACTTTATTTTGCAGTGTGCAAAGCACCTGCATTTTTTCCAGTAAACTAAATTTATTTTCTCTCTGAAATAGGGATAATATCTTAAATGCAAGCAGAACTATGCAAACAAGTTCAATTTGAAACCACATTGTGAGGACTTCCCTACTTATGCTGACCACCCTAAATATAGCATTGTGGTAAAATACATTATCTGTGAAAGTTAAGGAATGCAATCTCAAGTAACTGAGGCCAAAAATTGCAGATTTGGGGTTTAAACTGTAAATTTGAAAACAAATACACTTTGTTTTTCCTTTTCTGTTGTTTTGATAGTATGTGCATGGATCCAAATGATGAGATGAAAGCTGGTCTGCTGGCACAGGCTGAATCTCCAGAGAACATCTTCCTTGTGGGCAGGTGGCAGCATTTGGCAATAACATATCTGCAGCAGCCAGAAGGCAAGAAAAATATCCATGGAAAGCTGTTGCTGTGGATTTCTGGTCAGAGGTAAAGTATACATTAGCTTTATCTAGATATTTATCATCTTTGAGATGTTCCCTGGTAGCCAAACATCTGCTCTATTTTGGTGCAAACTGAAGTCACCTTTGAGTAGTCTTCTGGGGGTAGGAGAGAGATGTCTTACGCTGTTAGGAAGTCCCTGGAAATATTCAGAATTTTCTTGATTGCCTGGCGAATCTTGAGTTCACACCATGAATCTCTGCAGACATCAGTGGTTTGGCTCATCATGAGGAAGTGAAAGAGGCAGGTACCACAGAATCTTAAGTAAGATTCAAAAAACAATGGCATGAAGTTAGTAGTAGGCACAGTGTCTCCAGTTAAATTAAGAATCTGAACTAAGGAGGTATAGTTCATGTACTGGCAATGTTATTCTAAGTAGGAATGAAAAGAGATGGGGAGAAGGTAGGTGGTCATTTTGAGAGAGATGGACGGGTAGAAGTTTCAAAAGATATTTCAGATGAGATCTGAACTGGCAGTGCTAAGTACTGCTTCTTCCACTGTAAACTTCAGGTCCACACTGCTAAATGTGGTACCTGGTGCTAGATTGAGTGGGCCTATGCCTGCATGAAGTGTTCATTGGTTGGAGAAAAAGGAATTTATTTAATATCACAGTTTTCATCCTTTCTTCCCGAAGTTGACTATGGAGGCTTTGTGTCCTTAATATGAAGCTGGTGGCCAAAATGCTAGGTTGTAGAGCAATTAGATGTAGCACAAAAATTCTTCACTACTCCTCTAGAATATGGTCAGTAAACAAGCAACATTATAAAGACATTTCTCAAAGTCTGTCTCAGAAAAAAACGTTGTTTTCCTTTTTTGCAGGTAAACCTGGAATTGTAAAGTATGATACTTGTTTTCGCTTCATTCTTGAAACCGAGTCAAGTTAGTTTTTCAGGATACTGATTTCCTCCCTCTCATTGTTCAGTCTGTGCATGCTTATATGCAGTAAAGTCTTAAAATGAAGGTATAGAGGAAACTGAAAGTTCTACAATGTTCTGCACATGTGCAGTTAATGAGGACCATCTAGATAGTTAGTTGCCAGTTTGCTAATAGTTAGGCTCTTCCAGGAAGCTCCAGATGACCTTTACGGTCCAATTGGTCTGTTTGTGTAAATGCATATAAGGTTAATTGGATGCTTTCTGAAAGCATCAGACTTATTGCCTATGGCTCTACAGCACACGAGCTCTGACAACATTCCCTGGTTGAGGATGTTGGGAGCAACAGCCTAATCCTCAACAGATACGTTTCAGCATATGTGAACCACAGCGTTCATGATGTGCATTAGCATACTCAAAGGCTTTTGATGTTTTAGGAATAGTGTATGTTCTTGAAAGTTTGTCTTATTTTAGAAGTGTGTCTAATGTTATAAAAGTTCCTTCTTTGAGGTCAAAGGGAAGGAGGAAAGAATTTCAGATCTAGGACATCTTGTGTGTATGGCAACCCTAGCTGGGGCTCTGTTCTGTGCAGTATTTGAGTGCATCAGTATGTAACTAAGTTTTAAGGTGCCTTGATGTGGAAGATGGCTTTAGTAATGTATCATTAACAACATGGCTTCTCATCTACTAAATAAAAAAGTACTTTAAGCTTAAGCTGGATACTTCATCAATTTTGATCACTTCTTAATATTGAATCTTGTTTCTCTATATGTATTTTTAGGAAATGTGAGATTAATTTAGATTATGCACTACCAAGGAAATCAAGTTTGTCAGCTGACAGTAATAAAACATTTTGTATGATTGGCCACTGTACATCGTCTCAAGAAGATTTGCTTCGATTGTCGGGTAGATGGGATCTTGGAAATCTGCTTCTATTTAACGGTACTTTTGCATGCTTTTTACTTAAGTAAGTCTTCATTTCCTCTTCCCCCTCCAAGAATGAAGGCTTCATTTGATTTTTTTTTAATATGCCAAGCTTCTACAATAAAAGCAACAATACAGTTTTTGCCAGCATAATATATCAGGGAGGCAGTTGGCAAATGTTTGTGTTGGTTACTTTGTAGTGTGTACTTCTGCCACTGTTCTCTTGCTTTCTTTTTAGTGTTGTAATTGGCATTGCAGTTACTTCTATTTCTTTAAATAAGACCTTGAGGTAGCAGTTGGAGAAATAGTGGTACCTGCTCTGCTTTTTTGTCTTAAAGCACTCGGTCTCTCCCAGGTGGAAACGCTTCAGTTCTAAACTACTAGCTGGCTGTAATCTTGCTACACTTTGAAAACTGAGGAGCTTTGGATAGATAACTTCTCAATTTTAAAAAGTGTGCCTATTCAGAGCTGTTGGTCTTCAGTTCATGCAGATCGTTTTCCTGACTTGGTTTCAGTGCCTTTGCCAGTGAGATCTGGCGTGTGATGTGCTCAAAGTCACCGATCTACAGTAGCTAATAGTGAGCATTAGACTGTACTGATTGTTTTGGTTTTTTGTCAGCAGGGCCTACAAAAACCAACCAGTGATCTTCCTTGTAAAGTCTTTTATGCAGTCTACTAGCCAATGTATGAATTTTGCTTTATTGCATACGGAAGAGTTAACAGCTTCTTTTCTGGATTTTAGGTGCAAAGATTGGACCAGAGGAAGCATTTTACTTATACACATGTGGGCCAGACTTCACATCTGTAATGCCTTGTAAACATGGCAAAACATCGACTGATTGCTCTAAATATATAAGTAAAGAGATTCTACAATGTGAACAAATTAAGGAGCTCTTCATGGCAAAAAAGGAACCAGAAGTTGGGCCTTTGATTGTAGGTTTTTACTTAGAAATGGTTCTTAATCTCTCAGAGCTGATTAAGAAACTAGAAACATGCTTCCTGCTGTCTCCTAAAGGGCTTCACTTTCTCAAATCAGGCAGGAGGAAATCCACTTCTCATTAAAATCACTGCAGGGTTCTTCCCACTTATTTCAATGGGAGTTGAATTCCACATGGGGTGGCTATTTCATCTTGCTTTAGGTTGGATTCTTACAGTTTGTAGATGTTCCAGCATCTATAAAATTGCATACTTAATCTATGAGATGAGAAGGCACCTTCAAATGCCCTGGGATGAATAGCTAGCTCTTCTCTCCATTAGTGCAAAGTTAGCCCAGGACAGTGTAGTTAACCTTTTAACATTAAAACTGAGAGGGGAGGAGAGAGGAGGATTTATCTGGCTTTAAATAGAAGAAAAAAACTTAATCCCAATTCTCTGAGGGTTTTGAGGGAGTAAGTTTACCTCAAGTTTGGCTGGAAAGTAATTTTCTAGCTGGCATATCTTAGTTTTTCTTATATTTCCTGACTGAAACAGCCATAGCAGATGCGGATGTAAATATAATTATGCTAGAAAAAGAATAAAATACAACTTCTATAATAAAATTAACACTAGTTTATATTAATGAACCTGCTGTATCTGGGGAATTGTCTTCATGCTTTGGTAATTCCTGCTGTATGAATTGTTTCCACTAGAGGGATTTTTCTGATTTTTTGTTCTGCAGCAGCTCTGTAGCTGTAGGCAAAGGGTCATTCTGTCTTGGATGTGATCCTGCTAAACAACAGTACTAATTTTTTAATAGCTTAAGAAGGAATGAATGGAATAAGTAAAAAACCTAGCAAATCAGTCATGCAATTTTTAAGCTTATTTTGCCTTATAGAACACCAAGTAACCAGAAAGAACTACACTCAAGTGATGAATTAATCTCTGCACTTCTGTATAGAATGAGAGTGCCTTAAATGTAATTATTTTGTTTTAAATAACCTTCCAAATATGATCATTTTACATTTTATGTGACAATGAGTTTTACACAGGAGCTTTGGTTCTGGTCTAAGTCTCTTCATCAGTGATGGAACTTCTATTGAAATCATCTTATGGCAAAGCTGATTAAAGGATAGACTTAAACCAAAAAAAAAAAAAAAAGATTATTTTTTTTTAATTGATAACTTTCTATTTTGGACTCGCCACTTTAGGAAGGGAAAAACAATTTGCCCAGTACCTCTGTGTGCTCACATTCTTTAGAATTTGTCAGTAAGTTTTCTTCTCCAAAGTAGTTGCAATTCTTGAGGGAGTAAAAGGGGGATCCCTGGTAGAATTTTTTTAGACCTTTCTCTACTTGCAGTGCTGTAGCTGTTCCTAAAATTTGCTAAAGTTTAGGAATCCTGTTGCATTCCAGTGCACATGCATCCACGTAGAACTTAAGAGCATACTAATGGTAAAATAGAAATGAGCTGCCAAGGTTGCTGCTGCTTGCTGTTTGGTGGCTTTTGTGTATGGCTTTTGGTGGTTTCAGGGGTAGTGGTTTTAGTTTTTGTGGTTTTGCATTAAACTTTCTTGAAAAGCTTATAAACTTCTCTTGTTTCAGGAGAGTCTTGCTGTTGTTTATGCCACATGCTGCCCTGGTCAGTACACCATATATGAACCTGTTATTAGACTAAAAGGCCAAGTGAAAACTGTACCTTCTCAGAGACCTTTCAGTTTAAAAGAAGTTCAGAGCAATGTATTGGACTCTCATCACCTGAAAATACTTCAGCCTCTTGAATATAAAACTCTTCAGGGTATACTACATGAGATTGGAGGAACTGGTGCATTTGTTTTCCTCTTTGCTAGGGTAAGGGGATTGGAGAAGGGGGTGCATGTCTGTGTTCTCTCATATAAGCTTCCTTGGATCTTGGGTAACAAATCACATATTCTAGCTGCCTTGCTTTAATCTGCATGTGATCTTTTTTTTTCATACAGAAAATTAATGGAAAATACCTGTGGCATAACATGGGTTGTTTTAATTTGGAAACTTAATTATAATTATGTAATGGTTTTTAAAATATTACTAGTATGTAATATGTGGTGTTACATTCTGATTTAGAGATGAGGTTTCTAAATGTCAAAAGAGTTTAAGAGTGTTGCAGAACTGATCATATTTTTCAGAAGCGCTTAAATTCATTGCACATCTTTGACATTTGAAACAGAATATTCACAATGCAAGTATGGATAAATGCAAAACTACATGCATGCATAGAGCTCTGTTTTTATCTAATAGTTTTTCAAGATAACTCTTCAGCCATGTTCAAAGGCTTATCCTGTTTAAGAAAAAATGTAATTTCAGAAATTTGGCATCTGTGAGCCTTATCTTAGCTATTACTTAATTGTAGTAGCTGAGGCAATACTTGTGCTAGGAGTCTCTCAAGTACTACAGTTGATTCAAAACCTTAATGTAGGCCTAAATCATGTTAGTTTTGTATGCCTCTGGCAATGGTAGTGTTCTGAAAGTCATGTGGAGAGTAACCAATACACATTAGACTAGAGGCACTCGCGCGATCGGGCTTCTGGTTGTGAAGCCACTGCCTGCTGTAATTTTAACATCCATACTGAAATATCAGGAGAAAATCCTTATTCATGTTGCTGCATTATGGAAATATATGTGAAGTGCTACAGATCTTGCTGTGGGCTGCATCAGTAAAGCAAGTGAACGATAGATCAGTTTCCAGCCAGGACAAGTACACATGTACCTAAGCGCAGCGGAATGATTAGGTAGGTACTTTTCCAGGGCAAACAACAGAGTTTATTCTTACAAGTGATTATGTATTTCATGACCTTGTGACTTCATAGCATGGCAAAAATCCTAAATTTTACTTAGAACAGATTCTTTTCTTAAAAAGAGATTCTTATAATTGGACTTCTGTTTTCTTAGCAGATCATAATTTACCACAGCACGAATTATCACTTGATGTAATAATATGTGAATGTACACACATAAGCTAAAAATGAAGGTTATGTACATAACCTCAAAGACTCCCAAACAGACTTAATCCAGAAGTTATGATTTAAGGCTGCAACAAACTATTTTTAAGGCTTTTTTCTAAATGTTTATCATTTAAACGGTTCTACAAAATTTGCCTTTTCAGGTTGTAGAGATTAGCAGCTGTGAAGACACTCAAGCTTTAGCACTGCAACTTATACTGTCTTTAACAAAATACAATCAACAGAGAATACAAGAGATGGACAACTGTAATGGCTATTCTATGATTCATCGCGTGTTGATCAAACCAAAATGCATTGTTGGATTTTGCATGCTGAAGGTAGAGTGCTCTTTAAATCTGATATTTTGGTCAGTGTTAGCAGAAATTTAGAAACTTCTGTGAGTTTAATTCTACATTTGAAACTGTCTTCACAAAGGCAGAACAGTGATTTGGAGCAAATTTGGCGCAGGAGAACTAGTAACTCCTGATAGGTAAGGGAAGAAAATAGTATTGAGAGGTCCTGATTTCAGAAGAAATGGGGAGGATGAAGCTGACAGAACAAGATTTTTGAGCAAGCTTAAACTTGAAACCAATTGATAAAAACATTTCAGTGCACTTGAAGAACTTTATTTATTTCTTTTTTCAGAATTGTAGTGGTGTTATAACAAAGAAAGCTTTGTTATAACACCAAAATAAAAATAAGCTTCTTGAATGCCTCCAGTGGGGTTACTAAACTCAGTAACAATTCTCAAAGATGACCAGGTAGATGCATGCCTTCCCTATTAAAAGTTTGTCTCTTTAAAGATTTATTTTTTTTTAATAAGTTGGATAAGAAAAACTGCTGCTTTGTGCTTATGACATTAAAAAAAATCCCCCCCCCTCCCCCTTTTCAAGACACTCTTAGAAGGATGCTGCAGTGATGAGATTCTCTATGTAAATGAAAGTGGGCAATTCATGCTTGACACAGATTCTACTGCAGTCATCCAAGATGTCCAAATATTAGAAAAGCTGCTGCTTGACTGGAAGATATGGTCTAAAGCAAAGGTAATTACTTCAATTTTGGAAAAGTTTTAAGTCTAAAACTTAATATATAAAAAGAATATAAAAGTACTGTGAGGCCTGAAATTAATTTCTCTCATTAGATGTCAGTAGTTACTCAGACTTTCTAAAATTAATGGTCTTTATTTTTCTCTAACTAGCTGGTAGTAGCATCAAGTTCCTATTATCAATGATGCAGGTATCTGTAGTGTATTAAATTTTGTAAATGTAAATTTGCTTGAGTTGAATGGATTAAATTTTTAGGGATACTTGTCAGGACTGAGAAAGATCTGCTTCCCTCTGGAGTTAAGCTGTTGAAATTAACCATCTGCTGTTAATAAACTATGCAAAATGAGCTTTAGATAAGAAGTAATTTTTTGGTAGCTTAATCATAAATATGCTTGCTTTTATATAAGCATGACTTTTCTGATAGTTTCACACCTAAGAACACTACTAAATAACTGCAAATGATCAGGTCAGAACTAGAAACTAACTTGAATTGGTTATGTTCCTAAATTGTTTTGTTTGGGTTTTGGGTTTTTTTGGTTTGGAGTTTAGGGGGGTTTTTTGGTGAGGTGGTTTTTTTTTGAGGGGGAAGGGGTATGTTTGTGGTTTGTTTTGTTTTTTTTTTTATTCTCAGTGTGTAGACTCAGAAATCTATTTTTCGAAGACATGTTCCTGTTTTGTTTTATTTTTCAGCAAGGTGTTTGGGAAACTCTGTTAGCAGCTCTAGAAATCCTTATCAGAGCTAACCATCACCAGCAGATGTTTAACATTAAGCAGCTGTTGAAAGCTCAAGTGGTACATCACTTCCTATTAACTTGTCAAGTTCTGCAGGTATTTTCACTCAGAAATCCTACCTTGTGCTCGGCAAATACTCAGTTTTACTTGGAGGTGGGATGGTGGAGACTAAATGCTATAGAAAAAAACTGCTTTAGTAGACTGTCCTCCATGCTTCCAGGCCCATTTCATAATCTTCAGCAGACATTCTGTAAACTGATACAGTTCCTTTCTGGGTGCTCTGTTTACTGCTGGACAGAAGGGACAAGGAGCAAGAGATTCTAACCATCTGGTACTATTTGAAAACCTAGGCACCTGGTTCCCTATCCAATCCACACATGAGTGGGAGCTTAAATGAGATGCGAGTCTTTTTATAAAGGACCCGAGATGTCTTGTACTAGTTGAAGTCTTCATTGCTGAAAAGCATAGATAATGTGCAAGCAGGAGAAACTACCCTGTATCTTATCAGAGCTAACAGGGCAACTGGCCTGTAGTTCTGTCTGAGCACTCTTCCCAAAATTTTGATCCAGTAGTGGTTTCTTCCATGGTATGGAGACAGCCATTCTAAAAAGGACTTTGGGAAAGGGCTTCAGCCCTTCGATAGTTGCTTCTTAGAAACATAATTTTGAAGCATGTAGTATGTATCTATTTGTGAAAATACATACTGTAATCCCTTTTTTCCCCTACACTGTGTTTTCTATTTTACATTTCTCTTTGAAAACTTCATTTAGTCTTTTCATACAGCAGTCTCAGTGAAGATGCTAAAGAGAGGTGAAATTTAGAGACGTTAGGGTGAGTTAGGAACAAGTTAATCACCATGCTCACATTAGTGATGTTTACCACAAGTTTCTTGAAGTCCTGTTCTAAAAATCATTATTCAGTTAACAGATTCTTTCCAACAGCCATTGTCAAATGCTATAGAATGCTTGATCAATCAGAAATTATAATTGTCAATGAAATCTCAAATATCTGTTTATAAAAATAACTATTGAAGTGGAAATACAGAAGACCCAGTGTATGGCACTGTTCAGACAGTTCTTAATATTTGACATATTAGTATCAGCAACTATTTTAGTTTCTCTACAAATATGTAATATGGTGGATGACAGTAAATGACACTTTCAGTGGTGATTTGTGTCCTAAGGCTCCAGCATTTCAAGTCAGAGTAGTGTAATTTGTAGAAGATTTTCATGTTCTGAAAATAAACTTCTGTAACATCTGCAGACTTTTGATTGTGCCTGAATTTTGCATGCTGGACTTGAGTAACATTGAGAAGGTACAATAGTTCCTCTCGAAAGAGTGCAGGCTTTATTACTTAAGCTTTAACTTTTTTCAACTTGTCTGTTTTATGGCATGACAATTTAAAGAAAAGAGACAGTTTTGTCAAATGAAAAATACAAGTAACTGACAGTTGTACTGCTCTTCCTTTCTAGGAGCATAAAGAAGGGCACTTTGCATCCCTGCCTCGGGAGGTTTGCAGGTCATTTGTGAAAATAATTGAAGAAGTCCTTGGATCTCCCCCAGACCTGGAACTGCTGACACTGGTTTTCAATTTCCTCTTAGCAGTTCACCCTCCCACTAATACATATGTTTGTCACAATCCTACCAACTTCTACTTTTCCCTGCACATAGGTAGATACATCACATTTAACTAGAAATAAATAAGGTTAAAATGTAGTCATTAATTAATAGCTTAGTCTTTCACTCTTATAAATTACTATTCTATGATTATTTGATTGCTACATTGTAATAACGGTGTAAAAATTATTGAACTCTTTGGACTTAGTGAAGTAACAGTAGTTCACAGTATTGAGAGACATAGTTAAACTTTGCTTGGCTTACTTGAGGTGCTATGTTCTGTCTACAGCCATAGATAATCTCTCTGGTGGTTATGTCTTTAACTTTCTTTAAAGATTGATGCTGCTCAATGGAATGTGTAACATTAGCTCCCTGTATGAACCCATTTGCCTGTGGTCAGACCTTAGAGTAAAACATTTAAATTACCTGTGATTGAAGATGACTCAAACATGTGAACATGGACCTTTTTACATCTCTACTTTGTTTTCTGTTACTGAATTCCTATAAAAATAGAAGGCCTGAGAAGCATTTTTAACAAATGATCGGTTGCACTGCAGAATATCATTGACAGGGACCATCAGCTCATTGCATGCAAGTTAGTGAAAATACCTATGTGCTAGATCTAGCACAACAGCTGTCTTAAATATATCTGTACTAGATGATCACTTTGGTAAAATGAGTGATAGGAGCTTTAAAAATTCATTCTTGTTGTTTTGAAAAAGGAGAACCTGGTAGATGTATAATTCATGTATCATTGTACAACTTTTTACCATAATTTATGTAAATGTGGAAAGCATCATCCAAGTTTGAAATGTGTTCTCCTTTTGAAGATGCCTGTGAAACTCCAGTTTTAGTAATCAGTTTCAAAGGCAGTACAGTTGTTTTATCTGTATCTGTACTCTAATATGAAGAGATGTAAAATTCTGAGCAAGAGTAGAATGTACTTTGTGATACTTTGAGCCTTAGTAGATGATACCGTTTGACAACAGTCACCTGTTTTCAACATGGTGAAAGTCATTTATTACTGTTTGTGACTGCAAGGACTATCTTTAAATGCAGTTACTTTAGAACATCATAATATTTTCAGTGTTCTGAAGTAAACTTTAAAGATATATCACTAAAACAAAAGGGTTTTTCTCAAATGTTTTTTCTGATGTTTGAGTTGAGCACTTCTCATTAACCTCCGGTCATAAGCTTGAAATGTAACCTGACTACTGTGAGTCTCAATATATATGAAGAATGCAAACTCAAAAAGCTCTTGCATAACTTTTCCCCTTCTCTTTTCTTTCTAGATGGCAAAATTTTTCAGGAGAAAGTTGAATCACTTAGGTACCTGAGGAATTCCAGCACTGGTGGGAAGTCAGTGAACAGCTCTGCATTTATGATTACAACTCCAACTGGATTTACAGCTTTACCTCTGGAAGGTAAAACAGTGCTGGAAAAACAAAGACATTAAGACACAGTCATTTGGCAGATGACTAGAGTGCTTTAAAGTGTTACTTTTCCACAGATATTTCTTACAAAGCTCTCTCTGTCCCTTGGAGCTTGATGCCTGAAAAACAGAGTAAGGAGGATGCAGTTGAACATGCTACCTAAACTGCTCTTCATTCTCAAGTTGAGATAAGTTGCTGTATTGACAGCCCAGGCAGAAAAGTGGACCAGATAACTGAATAGTTTCATTTGTTAAACAAACCTGGTAGAGATGTATAAGAGTGCCTTAACCAGGAATTAGTTGAAATTGTGAGTTGTAAGCAGCTATCATATCTATGCAAAAGGCATTAAGCTGATTTTTTTTTTTTTCTGTGCATAAGTATTGGCATTTAGTGATACTGCAGGTATACTGTTCCTACATGGTAGAAGATGGGAAAGTTTATCTTGTAAAGAACAACTTGGTTACCTTGGTTATATAAATTAAAATCTAATAATTTTCTAGAAACAGTCTTATTATATAGCATACTAAATAAATTGAGGTCTATGAAGATAGCTGCTTGAATCGGTTTTTAATTCCTCTGCTATAGATGCTGAAATAGTGTGAAGCTATTACATAGTTGAAGCTGCTAACTTTTTCAGTGACCGCTGAAACATGTTGTAGATTGGACCTCTGATGCAGGACTTTGAAACAGAGCAACCTGCTTTATTTGAGCCTGCTTTTGAGCAGGAAGGTTGAGCTAGACAATCTCCAGAGGTGCCTTCCACCCTCAACGTTTCTATGATTCTGTACAAATTCCTGTTGAGGGTTTGTTGAGACAATCATAATGTAAACCCAGAAACTCCAGTATAGATGCAAAAATTATTTGTCATTTTATGTATTTTTCAGATTTATTACCTGCTGCAAATAGTTTACTATCTCTACTTGATTGGCCAGATTTGAGCTGTGCCAGGTGTTGAACTAGTTTTGCCACATAAAATTAGCTTGGGTCTTCACTGTGTTAAATATATGTGGAATACAACACTGAGGGAAAAGCTTGTTTTTAGTGTAAAATGAATGCTCAAGATATCCTTATTTCCCTAGGGAGCACTTCCAAGGCTAGTGTACAGCAGAAAATAAGCTCTCAGACACCTAAAAGGCTTTGTAAAAGCTTACCAGCATCTCCGACTTCCTCACCTCAAGTTCATCAAAAAAGACTGACTGAAAGAATGGGAAGGAGTGTTGATGACCTGCAGGCTATTGACAAGTGTGACTACATTGATCTGCAGGGTAGAACTGGTTTTGTAGGAAGCTCTGAAACCGTAAAGAGGGTACAGGAAGAACTCTTTCTTAGCAGTTGTGAATCTGCAAAAACAGTTTGTGACTCAGAGTTAACATCTGCTGAAACATTTGAAGATATTGCAAAGGAAGAAGAGTTAACTGAAAATGCATTTGAGAGTAAAGAAGTAGATGCAGACCTCAAATGTAATGAAGGTGATGGTGCTGCAGCTGAGCCATCACTAAGTCGTCCAGACAACCTGAAAGGACTGCCTTCATTTCAGAAGACTCAGAGTAATTTTGCAGGGCTGGGCTTAGCGTTTTCTGTTCATGGAGGATCGTCAGCCATTGCTCGCTGGCCAAGCCTTGTGGACAAGAATGTACTTGCTGAAGACTGGGAGAGCCTTGCTTTTTCTTCAGCTAATGAGAATACTGAAAAAACATCGGAAAGCCCTGATGATAGGTAAGCAGATATGCAAAATAGTATATTAGCAGTACCTCAGTAGATGAGCTTTAATTTTGCAATTCTTGGTCTTGATTACTTTTCTACAAAAAAGGTAAGCCTGAAAATGAAGGGTATGTTTTCAGTGGCTGTCATAAACCAATTCATTCAGCTTTCAGTCTGTAGAATTGTGTTGTTTCAATTTTTGCGATCTTTCTTTACATAGCAAACTTTAAAGATCAAGAATTTGGCATCCACCGTAGGAGTGGGAACTTTATGCTACCTCACAAAAAATCTCAAGCAAATAGTTCTGGTCAGATTATTGTTTTTGCTATCTACCATCCAAAAGTAAGTGTTAATGAAGAGTGGTAGTAGGAGTCTTGGAGAAATGCTTGCCAGATTTCCTCTTTCCTGCCCAAGAGTAGCAAAAGGCTATGCATTTTTTAATATTTCTTGTTGTAGACAAGAAACTGTAGTGCAATATATTCCTCTGTTTTCAGATGTACAGAAGACTATCTTGTGCTTATCTGTTGTGGGTTATATGACCTCTTGCGTGGAGTTCTCCTAATCCTACCAGATATCATGCTAGAAGATGTGATGGACAAACTTATCCAACCTGATTATCTTATAGTTCTTGTGAACCACCCATCTCCTCTCATACAACAAGGAGTTATTAAAGTAGGTCTATGCAAAATGCTTTCAGCTAAAAAGTTACAAACTAGTGTTGTTAACATGTTGGAAATAGCAAGTTTTTTAACTACCTTTTCATTTGCTTTCAATAATTTTCTAGGTTTACTTCTGAGTTTTAAGATGTATTTCCACCCCCACAGATTATTTTCTTTTTTTTAAAAAAAGCACCCCAAAACAAAAACAAAACAAACCACAACACAATTTTGACTCTTGCAATAGGTAAATATAGTCTATGATCTAAGTCAGAGTATACCATAGCTTTACTGATGTAAATGGAAGCAACAATGCAGGAAGCTGGTGACTTTCTCTTGAGCGTTAAATTCATGATGCAGTCTGTTAAACGAAGGTGCAAGCAAAGTTCTGACTAGTAACACAGCTGACTTTCAGTTATTCTGGTGTGTTATGTGCATATCTGTGGCCTGAAAGCAGACTTGAGACTTCAGACTGTTTTCAGAGATTTTTGTAGTATTGACAAATACAATGTTCCTGGATGTTAACATTGTGTAGATTTAAAACTACATGGATTTCTGTTTTGATTTCAGGAAGAATAAGATTATGTAACTTTATTAACAAAAAATGCATACACACCAAAGTGCAGTATATAACAAGTATAGAAAGCCTGAATGTATTTATATGTGCATTCTGACTGTTGTGTGTGATTTCATCTCCCCCATCCCAATTGACTAAAAACCTAAGTCTTGATATTAAAAAGATGGTCAACTGACAGTTGTAACAGGGCACTACAGATTGCAGTTGCAATAGTGCAACTGATGTTTTTAATCTGAAATTTTATTTTTTTTATTTCAAACTATTCAAGCCACAGACAAGAGCTTAACTTTCAAGGGAGTTATTTTAAATGTTTAAATCTTACATCATAATTATGCATTTATTTTTAGTTGTTGGATGCATATTTCAACAGAGCAAGGAGGGAGCAGAAGGAGAAGTTCTTAAAGAATCGGGGCTTCTCTTTGCTAGCCAACCAGCTGTACCTTCACCAGGGGACTCAGGAAGTTGTAGAGTGCTTTTTGGAAATGCTCTTTGGCCGCTCTGTTGGCTTGGATGAAGAGTAAGTTAATGCTTTGCTTTTGCATCCTGTAACTTATTACTTTAAGTACAAGCAGTGAGCCTTGCAGGAGGCAAGGGTATGTGATAGATTTCTAATTACTATTCTCTTCCTAGCAGTCAACAACCATACAAAGAAAATGTTCCTTGAAAACCATTTTGAAATGTTTTGCCTTGTACCTTTAACATTTGAATGTATTAAACTTCTTACGGCTACTGTGGCCCTTAAGCTGTTTGTAAGCAACTTCCTCTGATGGGTGCTGTCAGCTGGGAATTTCTAAACCCTCAGCCTTCCTGAGGCCTTGAGGGCCTTGCATTTCAAATATCCTGTAATCAGTTCAACTCTTCCTCTTCTGAGACCACATAGAACTGATTTATATCCTTAGATGTTTTAAGCAGCAGTCACTATACTGCTGCTCCTGGATTTTGATAGGTGATTAAGGAAAAAGCTTGATGCCACAGTTGCTTCCTTGGCTTAGCCTTGAGTTTAAATCTCTATTTCCCTTTATGAAATTCCCACAGGTATGCCATTTCCTTGAATCAAAGAGCCACCTCATGCTGAGAGGAAAGGAGATCACCTCTAAGACAACTATCTAAATAAATTCCATTTTTTAGAATTAGTCTGACTACTTAATGTTTGTACAGGGAGAACATGCATCTAAGTTTAGTCAGCAGTGCAAAGCTTAATGACACTTCAGAAGTAATGGATGTAGGATATCAAGCCTGCTGTCAGTCAGTATATTGTTATATTGATTCCAAGCTCTATCTGATTTCTTGGTAGTCTGTGCCAGTTGTAATACTTACAACTGGAAATATGATTTGTCATATTCTACATTGATTAAAAAAAAAACCACGAAAACACAAAACCTCTGTTTTCATGAAATTTGTATTGTAGATGGTAGTTAGCTGAAGCTTCAGATATACTTTTAAGATACTTTGTTTCCTTGTGGTGCTTTGAAGTGTTTATTTTGTTCCATGCTTTATAACTTTTAGCAGATAGGTGTTGTTACTGCAATGAAATGTAGGAAATTACCATCTACTTCTTAGCCAAAATAGTCATATAGACTGGTATTCCAGTTGCATATACCAGGTTGCTATTTAAAGGATGTCACTAACATTTTATGTTAATAGATTTGATCTGGAAGATGTCAAGAATGTTGGACTCTTTCGAAAATGGTGTGTCATTCCTGTTCTGGGTCTCATTGAGAGCTCTCTGTATGATAATGTTCTGCTGCATAACTGCTTCTGTCTCCTGCTACAAATCATGAATTCCTGTTCAAAAGTTGCAGACCTACTGCTTGATAATGGTTTGCTCTACGTGTTGTGTAATACACTGGCTGCTCTTAATGGACTGGAAACAAAGTGAGTATTGTATAACTTTCGTATCATTGGACATCATTGTATGAGTGATACATTTATATCATTGTACCATGTACAACTGTAACAATTGTATCATTGTTGCTATGAAATAGTCCAGGCACAACCTTAAGTCTAGCAAAAATTACAATTTTTTTTATTCTACTTTGTAAAATGATCAGAGAGAATGTACAAAATAATGAGACTTTAGGGTTTAGTTATACCTGTAAGTGAAAATTGATGTTTAGCTGTTCAGTTCAAACAAAGAAATGTAAAATGTTCTTTCCATACCTTAAACTTTCAAGTGATAAACTTTGTGACATCTTAAAATGCAAACCTGTCACACTGTGAGCACTTTGGATGCCTTTTCTGCTAAGACTCACCTGAACAGTAAGATACAGGTCCAGGAGATGGTAGCATTCTACTGTATCTGTAGGTAAACTCTCCTGTGCTGCCTGTGATTTAATATTTGAGAATCTGAGAAAAATAAGTTGCTTCATTAATTGCATGCATTCTGTACTTTAAGAAAGGTTATTCAGTGAAGGAAGGAGAGATGGGTTTCAGTTAATTTATTTCTTTGGTTGGTATCCTGAATAAATAGAGATTTCCTTTTTACCCCAGTATGGTTAAAGTTCAGCGTAGTTACAAAGTGAGATACAACCCTGTTGGTTTTTTGGTTTTTTGGTTTGTTGGGTGGTGGTTTTAGGGGGGAGGTGGGGTTGAGAAATTACAGGATTTCAGACCTGTTCTTTAACTTAAAAATCTGGTAATAACACATCATTGCTTTTCCAATAGAACTTTGTCACAATTTTAATGTTAGACTGTCTCAAAGAATTGCAAGTATCCAGGCTGCTAAAGTTAATGTTAAAGAGGCATCTTTTGATTAGTGTTCCAGTTTTCAGGAGTAATATTTTAACATAAAATACAATATAATATTAGGTACAGTTCCAGTACCTGAAGGGGACATATAGGGATGCTAGGGATGGACTCTTCATTAGGGACTGTAGTGATAGGATAAGGGGTAATGGGTTAAAACTTAAACAGGGGAAGTTTAGATTGGATATAAGGAGGAAATTCTTTCCTGTTAGGGTGGTGAGGCACTGGAATAGGTGCCCAGGGAGGTTGTGAATGCCATCCCTGGCAGTGTTCAAGCAGGTTGGACGGGTTGGGTGTTGGTTTGATAGCAACAGGTCTTGTTATGGGTTACAGTCTATTAGAATTGTAATGTTTCTGGTAACTACAACTTTTTTGCAGCATTCCCTTGAATGACTACAAGTTACTTGCATGTGATATACAACAGCTGATGGTGGCAGTTGCAATTCATGCCTGCAGCTCCTCAGGTTCTCAGTATTTTCGTGTTATTGAAGACCTCATTGTGCTGCTGGGTCATCTTCAAAATAGTAAAAATGCAAGGATGCAAAGTAAGTTATCTGTTTATTTTAGGGGTCATGGGTCTGAAGAAGTAAATACCTTCCCCACTGATTTTTATTTGATATTCCTGCTGAGGGAGAAGGGGGAGTTTTCTGGTGATGGATCTTTTTCTTCCAAGTGGTTCTTGAAGTAGTAGTTTTCCTCAGGAGTCTGTCTTGTGGTAAAGAATTGTTTACTGCTAATCTGAGCAAACAGTAAGTCATTAAGGGCATTTAAATGGAAATGTTATATACAGTTTGATTTAGCTTATTTCATGATAAGCAAATTCAACAGTTTTTCCACAAGAGCTCACTTGTGGACTGTCTGTATCTGTGAAATAATGAGGTGACTTCTGTGGAACTGAGAGCTTTAGCTCTTGGCATGTTTTTATATATTTTTTTACTTGTTACAGACATCTGGTAAAAAAATCTTGAAGGTGTGTAAAGAATGTCAGGTATCCTTTGTATGCTTCTTTCTGTAGATATAGCAGTTGTTCTTCAGTTAAGAGTTCTTCAAGCAGCCATTGAGTTAATAAAAACTACAGCAAACCAGGATGCTCAGGAGCAGGTTGGTTCAGTCCCATCACAATCTGCACCACATCGTGCCATGTTTCAAAAGCGTAAAGGGATTGCTGGTGAGTACCAGAAGTGTAATATCCTTGTACCTTCTCCTGTATGTATTACTTTCAAACTACAATTTCAGTGATCCAACAAATGGGTCCAGTTGCTTTGCTTTTTCTGTGGATTGGCTTTATAAATCGATAAACATATTTTTAAAATGGTATAGCCTGTACTCATTTTGAACTTGTGGGGTTTTGTATTAGGAGGAGGGAGTAGGGTACAAAAATGAAATCTTTCACCTTACTCTCACTGCAGTGTCTAAAGCCAGATATTACCTTCTTTTGGGGTTCTCTTCAGTTCACAAGTTACTATAAAAACGTCTTTACTAAGTAATTCATATTGGCTTTAGTAGCCAACTTCACAGTAAGGAAACACCAAAATAAAGTTAGTGTTTGTAATTTTAAGACAGCTATGATGGGGTTTGCATTGTTGTACAACCTCCAATTAGTTAACATTTTGAAGTAAATACTTGGCACTCCAAATTTATAGTTGGGAATGTGAGATTCCTAGATTCCACTGTGGCTGTGCTTGTAAAACACTGGTACAGTTCTAGCTGTAGAAGTAATACTTGCTGTGTATTTGATAGCTAATGAATCATGTAAAGGTTTTGGAGTCTTCTGGCTGAAAATTTATTTTTTTACTGTATCTCCTATAAATGAAGCTGCATTTAAGACTTTGTATAAGGTACACTTTTAAAACCTGACATGTGTTTGATTTAAAAAACCCACCAAACAAAGAAAACTGCTGTTAGTCCCAGTTACTCCAGGCCTCTCTCTATCAGCCTAGGTAAGTACAGTGAAAGTACTTTTATATCAACAAATCTGGTAAGGCACTAAAGATGACTTAAAAAATATTTTTTCTGAAAAAGAGCAAGTTCAGTCAAGGCCTACCAGTTCATTTCAAGAAAATTTTAATGAATATTCTTCTGAGTTAGAAATAGTACTTCTATCAAAATTAGTGGCAATGGCTATGGTACAAAATGTTGTTTGTAAACTGTTAATACAACTGATGACTCATTTGTGCTGATAAACCTACTTTGATGTGCAGTAATTCTCTTGTGTGATTAGTTTTTAATCCTTTATCATAATTTTACAGTAAAAAGATAAATAAAAATAACTTAGAATGTTTTACACAAATATGCAAGTTGTAGAATAAATCTTATCCTGTGAATAACTCATTTCAAAGTATCATTTCCTGAATTTTTTATATTTATTTTCAAATAGAAAAGCTTTTAAAAGAAAGACAAACTTCCAGATAACATGTATGTTCTCTTCAATAGTTATGTATTTCAAATGTTTTGTTTCCTTAAATGATGTGAACTCTTTGGATGGAAGCAGTTGCTTTGTGTATTTTAGTAAGATGCTATTAGTGTTTCTCTCTTTAAAGGCTCCAAAAAGTTTCCACTTGCTCAGTCTGATGCTCTGCTGATGAAAATGCGCTCACTAGCAAGTGAGGAATTCAATATGATGATGCAGCGGAGAATGAGCCAAGAAAATCCTATTCAAGCCACTGAGGCGGAATTTGTTCAAAGGTTACAGAGGCTGGCTGTTCTAGCTGTTAACAGGCTCATTTATTTAGGTAGGATTTCCTTTTGTTCACCTCTGTTTTGACAGCTAGTGTAGTGCTGTATGAAAAGTGGATTCCTGCTTTTGGAGTGTTGAAATGTTTGAGAGGAAAGTAATACCGCTGATGCTAGTTTAATGGATTTAACCATTCTGTCAGTAATTTGTCTCTTGGTATTATGTAACTGACAATCTGGAGACAGTTTTTATCTGAATGAACCAGATGAGTTGTTTTAATTCTATGTCTGTCCATTCATGCGTTAACTGCCTGAATTATTACCTGAAGATTTAACTCTGCGAAAGGGAGCATCTGTTCTCTGTAAGTTTATTAGTTTGCATGTTTCTGTGAACTGGCTACATTTTGTTAGCAAGACTTGATGACTTCAGGGGCTAGTTCAAATTCCACAGAAGAAAGGAGTAGGTATGGTAAATATAGTAGTAAAGGCTGTATTTGATTTAATGCCAGCTAAAGGACCATAGGCTTGTCTTGCTTGAGATGGTACTGATCAATATGTGCCTTTTTAATTTTAAGCATCTACTGAAGAGTGCCTTGATGTACTGGGTATCACAGAAAATACAAATCAAAGCAAACTCCCAACATCCCAGCTGGAAGTTCCTGAAGAGGAAAACCAGCATGATCTGCCTAGCAAAACAAATCCTTTTCTTAAAGAAATGTTCAAAATGTTGGTGGAAGGCGTCAAAGTAGCCATTGTAAGTAATTAGATACTGTACACGTTAAGTAAAGCATGTTTCATAAAGTTTCTTTATTGGGAACTTTTAATGCATGAAATCTTCTGCCCATAAATGCTTTTCTTACTGTCTTAATTAAGCTATGGCATTAAAAACTCTGCTTAGCCTCCCAGTTACTCTGCAGTTGTAAAAAAATCAATGCATCTGTTCTAATTTTTACCTTAACATTTAGCAAAACTGTCCTTCTTAGACAATCACACTAGACTTCTGTGTGGTCCCCAAATTTGCTTTGTCTCTTAAACCTCAACATTTCAGTTTGGAGCCTATAAAACAAGATCTGCTGTGCATCCACAGATGATGGAGAGCTTGGGCAATTTGTGTCTGTAATATATTTTAGAGTTGAGAAGGGGAATTTTCTTTTTTTGTCAATGGTAGCCAAAGGGTTGAGAGTTTACTAGCATATGGGGGGTAGCCTGTTCGCCTATCCAAGGTGATTGGGTTTTGCTTGGGTAATTTGAAATAGTTTTATTGGAAAACAACTTACTGTTTTTTCTTTAATTCTCTTAGACCATCTTTATAAAAAGTAGCTCAACCTAGTTTTCTTTCTAGGTCTGGAAAATTAAGTTTGTTAGGTCGAAGGAGGTGATCCTGCCCCTCTACTCTGCTCTTGTGAGACCTCACTTGGAGTATTGTGTGCAGTTATAGTGTCCTCAACATAAGAAGGACATGGAACTGTTAGAACAAGTCCAGAGGAGGGACTGGAGCACCTCCCATATAAAGACAAGCTGAGAAAGTTGGTGCTGTTCAGCCTGGAGAAGGCTGCATGGAGACCTCATAGCAGCCTTCCAGTATCTGAAGGGGGCATATAGGGATGCTGGGGAGGGACTTTTCATTAGGGACTGTAGTGATAGGACAAGGGGTAACGGATTAGAATTTGAACAGGAGAAGTTTAGACTGGATATAATGAGGAAGTTCTTTACTGTAAGGGTGGTGAGGCACTGGAATGGGTTGCCCAAGAAAGTTGTGAATATTCCATCCCCGGTGGTGTTCAAAGCCAGTCTTGACAGTCTTGGACAAAGTCGTGGGTGTCATGGTTTAGTGTGAGTTTGTCCCTGCCCATGGCAGGGGGTTTGGAACTAGATGATCTTAAGGTCCTTTCCAACCCTAACTATTCTATCTTATCTTTCCATCATGCTTTAGTTGTACTTACCAAAGATGGCAGTTTTCTTTTTGTGAGCACAGGCACCTCAGTCCAATGCCTGGTTTCTAACCTTTTGAGGTTATTCATTCAGAAACAGGTGATTAACATAGGACTACTCATTAAACTAAGCAGACAAAAAAACCCTGTTATTTTTAAACCCTTTACATCACAATTCACACTGTTTGGATTGTTGTATAGTCCACCTAGCTGAAAATGTTTTTTTTTTTCTTAATATTGGCAGATTGATAAAAATGTGCTTATTTTCTTGGAATTAATAAACCCTTCTTCAGTTTTTAGTAGACCAGGTTTTAAACTGTAATAATGGTCTTTAAACTAAAATTAAATACTTTATTTTTGTAGAGAAATCTTTGTCTTTACATTTTGATTGTACTAACTGTGTGTTGTGTAATGTGAAAAACTCAGTAAATGCAAATTCTAACTCTGTAATATTAAAAAAACCTTCTTACTTAGGGCACCAGCAGAATGAATGCACCAAAGCAACAGTGGAAGCGAATCCTTTTGTCATGTAAGGACACATTCCGTACGCAACTTGGCAGGCTTGTTGTACACAAATTGTCTCCAACAAGGCCACTGCAAGAGAGAAAACAGACTTTGGAGATGGTACATGAAATAAATCACCAAGAGATTATGCGTGACTGTCTCAGCCCAAATTTGCAAGTAAGTTCAAGAGTGTGGAAAAGTTTGTAAAACCTGTATTCAATGTTTTTGTTTAAATTTTACAGTTATTTAGAACTGTACATAGCTAAAGTTGTTCGCTGGTGTTTTAGCAATGTTTAGTGTAATGAGAAAGTTATGTCATACAAAATGCATATGTGTTCCTCTGAAATTGCTTATATTATCCTGAGGGTAGGCAGTTTTCTAAAAGGCAGGATGGAATGATGATCATAGAATCACAGAATGGTTTGGGTTGGAACGGACCTTAAGATCATCTAGTTCCAACCCCCCTGCCTTCTGGAAGGATGCCTCACACTAGACCATGTTGCCCAAGGCTCTGTCCAGCCTGGCCTTGAACACTGCCAGGAATGGAGCACTAACAACTTGTTTGGGTAATGAAGTGTCAGTGCCTCACCACCCTCACAGTAAAGAACTTCTTCCTTGTATCTAACCTGAACTTTCCCTGTTTGAGCTAAAACCCGTTACCCCTTGTCCTATTGCTACAGTCTTTGATGAAGAGCCCCTCTCTGGTGTCCTTGTAGGCCCCTTTCAGATATTGGAAGGCTGCTAAGAGGTCTAAATGGTGATGTCTGTAATGTCTACTCTGTAGCACATCATCACATCTCCATTGTAGGGCAGAAGCAAAAGGTTGTACTAGTTTTAACATGAAGAATTTTACTAAGGATGCTAGAACTTAAGCAGATTAATGAAGGAATTATCCTTGCCTTGGAACTCTCAACTGGAGATTTCCTGAAACTTGTAAGAACTGATTGCCACTAGATTTTAAAAGGCAGTCAGTCCTCGATCAAAGCAGTACTCTATATTTTCTTATATAGCCTTTATTGATTCTTAAAGTGGTATTGTGTATTCTATATTCTTAACTCAAATAGCCAGTTTCCCCCTGCCTTTCTGGGTTTGTCAGGAAGAAGTTTCTCTTGATTGTACCCTTAGTGCACATTTTAAAGAAAACATTTCTTAGAGCCATGATCAGAAATGGGCTAAGAATGTTGCTGTTTGACATCTTTGGGAACTGCAAGAATGAAAGACATTATGTAAGATGGGCCACAATTTTACTTACTATATACTAATGAGAGAAAGTGCTTATTGGATGAACCTATGACATGTGTTTCTGATCACATATACGTTGTTCAGTTGACACTTTTACCAGTAAGAAAAAAGCTGACATTCTAGAAGTGGCTGCTTTGGGAGAGTGTCACATTGAGTGCATTTATGCCCTGTGTCTGCTTAACTTCATTATGTCAGCTCTAATTTGGTTACTCAAATAAGGTGTAGCATTACTGCCAGGCAAAAATAGGAGTGCCTAGCACATATTTCCTGAAGTATAAACAAGGCTGCAGGAGCTGAGTACTTGGAAAAGAAACTTGAATTTCCTACAAGCCACTTGAAAAATCTCAAGATGGTGGAGGAAATTTTAGCATGTGGAGGATTAAATTCAGCATGTTTTCTACTTTCATAAAAGTTGCTCTTCAAACATTAAAATGGGCATTTTTTTTTTTAAATCACAGAAGAATTAGAAGAAATCTGCCCAGGCTGACTAGGAAGGGGAGTAAAGCTGAAATTATAACCTGCTCAGCGTTTTGTTGTGGAAATGAGAATAACCATACATCTGTTTTCCTCTCTTCCCTTCTTTTCATCTTCTAGCATGGACCTAAGTTAGTGCTTTACTTGTGTGAGTTAATGCACAATCACAGTGATGAAATGACCAAAGAAGAGCAAAGAGCAGTAGGAGACCTTGTGAATACGTTGAAATGTTGTGGCTATAAATGCATTCCCCTGAGCCCCCGACCAAAACCAGATCTAATAAAAACTTTGAAAGAGGTTTGTGAATAGAAATTATACTTCAAAAAGTGGATGTATTTGAGATAATTCTCTGTAAGATGGGGTCAGAGTTTTACTGCAGACAGTGGTTTTGTTTGGTTTGTGCATGGTTTATGCTTCTGGGGACTCCTTGGGTTCTGAATACTTCCATTGCTCATATTCAATGCTTCACAGCAAGCACATGCTAGATCTTCTTGGTTAAACATGTTACTTAACCCATACAAAGGCAAGAGTTTGTAATTAGCTACTGGTGTATCTCATTCTCGGGGGAAGAAAGAATTTTTATGGTTCCTTTAAAAAAAATACAAAATTCAGATAGAATGTAATAAAACTGGTAACTGGAATGATGTCTTGATGGTTTTAAATACTGTGAAGGTATCAGTTGAACAATTTTGTTGGCACATCTGCTTCTTTATTTTGCCCATTGAAAAAAAAAAGTAATGTATAAAACTTTCATTCAGGATCAGAAGAAATATGAGATGGAAGAAGGTGTGAACAAAGCTGCTTGGGAGAAGACAATGGCTAACAATCGGCAAAAGTAAGTGCCACCTTAGAGGGGCTTCATGGATCAGTTTTTGCTCATTTGGCATTTCACCCATTATTTTAAAGCTGTCATATCTGTCCATTCACCTCTCCTGTTATGGGCTGTGCAATAAATGTAAGGCAGGTGCCCCTGCAACTAACTGATCTTCAGTGAATAAAACACTGTATTAATTGTATTATTTCAGCACTATTTGGAGCTGTGTAGACTGCTGTTATTTGGGATAATGTAAATTTTGGTAGCTTGTGGTGGATCAGGAGTTTTTTTCCTGTTAATTTGGATTGTGAGTTTTGCCATAAAAATCAGATCTGAGATGCACACACATGTTTCAGTGTAGGCAACTAATAGCTGTAAAGATCAGCTCAGTTAAGAGGTGAGACTTTACTATGTTAAATATCTTAAGAGATTTGAGCAGTGGTAAATTACTATACTATTCTTAAGATGCTTATTATAATAAACTATACATTAACTAGTAAGCCATACTAATATATATCTGTTGATCTTCTGATGGCTTAGCTTGGCTTTTGCCACAAGTAATAGCTTTTTTGAAAGGCTAAGAAGCAGAAGTTATTCCTGAGTATTGTGAAAATCATGTAGGCTAAGCTGCTTTGCATCTGCCTTAACGACATATGGGTATCTGTTGCCAAGTTGACTGTATCTTATAAGGCATTTTGGTGTCTTGCCTTCCCTTTTCAGTGTGTTTATTTGACATTTTAAAAACAACTCTCTTTCCTTAGTCTCTTTCAACGTCTGGATACAAAATCTAAAGACATTTCTAAAATAGCCGGAGACATCACACAAGCTGTGTCTCTGTCACAAGGAATGGAAAGGAAGAAAGTAATCCAGCATATCAGGGGGATGTATAAGGCAGAGCTAAGTGCCAGCAGACACTGGGAGGAACTTGTTCAGCAGCTTACCCATGATCGGTAAGTTGTTCTCGCATCCCAGTGATGAGAGGAGACAGACTTTATGCCTGATACATGCTTTTTATTCTCCTTAGAGGCAAATGAAATGTAGATGATTAGCAAAAGTAATTCTCATTTTAACATCATATGTTTAAAGACTTGATTTATTCTTCAGGTTTTCAGGGTTAGTAGCCAAGTCCTGTTTCTATGCCATTTAGACAGCTTTTTTGGCAGATACAATTTGCTGTACTAGAATGAAGAATGTCATAAAAATTCCATATCTGGCATTACACTGATGGAATAACAACATTTTGGGGGTAATTTTATTCACATTAGCATCCAGGTATTGTGCTCACTAATCTGTGTAGAGCAAAAGATATCTTGACAAAAACTAAAACAATGGTATTTTTACTACTGCAGAACTAGTATTATGCCATGCTTGCAGCAGCTGAGTTTTCAAAATAAAGTATTGGATATATTGTATTGCTGTTCTGATCAGAATTTGCCACTTCAAGAGCAGTCCTGCAGTAGTAGCTCATGAGTAGTCAGTCAGTGGGGTAGTTTATGAGAATAAATTACAGATTCAGTCTTTTGATACTTTTTCAGAAAAAAATTGCCCAATGTATTACTCTAAAACTTTTGCCTTTCTACTATTTAAAGAAAAACAGACTGCATAAATACATATACTCTTACCTTTTTTCTTTAGAGCACTCTGGTATGACCCAGTCTATTACCCAACTTCTTGGCAACTGGATCCAACAGAGGGCCCAAACAGAGAGAGGCGTCGCTTGCAGAGGTGCTACCTGACTATTCCAAACAAGTACCTTCTCCCAGACAGGCAGAAACAGGAAGGTAATTACAACATGTTCTAAGAGCATACCTCAATTGTAATGACTGCTAGTGACTTACCATTTGTGGGGTTTTTTTAATAGGCATGATAAAAACTCCATTATCTTATCTATTTGAAGACAAAACACATTCTTCTCACTCTTCTACCGTAAAGGACAAAGCTGCAAGTGAACATATAAGGTAGGGTTTGAGGAACATTTACCTCTCTTTCCTGCCTTCTACTATTCCAATTAAACAGTTCCCCCACCTTTTTGTCTAAATAAAAATTGAAAAATAATCAAGTGAGATAAGAGACTTTTCTGCTGTAATCGTGAGCAAAAGATCAGAGTTACCAACATGTGTGTTTTCTGATTCTTTAAACAGTCTATCTCCACGACTTCAGAAATCATTAAAAGCAAACACCGTTTGGTGTGATATGGGGATGGGACTTCTGTGGGATAATCTGATGGGATTTCTTTACTTATTTGTCACTTAGATACCTAAGACAGGCAGTGCTACTATATCTGGTAGGTCTTTTCACCAGTGTTCAAAAGCAAATTGTATTTTCATCTTCTCTGCTTTTACTGTTGTGCTACTCAAATCTGCAGTTGTGTCAATTTACCATCTATTACAGGCCTAAAATAATATATCTGTACTTGCTAAAATAGCCAAGAGCACACAAAGAAATAAATACAAGTACAGTAATGTGCAAGTCTAGAGAGTTGAGGTTCTGTTTTCTTCACTTCCTTGAGATTTGAACCATTAGAATCATGATGTTGAAAAGTCTGAAATGGTAGCCTTTGAGGCCGTTAGTCTTAGGTACATGCTGAAAGGTACATAAATCCATGGGCAATAATCCACTTTGAAATATTTCAGAGTTAATCGAAGATGTATAAGTGTAGCACCTTCTAGAGAGACTGCTGGTGAACTGCTGCTAGGTAAGTAGATTTTTGCGGTCCTTGTAAATATTTTTGTGTAAGGTTCTTCTGTATACATAAGCTCAGCTGACTCTTTTTAAAGTAATTGAGCTGTTGCCTGTATTACATCTACTTTATAGATAAGTTTTGCCTTTCTTCCTTGTTATTTGTATGAGTGCTATTTGGACTGTAGTTAGGTTTTAAAGTTGCAGACTTAAAAACTTAAACTTGCTAAAAGATGTGGAATGATAAATTCCATTTCCGTCAAGTACTGTCTTGCCCAGGTACTATTCTTAGTATTCCTGACCCTTGGACACTGATTATGTAACACTAAGATGCATTATACAAAAAGTAGTATCATGTATGTTTTTACAACTGTTTTTTCCTACAGGAAAATGTGGCATGTATTTTGTTGAAGACAATGCTTCAGACACAATTGAAAACCTGGTAAGTATTAGAACATATTGCCTAGCTTTTAATATTTCCAAACTATGACCATGAGTAACTTTTGTCTACTGCCACTGAGATTACCAGAGTACTGGAGTCAGATGTCTCTGGAAAGGCCAACCAGACTGACTAGTACTACTCCTAGAGGTCTCTGGACAAGGCTTCTGTTGCCTCTGGCTGTGGAATTGGTGGTGGTAGAAAAAAGCTAAGATGTGGGCCTGGGGCTGGGAGGGGATGAGGAGGGATGTGGGGAGGCTTCTGTACAATGTTGGTTGTTGCTCTGAGTTCAGTAGTGTAAATGCTTGAGCTTTCTTTGATCTGCACAGGAGAACTTTTCTATTGGAAGCTGGAGCACTAGGAAGTACAGAAACTCACAAGTGTATGAGCTGTGCTGTACTCTATAGCATAGGATGTTCTCGCTCCCCCCTTATCCTGTACAAGAGAGGACTATCTCATGGAGGAAACTGGACCTGACCTAATCCTTTTGATAATATGTCACAGCTTTTGCATAAGCTTATACATCTGAGAGACATGTCAGAAAAATAAAGATATGGGCTATATTGCTGAAAGCATAAAACTGTTTTCAGGGAGCTCTTCTATGGCTCTATTAAGCATACAGCTGCTGTGATTTAAGATGTTACTAGCTGTTTTGCTGCTTTGTCTTTCATAGAACTGTCAGAATTGGGATTTGTGGCAAAGCTTTACTTGCTCTGGTTGGCTGCCCAATATTTTAGCTTAAGAGACGGTGAAAAGATGGCATTATGTGTTAGTATTAGGGAACTGGAGCAGCTGAGGAGTATGCCTGTCCACTCTTGAGGAGAGTGGAGGGTGGGAAACATGTATGAAGAAAACCACAGCAATGTTTTAAAGAATCACAGCAAAATTAAAGTTTGCCTTACGAATAGCTACATGCTGGCTGCATTTAAAGGTAGGCTACTGCATCCCTTAAAGAAGGAGGATTTCTTCTGTAAAAATCTACTGTTCAAAACAACTTTTTCAATTGCGAATTCTGCAGAGTTTTCATGGAGAAACTGAACCAGCATCATTTTCTTGGACCTATGAGGAAATTAAGGAAGTTCATAAGCGCTGGTGGCAGTTAAGAGACAATGCTGTGGAAATATTTCTAACAAATGGCAGGACTTTACTCTTGGCTTTTGATAACACAAAGGTAATGTGGCACTGATGCATAATATATCAAAGCATTTTGCTTTGTTGCCTTAACATATATGTTCATGCATTGGTTTTTAAGGAGACCTGTTGCATGGATTAATTAATTTCTAATAACTTTGAGCAAACTTTTCTCAGCTAGACTGCTAGACAAACACAGTCATGTTGTAAAACACATCTCTGATGTACTAAGACACAGAAGAATCTTAGTAATGCATTACGGCATATATCTGGAAATTTGTAAAATTAGAGAAACTTACTAAGTCTTGATAGTTTGAAGCTTTTTAAATTATGTGATTAAAGCTGTGGTGTTTTCTTCTAGGTCCGTGATGATGTGTACCACAACATCTTAACTAACAATTTGCCTAACCTTTTGGAATATGGAAATATTACTGCTTTGACCCACCTGTGGTGCACAGGACAGATTACTAACTTTGAATATCTGACTCATTTAAACAAACATGCGGGCCGTTCCTTCAATGATCTCATGCAGTATCCAGTATTTCCTTTTATACTTTCTGACTACATCAATGAAACGCTGGACCTAAATGATCCATCAGTATATAGGTAATATGAAATGTTTGGAACTGGTTATTTCCAAAGAGTTGAACTGATCATCCAGTATAGCTTTTTAACTTCATTGTACTAAACTGCACATATATACGACTGGAATTGTTCGGGGCAAGCCTGATCTGTAGTAACTCTGGGCTTGTTATAATAAGTGAGTGCTTCACCTCAAATATTTAAATGAAATGCCTAGTATTATGAGTGTGTATAATCAAATGATGCTGTGATTTGGACTTATTTACTGTCTTAATGGGATATTGATAGTCCACAAATTTAAATAAAAGCTGGATGTTTAAATTGATGTGAATGAAGACTTGCAGGCCAATTAGTGAAAGTTGAATAGAAAAGGAAATAATATTGTACATTATTTGGCCAGTTACAAAATCATATTGTCTACATTGTGAATTGTCCCACCCTGATGATTTTTTTTTTTAAGCCAATTTAACATGTGTGTGCACAAAGTCTTTGTCTTTATGTGATGCCTCTGATTTGACAGAGGCACTCTGCATTTGCTTGCCTGTTTCTGTGCTATGGTGGGTAGCCTGTGGGTCTAAGTTTGCCTTCAGCACTAACTGAAAGTGGCCTTTTTGTTTTCTGAACTCTTGTAAAGTGCTACTAAATTTTGCTTGTCACTTTCATTAAATTAAATGTGTTATTAAAAATAATGCAATATTAAATGATGTGAATCAACATCTTTATAAAAATTACAAGATATCAGTACTACTTCTATTACAGAAATCTGGTTAAACCAATAGCTGTGCAGTCTAAAGAGAAAGAGGACCGTTATGTGGATACTTATAAGGTAATTTGGATAACTTGTTTCTTGCCTTTTTCCTGTGTATAAATGTTATGGAGGCTTTAATTTTTCTAACATACATTGGTGGGATGAAAAGAAACCACAAAGTATTTTATGCCTTTGGTATTCTCTTTTTCAGTATACTGTGTTGCTTGGAAATTGTTTTATAACATGGTTTTAACCTGTGTTTTTCCCTCTGCCTGAAATCGTAAATCGATTTAGTCTTTCCATGGGATACTGCTGAGGAGGTTAAATTGATATCTTCTTACATATATTTATTATTTATTACACATATATTTAAATATCCCTAATAGTCAGAACGATAACTTACTGCTGTTTGAAATTATTTCAGTGGAACTTATGTCTGTTCTTTATTTGATGAGAGAAAGTACTTGCTTTCCCTCATGTACTCTGTTATTTTAACATGCCCTAATATGATTACAATGCTCTTTGCTTTTTTTCTCTTTAGAATGTTTTAAAGGCTGCAGGAAATGACAACATGCTGGGGAGTGAAAGCATCTGCAGCTGAACCTTCAAATATGTCTATATCATTGTGGTTTAGTGTATTATTTGCAGATATTTTTTTCCATTTAATATCGAAAAATCTTTGCAATGACTCTGCTGTGTTAGAAAATGAGGGGGAAAACTAAAGCAAAAGTAATAAATACCAGAAAAGATTTAAATCTGCATAACACTGATACTGAACTGGATTGTAAAAGTGACCATGTCTTCAGACACTTAAAATTTATTTGATTCCAAATCACTTTGAAATGTATGTTCTTTTAAAAGTTTCAGGTTTTATTCCTAGGCAACTTAGGCAAGCTCTTATTTCTGTTACTGGAATACAGTCTAAGTAGGAGGTTCATGTTGGGTTTTTTTTCTACTACTTTTCTAGTATTTGGAAGAAGAGTACCGTAAAGGAGCACGAGAGGATGATCCAATGCCTCCTGTACAGCCGTATCACTATGGATCTCATTATTCCAACAGTGGAACTGTGCTTCATTTCCTAGTTAGGCTGCCACCTTTTACTAAAATGTTTTTAGCCTATCAAGGTAAAGTTACTTTTGCTTGCATTTGCCTTTCACACCTGGGCCTTGTCCCACTGACCCAGGAGTGCTATTTCTTACTCTGTTTAGCATAGTTTATTAACCCAAATAGCTGAGTTCAATAAAACTGAATCTGGTATACTTTCACAATAGACCCATATTCTGAAATTGTCAATCTAGACCATAAAGCTGTACATCTTACATTTATAACTTAATCTGGAATGAAAAGATGACCTTAAATCCATGGTAGTAATTGAGATAGAATTCCAAATGTTCTCAGCTAACTGGAGAGCAGTTAACTAAGAAGTTGCAAATGTACAACTGTTATGCTGTCTGCCATTGATATAACAAATTCAGTTTGGATTTCTTTACAGATCAAAGTTTTGACATCCCAGACAGAACTTTTCACTCTACCAATACAACCTGGCGACTGTCTTCATATGAATCAATGACTGATGTAAAGGAGCTTATCCCAGAATTTTTCTACCTTCCTGACTTTCTAGTTAACAGAGAAGGTATACTGAAGGATGACAAAACTGTTTTCCTGAAACAGCTGTATGGTTGACCCTATAGGTTGAAACTGAGAACATTTATATTCCTAGACTGAATATGCTAAGTAGTAGCTGTATGGGAGAAACTGGCATATGTTTGCTGGATATGCTAAAAAAGCTGTTATGTAGGACTTGGGAGAAGTCTTTTCATAATTATGTCAGCAGACATTTCCTGTTGTCTGATTTTTCCATTTGAAAGAGTTTGTACAGCTTGAATGTGTTTGGGGAGGTGGGGTGGCTTGTTAATGGTGCCGCTTTGCTGATCAGCAATCTCTGTGCTTGATGACTACATTTCATAGAAACCTATAACGACCTTTTTGAAGTTACTGTCAACTAAAATGTTGGAACATTTACTCCCCTCTCTAGGTTTTGATTTTGGAGTACGTCAGAATGGTGACAGGGTAAACCATGTCAATCTTCCACCCTGGGCTCGTAATGATCCTCGTCTCTTCATCTTGATTCATCGTCAGGCCCTAGAGTCTGACCATGTTTCCCAGACAATCTGTCACTGGATTGACTTGGTGTTTGGTTATAAGCAAAAAGGCAAGGCCTCTGTTCAGGCTATTAATGTCTTTCATCCTGCAGTAAGTATTTGTTAAGCAGTGTGTTTGCTGATTGTACATAGTAACTTAATGGGAGAAAGTTCAGTCTGACATGCTTGGAAAACATCCAGCATGAAGCAAGATCACTTGCTTGTGAAGTCTTTAACCATTTCAGTGCAGAATTTATAAGATCCCAAGAACTGCTGTGAGACTTACTGAATTTGTTTGCTTTTCTTGCCTTGTGATAGGTGGAGGGGTGATCAGGTATGGAGTTCATAGAATCATAGAATAGTTAGGGTTGGAAAGGACCTTAAGATCATCAAGTTCCACCCCTCCTGCCATGGGCAGGGACACCTCGCACTAAACCATATCACCAAAGGCTCCACCCAACTTGGCCTTGAACACTGTCAGGGATGCAGCATTCACAACCTCCCTGGGCAACCTATTCCAGTGCCTCACCACCCTAACAGGAAAGAATTTCCTCCTTATATCCAATCTAAACTTCCCCTGTTTAAGTAATAACCCGTTATCCCTTGTCCTATCAGTACAGTCCCTAATGAAGAGTCCCTCCCCAGCATCCCTATAGCCCCCCTTCAGATACTAGAAGGCTGCTATGAGGTCTCCATGCAGCCTTCTGTTCTCCAGGCTGAACAGCCCCAGCTTTCTCAGCCTATCTTAATACAGGAGGTGCTCCAGTCCCCTGATCATCCCCGTGGGCCTCCTCTGGATTTGTTCCAACAGTTCCATGTCCTTTTTTTTGTTGAGGACACCAGAACTGTACACAATACTCCAAGTGAGGTCTCACGAGAGCAGAATAAAGGGGCAGGATCACCTCCTTCGACCTGCTGGTCACACTCCTTTTGATGCAGCCCAGGATACGGTTGGCTTTCTGGGCTGCAAGCGCACACTGAAGCCAGCTCATGTTCATTTTCTCATCGCCCAGCACCTCCAAGTCCTTCTCCGCAGGGCTGCTCTGAATCTCTTCCCTGCCCAACCTGGAGCTGTGCCTGGGATTGCTCCGACCCAGGTGTAGGACCTTGCACTTCCATGGTTAAAACTTCATGAGGTTGGCATCAGCCCACCTCACAAGCATGTCAAGGTCCCTCTGGATGGCATTCCTTCTCTCCAGCGTATCAACCGAACCACATAGCTTGGTGTCATCGGCAAACTTGCTGAGGGCACACTCAATTCCAGCCTTTCTGAACAGTTGTTTGCAGTGGTATGTAGGTACTGTGTTTACCTGCTTCCATGTCATTCAGAAGAAGCTTTTAATTTAGGCAGATAGTGCTGCAGCTTTTGATACAATTAAAATAGTTCTGTTTATCCTGAGCTCGTTACTTGTGTTCTTCCTTTCATATACATCTTGTACTTTGTCCCTCTAGTGGGTACTTCCCCTCCAGTAAATTTAATTTCAAATAAGTCTTCATTAAATGTAAAGAATTCCAGAATTTCACTACTTAATTGTAACACAGATATCTTGGATTGTATTGTTTAGCTTCAGTCCTTACAATCACAAGGCTTGCTCAACGAGGCAGTCCTGGTTTCAAAAGCATTGAGATGTTATTCATGTATTTATTCATTCTATAGCTGGAAGAGCTAATAAAACAGTAGTGTTTGTCAGTGATGGCTTTTTTCAAGTAGCCATCCAACTGCTTTCCTTCCTTATTTTGTGCTTATGTATTGATCTAGTTACTACCTTAGGTTTCAGATATTAAGTCTGAGTCTGTACATTGTTTGGTTTGTTTTTTTTTAAAGTGAAAGGTCAAGGTCTTTGTCAGTGTGACTGGGGAAAAGTGTGGTACAGAGAGAGGCATGAAAAAGAGAAGTAGAGAGAACTTCTGCTTTCCTGAACTATGAAGGTTCTTTCTCCTTCCGCACCCCCAACCAGAGCTTTAACATGTTAATTAAAAAGATAAAGAAAACAAACCTTTTCAATTTTTTCTTTATCAGACAGCAACCTGTCTGATTTTGCACAGACTGGTAAAAGTCTGAGAACCAATTTGACAGAAATTAGTCATGGAATACACATGGGAGCAGCTCCCATGGTAAATCTTGAAAGTGGTAGTTACCTCCATCGAATATGTAGTGACAAGGTTACTGTTCTCAGTGTCTCTTTAGCATGGCCACTGGGGAATGGCTTCTGGTCCAAATCTTAACCAAACAAGTGAAGAGTCTGCCTCTAAATTTGTGTTCAGGTGTTGAGAGATCTTTCTCAAAGACAAACCTTATTCTTGCCTCTCCCGTTTTATTTTTTCCCTCTCTAGACCTACTTTGGGATGGATGTTTCTGCTGTTGAGGATCCTGTTCAAAGAAGAGCTCTTGAAACAATGATAAAAACATATGGGCAAACACCCCGCCAGCTGTTCCATGCAGCACATGTTAGCAGACCTGGATCCAGGCTTATCATGGAAGGAGAACTTCCTGCTGCCATGGGATTACTAGTGCAGTTTGCTTTCAGAGAAACCAGAGAACACACCAAAGAAATAATATATCCAGTATGTCATTTTGATTTCAAGATGGCTTAATTATAATTCATATGCTGTAATTGTTGTACCATTGTGTTTACAGTTTTCTCCCTAAAACTGCAACTTCCTACCCATATCATATGGTAAAGAAAATACACAAAATTAAGGTGGTAGTGAAAATTATTTTCATGTTTTTGATACATTTTGTATATATCTATATTTTGTATATAACTAAGATCTGAATTTTTTGGTTATAACAAATAGATGTTGTAAAGCATTTCACTTAACCATTTTTATACTTTCAGTGACGAATTCTGGAATCTGTGTGGAAACCTATGGTAGATAAACACATACTGTGCTTTCTTCCATCTTTGTCCTACAGACAAAGAAACAGCTGAACGTTCTTTATTTTAAATACTTGTTTTTCCTAGAGTCCAGTGAAAAACTGAATCCTTGCACCTAAAGAAACCAGAATTTTTCACTAACTACCTAAACTGCAAGCTTGCTACCTCAGCCCTTAAAGAAGTGAGAGAACTCCCTTAAAGCTGATAGTTCAACTGATGGCACTAGTGTTTCATACTTGTCTTTCTAGTGTTTTTAGAATACTTGCACAGTCCTTACCATGTCATTCCTTACAGGAATGTGATATGAATAATTCTCCCTTACTAATGAAATGTTTTCCTGAAAGCTTTTAACCACTTTTTAATTTGAACTTTATCTGTGCTTGGTTTAGAGTCCATTACCATGGATAAAAGGTTTGAAGTGGGGAGAATATGTCGGTTCCCCAAGTGCTCCAGATCCTGTTGTCTGCTTTAGCCAACCACATGGAGAAAGGTTTGGTTCTCTCCAGGCTTTACCAACTAAAGCTATCTGTGGTTTGTCCCGCAAGTTTTGCCTTTTGATGATATATAGCAAGGAGCAAGGTATGAATCTGTGCTTATTCTCCACATGTACAATACATATGAAAATAAGTCATAAAAAAAATTAAATCTAATGCTACTCTTATTCTCCAGTTAACTTCCCAGATTAAGTTACTTTTTCCAAATACTGATTTATCAATCCAGTAACAGCTTCCTTGTGTGTGATATCTTTTCTGGAGGGTGGATTTTACTTGTAATTTTCAAAACTACAATAGAGGTTTCCTCTAAGTTGATATTTTTGATAACAAAACCAAGTAACCTCCTTGAAGGAGAGGGCACTGGAAAAGGATGCCCAGAGAAGTTGTGGCTATTCCATTGCTGGAAGTGTTCAAGGGCAGGTTGAATGGGGCTTTGATCAACCTGGTGTCCCTGCCCATGCTAAAGGGGTTGGAACTAGATGATCTTTGTAGTTTCCAACCCAAACCATTCCATGATTCTATGAAGTTATGAACAATCTATCCTCTGTCTGGGAAGTACTGTCAGCCTTTTTCCCCTTTTCTCCACTTCCAGGGGAGAACATTTGTTCAAACATTTCTTCAAAAAAGCTTTGTCCAGGTTGCAAACTGTCTTTAGAGAACACTCGGTGTTTAAGTAGTTTCTGAAAGCTGTTTATAATACACTACGGATTAAGCACAGCCCAACAGAAAGCGTCTTGTTTTGTGACTTCAGGGGGTTTTATATTCCAGCTTGTGGTAAAGCATGGAGCTGAGATTGAGATTGTTATTGTTGACTAAAAAAAAGGGATCGACTTCTTGGTTGTACATGCAATGCAATATTGTGTGCCTTCCTTCAGGTGTGAGAAGCATGCACAGCACAGATATTCAGTGGTCAGCTATCCTGAGCTGGGGATATGCTGATAACATTTTAAGGCTGAAAAGCAAGCAAAGTGAACCTCCAGTCAACTTTATACAGAGTTCACAGTTCCACCAGGTAAAAAAATCAGATTTTTCTGCAATTTAATACTGGTAATTTAAGTGGTGGCCTGACCTGGCAGAAAGTATTCTTGCTTTCATTTTTCTTGGAGACGAGCATCCCAGCACCACTATCTAATATGTTTCATTCTGCTTTGGAGTGTGTCTCATTGCTCTAGTGTGTATCATCCCTGAATTTGCTCCTGTACTAGGTAAAGATACCTTTTGAATGCCTTTGATCTTTGTACTCTTACCTCCTATGGAATATTGGTGAGCATTTATAAAAGCTTAAGTTCTGGGTCAAGAAAAATGAATACAGGAAAAAATTATAGATGTTTCACATTAGAAGTAGAACTCCTCTATAGCTTAGAATTCCTCTAAAAAAGAGTGTCTAAAAGATTGTTGGAGAACCCTGCATAATCTCTGTGCTCCAGTGGTTGGTGAGATTCTACACAAAAGATTTTGGCTGATGATATGGTTGTAGATCTGTAAGTCTGGAGTGATTCTCTGCTGTAGCTGTAAATGATGGGCTACACAGAATTTTCCTCTTTGCTTGGTTTCCAAAGTAATAACAAATATGACCTAGAGCAGGTATATTTTAACTCACGGATTTCTTTAGCTTAGGTGTTTTACATGTCTTTCCAGTCAGAATAGTTTCCGTTCTAATTTTTTCTGGCTTCGTTTTGTTTTTCCAAGGTAACAAGTTGTGCTTGGGTGCCAGACAGTTGTCAGCTGTTCACAGGCAGTAAATCTGGTGTCATCACAGCATATATGAACAGATTTACTAGCAATACGGTGAGTTCCATTGGATAGGATTTATATCTAAGGATTTAGCTGTATTCACTACTTCAGCTTTTCTTTAAACAGGAAAAGTGAGAAAACGGGATTGTTATATTTGGAGCAATTTTTAAAAAAGATTTTGATTTTTTTTTTTTTTAATTCTAACTAAATTTAATTTCTAAAAAGATTTAATGTTCTTGTTTAGTATTCTTTGACATTGGTAAATAGATTTATCTCAGCATGTTTGTGTTTGGTTTTGGTTTGGTTGTTTGTTTTTTTTTAAGATGTTATTCTCACACTGCTAGCCTCTAGTCAGCCTTCATCATCTGAATACACATACAGCTCCAACTGTATTCAGGTTAGGGCTTGGAACTGAAGCACTCTGGCACAATGAAGTCCCCTACATTAGGGACTAACTCTGTGAACGATAGAGAGCTTTTCAAAGCCTTAATTGAAACTGTGGAATGCATTTTCCCAAAGTAAACATTTCAAATGTGGAAGACACTTAGACTATGAACAACCAGGATGAAATCTCAGACAATATATATATTAACCACAAAGCCTTTTTCTTCACTTTGTCCTATTCCCTAAGGGTAAAAGCTGTGAGGCGAGAAGGAAGAAGAGTAACCTGCATTACTTAATGCATTAGTGGAAGATACTGAGATACTAGTAGAGATCACCCTAAAACTATGTGGTAACAACCATGGTATAAAACATAAATTGAAATTGAATTTCATCTTCTGATTCAGACCGAATTTGAGTTCTGTCTGACTTTGCCAGCAGTAACTTCTACTCTTCATGGTATTAACAAAGATTTTGCAGCTTTCTTGAGAGGTAATTTTTAGGTATCTGTAGGGTTACCTGTAATAACTAAACTGAATTCTCAAATTTAGGTTAATGCAGATAGATAAAGGTATTGGCAAACGCATTTATAGTACTGTGCTCCTTGATGCTCTTGAAATCACTACATCAGCATGGGCTAGGAGGAACCTTGGTACGATCTGCTATGCCTATCCAGTTTCCTGTTTTAAATTATGGCAATAGCAGATGCTTAGACTGGGAAAAGCACAAACAGTTCAAGCAAGTCAAGCTTCAGTGAGCTGGGTCTGAAGTCAGGCAGCTTAACTGCTTCCCAGAATAGTGAACTTGTAAATAACCTGTACCAAGACTTAGATGCCAGTTAAAAGGTTTTTGGGGTCCTAAAATAGAAATATATTTGCTTCTGCAATGCTAAAAAGAAACTATAGTAGTGGGGTTTCCCTGCATTTCCTACAAACAAGTAATTTTTTTTCAGCTGTGCAGATGTTCCCTTTCAGACTCTCTTTGGTGAATTTCTCAGTGCTGACAGTTTTACATGCCCCAGGCAGACTGACCTTATGCCAATTTTGTAGCTCCTGTTGTTGAGTTCAGTTACCCAAGTCAGGGCTGCAGGGAATGCAAATGCGCTTCCTAGCATCTGTTCTGTATGCATCTTGTCAGCTGTTCAGTGATAGAGTGAACAGTGTGTTATAATGCAGTACTTGAAACATGAATATTTCACCCTGCTTCACATTTAAAATTTCAATGCATAGACATAAACCAGATCATGTTGTTAATTGAATATGGGAATTCAAAAGCGTACTGCCAGAATTCAAAAATACCTCTATTCTGTATCTCAGTTGCTCTGTTTCTTCCTAGCCTTTAAGATGGTCAAAAAACAAGGTAGTACTGTTTTGAAACTGTGATCTATCTTGACAATAAGTCATACCTTCAAGAAAACCCCAGCTAAGGTTTCTGGTTGTACAAACTACTCTAGCCTCCATTTGCGGACTATTGGGGTTGTCTTGCAAACAAAGAGATCGTGCTTTAATGATCTGTTTGTGTAAAACTGGCAGTGATTGTTTAAATGCTCCACTCAAATGCTGTAGGTGATCATTTTGGGTAGCCAACAGAAAGAACTGCTATTTCAAGGGAGATGCATACCTGCATGTGTTACCACATCTGAATACTGGTTTAGTGGTTGTTATTGAAAAGCAAGTGGGAAGTAAAAAGGGGGTGTTATTTTAGCCATTAGGTAATTATTTCATAACTTATTATACCTTAACGCAGTTGCTGCTAAAATTCTAAAAATGTGAGGAAACAAGCAGAAAAAGGCTCTGTTCTTTTACAAAGATTATTCTAATCTCTATACAGGCAGTTGTCCTAAAGCATTAGTATTCTGATTAAGCAGCTACTTCAATTTACCCAGTTTTCAGGAAGTCTGGATCATTTAAAATTATATAATTTGAGTAAGAAGTATTATTTAGTGTTAAATTTGCTGCTTAGTTTTTGTCTGGATGTTTCTATATTTAAATTGACTTCCTGCATGTTTTGCTATCTTGGTATCACTGAAGGATTTGGCACCAATTTGAGGAATTCCCAGTAATTCCCTGTACACAAAGCAATAAGTGCTGAGCTGGGTTTTCTTTCAATTTCCAAGTGCTTCCTCTGCATGCTAAAATACTGAGACTGTCGTTTTGCTGTCATGTAGAAATGGCAGTCTTGTAGAAAACAAATCATCCAATTTTGAGGCGTGTGATTGAGACAGAAGTACAATAGTTCATTTTGATTCATTAGACCACATCAAAATGTTTGTTTAGCTAATGCACTGGAAGCAAATTGTTGAACATTAATGATCACATAATAAAGCAGTAAACAATACTAAAGCATCAACAACATCATTAAAAGCAATAGGAACCAATTTTTGAAATCTAAGAATGAAACTTGTCCCTAGGCTTATCCTTTTCGAGGGGGTAGGGGGAAAACCAACCAAAACCAGCAACCCACCACAACAAAAAAAAAACAACCAAAAACCTTTTTTTTTTTTAAATGAGTTCATGTTTTACCTTGCTCTTTTCCAGCCTTCAGAGATAGAAATGGAGTCTCAAGTCCATCTGTATGGTCACACAGCAGAAATAACAAGCTTGTTTGTGTGCAAACCATACAGTATAATGATAAGTGTCAGCAAAGATGGAACCTGCATCATATGGGATTTGAACAGGTACAAGTACATCTGGAACTTTTTCCAACAGCTTTAGTTTAAATGCTTGTTCTCTAGCTTCAGGGTATCTTTACCCTTTTAAAGTTAACTCAGTTTGTTCTGTGTATATTTTAATGTGAAGTCAAATACTTACTGGTTGGGTTTCTTTTTCTCACAGACAGTGCTGAAATTCTCTAATGAACATGAAAAATACCTTCATCATGCAAAATGCTGATTGAAATTAGTATAAGTCTTCTATGGCTTTAGTATAAATGCCTGTTCTCTAGCTTCAGGGTATCTTTACCCTTTTAAAGTTAACTCACTTTGTTTTGTGTATATTTTAATGTGAAGTCAAACACTTACTGGTTTGGGGTTTTTTTTCCCATGGGCAGTGCTGAAATTCTATAATGAATATGAAAAATACCATCATCATGCAAAATGCTGATTGAAATTAATATAACTCTTAAATATTTTCCTCAAAGAACCTTTTCTGTGTTTGAGTCTGAATTTCAGGCTTGTTTTCTTTATTTTCTTCAGGCTGTGCTATGTCCAGAGTCTGGCTGGACACAAGAGTCCTGTGACTGCAGTTTCAGCTAGTGAAACAACTGGTGATATTGCAACAGTTTGTGATTCAGGTATATTTTTCAGTGGAGAAAACTGTTGTCTTGCGGACCAAATGTATCATGAGTCTTGCTATTAAATTAGTTACTGAGTGTGTATTAATCATCTGAGGATGCATTTGGTCAAACAGGAGCACTCTTTTTTTTACATAGTAACATAATAAATATATCCAGAAATTATTAGGTAGGTGTTGGAGGAAATACAGAGATATAAAGAGATCAAGCTGTTAGCTTTTATAAGACTTAAAATTTCAGTGGGTTCCTGGGAGACCTAAATTCTGTGAAGTTGGCTGAAAAGTTGTTACTCACTCTAATAATTGTTCTTATATCACTTTAAATGCTTCTGTATCCCTAGAAGCAGGCATAGATCCTCCCCCATCTTTTTTTAAACCAGGTTTTTGTACTACCTTGTGTTCCACAGAGTACTGTATCTCAGTGAGGTTATTATGACCTGTTTGAGCAGTGGGGTTTTGAGTATCTTGTAAATTGTGTGCTCGTTGACTTGAAGATTAACTGTGTGCTACAAGACTGAGTATTCATAAAGCAGGGCCAAGTCCAAGTCCTCACACCATTTTACTGTCTATAAGGATACCAGTATGTGTTGTGTTTATCTTGAAACTGGGCGGGGAATAGGCTCCATCTAAATGCCAGAATATTGTTCCATTGATCCAAGGAGGTACAGAATAAGAAGGAAGATAGCTTAATTTTGTTTATCCATATTGTTAGAAGGTGGTTATCAACCCAATTTTCATTTCATTTGGGGCAATGTTCTTTCTCTTTTGCCTTGAGTAAGAAGGGCCTTGCATAGTACAGTATCTTTTAGCCACCTTTTCTTACTGTAGTCCTCCATAGGCTGAACTGAAACTAAAACTGTTCCAAATCAGGGGAAGAAGCAAAGAAGTACAAGTCTGTGCTATTAAAGGACAAGGGGGAATTATTTGGTAGCTTCAGAAACCTAGTATTTATTTAAGTTTTAAACTGACATGGAGACTTCCAACTCCATTTCTATAGCTCACAAATCAGGTTGGATTTGGGTTTGGGTTTCTTTGGTGTTTTTTTTTCTGGTTGGGTTTGTTTGGAGTTTTTTGTTTTGTTGTTTTTGTTTTGTTTTGTTTTTTTTTGGAAAGGATTGTAATCTGTAATTGGTGAGGGATATCAGTTTCAATCCTTTTTAAGACAGAGCAGTAGCTGGGTTGCTAGTTTTTTAACAGAATCAAATAATCCCGGATAACCAGGTAAGATAACTGTGCTTGCTACTTCTAAGCATTTTACTTAAAATGCAAGCCAGGGTACAAGAACTAGCTGTTTAGAGTAGATAGTATGAATTCCAGGAAAGCTCTTAGTGCTTTTCTGTTAGTACATGAAAATTGGTCATTAAATTCATATAGCATTTTGTAAGTACAATGTTCCATAAACATGATTATCTTCTAAATCACTGCAATGGCTTGGTGGTTTGCATGCTCTCTGTCACAAAAGGAAAGAAGAGGTAATTGTTCACTGCATAACACGTCACTCCAAGTCACTTAAACCTTGTGATATATCAAGAAGTTTAATTCTTTAACACTTAAAGATTCTGTTGCATAGACCTAGCTGAGGTCTTGATTTATTTTTAATGCTTCTATGCTATGTTCTGTTGCAGTTGGAGGGGGTAGTGATTTGAGACTTTGGACTGTTAATGGTGATCTCGTGGGACATGTACACTGCAGGGAAAGTATTTGTTCTGTTGCTTTCTCTAACCAGCCTGAAGGAGTGTCTGTCAACGTGATTGCAGGAGGGCTTGAAAATGGAGTTGTAAGGTAAGCATTTAAAGCATTTTTGTTAAAATGCCTTATAACTGAGGCTCACAGTTTGAGAGCATGTAGCCAAAGATCATGCTGACATTTGGCTTTAAAGAAGGTGGATGAGCTTTTGTTCAGTTTCCGATCTTAGTAGGTGCTAAATAGACTGTTTATCACCAAAATGTTTGTAAAATTAAATGTGGAGAAAAATTACTTTCTTTCAGACTATGGAGTACATGGGACTTGAAGCCAGTACGAGAAATAACATTTTCGAAGTCAGCCAAACCTATTGTAAGGTAAAAAGATCTTAAGTATACAATAAATGGATTTTTCTCTTTAGAAAAAAAAACAGCAAACAGAACCACAGCAAAATATCCTTGAGTGTTGAACATGGATTTGGTACAAGAACAGGAGGTAAACACCCATATCTAAAAAGAGCAATGCAATCCTGCTAATTATCCATGAAAGCAAAATAAACACAAGTTGTAATGGCAGTAATAACTAGGTTCTGCTAATGACAGATAGAAGTAATCAGGATTCTCTTAAGAACTGAACAATAGCTACTCTTCTTAAGGTTAATATTTTTTCTCCAGGATCTGTAAAAACCATAACTGTCAGGCTCCAATAGATGAGAGTTTTTGTCTCCCCCAGAAATAAGTTTAGACACCACAATTGCAATTTTTTTCTAAGTCCCCTTGATGATTCATGTAAGCAGAATTATTCTCATGACGAAGAATTTTCTGAGCATGGAAGACTGAGTCTTTGTCCCCAGTGGTATGGGAGTCTGCACAGAAGTCTTACAGTTATGCCAAAATTTTATCACCTTAATGTTAGCATAGTAACAAATCGCTATGAAAAAATGTTTTGACATTGCTGAAGTATCATTTAAAACCCAAACCACTAATCAATGTTTTTAGAAATGAAAAACATTGACTGATACCAGTTACTGTCTTTGTTACCCCCTTTAAAGAAGCATATTTCACAAAGCTTGTTGATAAGGACTTAGTGGCTATTTAATAATTTAAAGTTTCCTGTTTAAATGAGACAGAAAATGGATGCTGACCTTCATACTCTAACACTACCTGTAGCATGACTGAAGGGCTTTACTACTGCTACTCTAGAAATGCCTGCCTAAACAAAAGTCCTGTGCTGTACCATGAAATACAATGGATTTAGTTCCTGCCTTTGTCAGCAAGCAGGTTCAGAGGGCACAAAATTCTGCTGCTGAAAAGCCTTCCCTTCAGAAGTAGAAGGGCAGCCCAGGCAAAGAGTAGGATTCTGCTGCTGAGCCTACCCTTTTCTGTGACAGTGCAACTAAATAAGTACTGAACTGCACATTGAACTGTTGGACAAAGCTGTAGTTCAGCCTTTTGGTTATAAAAATGAGTAAGTGGGTATAAACAAATGTATTACTGTGTAAATGTACTCACTAGGTCTCCCCTGAGAGCTAATCTTTGTTGGCTATACTCTTACGGGCTTTTTATGTCTTCCAGCATTTTAAATAGCAAAACCTAATATAAAAATAGATTGTCTTCTTGTTTTACAGCCTGACATTTTCCTGTGATGGTCATCACTTGTTCACAGCTAATAGTGATGGAAACGTTATAGCTTGGTGTCGCAAGGACCAGCAGCGTTTGAAGCTACCCATGTTCTATTCATTCCTTAGCAGCTATGCAGCTGGGTGATGACAATTTTGCTGCTAACTTGTCTCTGATGCACTTTAAATCCAAAATAGATTATAGAATTTCTTATTTAACTGGATTTTGAAGTAGTTTGTCTCTAGAATGACTGAACACATCTTTGAAAAAGAGAAGTCTGAGGTGGTTGTATAATTATGTATGTGCATGCACAAACTTGAAGCATATCCAGGTCACCAGGAAGCTCTGGTCATATACTGCAATACCAGCAAAGTGACTCATAAATGCTCTAACATACAAGTCAAATGCTGCAATATAAAACATAATAGTTTTTTTAAATCACTTCTGGGACAGAAGTATTTAAAAAAAAAATTGATAATGCTTATTCCCTCTTTTCTGTTGTAAAATATTGGCAGCGTTAAGTTCTGTAAATATCTATTAAAGTGTCATCGTATGTATATCTGGTTTGTTGAGCGTGGTATACTTAGCTCTGGGATAAGCAACCCGAAACTTAAAAAATTCAAGGCCACTTAAAATTGCTTTTTTTGAGAAGCAAAGAACTCAGTAGGTGCTTTTTGCACCATCTTATGGTATAGTAATGCTAAAAGTTGAATTTCTGTTATCTTTATATTTGTAATTTTTGTCATTTCTCTGTTAGCATAATAGTCTGCAACAGGCAAAACTAAAATTTGTCTTCAGTGATGGGTAGACACCTCATGGCATCACAAACTAATGAGATCATGTTTTGTTTTTGTTATTTTTTTAATGTGGTGTTAACTCCCAAACTTTGCAACACTTAGCTTTTGCAGTTCTGTGGCAGAATATATGTTATATACACCCACAGCTTATCTTGCAGAGCTCTAAAAAAGGTGTTAAGGCACAGATGTGCTCCTGTTCTAGTGTCATTGAAGTTCAATACACTGTCAAATGTTTGAATCTAACTGCTTGAATAATCAATAATAGGCATCAGATGATTTGGAAGAGTTTACACAGATACACTGTGCAAATAGGTTAGTTATTCCTAGGTGCTATTTTTATGAGGAGGAGAAAAATAAGCCTCCTTAAAGGCTTAACATTTGAGTTCTTAGGCCAGATCAAAAATTAGCATTTCACTTGATGGATTTGAAGACCTCTAAGCCTGACAACATGAATGGGTGCCTACCAGTTATGTGAACGGCAAAACAAGAATGTTCTGCAAGTCTGATGTCATTTTTCTTTTAAATTGCTTTACTTTTTAATCATTGGCATGGTCTGCGCTTGCCATACAGATGAACTGCTGTTTTCTTATGTGAGGGTTTACCTGCCTTCACAACATTGTATATGAAATTGTCAAATTGTGAGGAAGACAACATAGAGGGAATCTTTCCACTTTTGAAAATTCCAAACAGCCTTCAAAGATTGTTGTGACTTCCTGATTGAGGAACTTTTCAAACTAGAAAAACTTAAGAAATATTCTCCTGGGCCATGGCACATTAGCTTGTTTTTTGTTCAATTAAGCAAGTGGCTACATACTGTATGAATTGAATTTTAAACTGTGTATATTGTAGCAGCATTGTACGGGTTGGATTTAGTCATGTTTTTCACTGTCTTAGTGTTAACGTAAGGTCCAAATACAGACTGAAAAGCTTCATAGCTCATGTTGAAGTGATGTGCTTTATCTAAGAGAAAAAAAATCCACACAAATATTGTGGTTTGGGGTTCTTTTTGTGCTCCCTGATTTGGGGTGTTGCTCACAAAGGCTTATTTTTATAAAGTAGACTTCCACTTGTTACAAATCAATATGCAAAATTGTTGGCCTTGTAAAGAGTGCAATATTATATATTTTTATGTAAAAGTAAAAATGATTTTTTGGAAGCAAGGACTATTTATTCAGCTTAACATTCTGGAACTCTTCAAATAACATTGCAATAGTATCTGTGCATGACATGTACTGAAATTTCCTGTAAATGTCACATTCCACACTGTCTTTGTATAGTCTTTGTATATATACTGTCACATTGTTGGGTAATAAACAGATCTTTGTACCAAATTGTTTGATATTAGAAACATAGTTTTGGCTTAGTTTCACCTCTTTTATTTTAGGAACCTTGCACAACTTGCTCCAGATCAATTTTTGCTGGTTCTCATGTCTTGCATATTTTATAAATCATCAAGTGGGAAAGTTCTGTTCATGGACTACATCATGTGGCTGTCAGACTGGATGGGAGGGGTGTAGGACTGCTGCAAGTGGGAAGCCCTAGGCATGTCACTTTGCACGTGTCTGTATGTGTCCTTTCTTCCCACAGGATTTGTTACTACAATTCAGGTGAAGCCATGATGCTCAAAGCAGAGATATTCCCTTACTCCCCAGCTGCCTCTTCCCTGAAAACCTGACCGAGATAAGAAAAGGCAGAAAAGCAACTCTTCTCTGGATTCTCTGAGAGAGGGGAAGAAAAAGGTGCTGGGTAGAGATTGGGGATCTCTGGGGGCCATCTCACACAGGATGCAAGGCTCTCCCTGCTGGAAGCTAGGGTTTGGCAGAGATTTATGTGGAAGGGCCTGTCTATCTGATACCACTTGCAGGACTCTGGTAAACCCAGATCATTGTGTTCTGATTCTGGAGAGATATATGTGAGAAAGGGAAGGGGAGGCAGTAGCCAGATACTCATTCATGGTAGAGGGGAAGGGGAGAAGAGGGAGTCCCTCTTACTGAAAAAGGGAACCCTCATCTCTGGTTTACAGATCCACTGTGTAGACAAATGCCTGACAATGAATAGGAGAAACAAGAAAATCAGTAGAGAATGGTTATCTGTAAACTGCAATAAACACAATAATTTTCTGCAGGAAAAAAATGGTTTCTAAAAACACTTTTCAGTATTTACTCTGAAACACCAATTTTGAGGATATTCTCTTTGGAGAAACTTCCTTCATACTGAGCAAGAACCTCCCCCCATTCCAGGATTTTTTGATTTACTATGATTGCAAGCTTCACTATGCATTTTGTGAAAAGAACTTGTGTAGAGAGCAGTGCGTAGCAGTAGCGTCTGATTTGCTGATAACAAACTTCAGTACTTTTAAGTTTACCATCTTAGTTTTCTTCATGGTTTCATGTTGGATTTTTTTTCTTGTATATGCTGCTACTTTAGCATAAAAATAATAAAACTTAAAAAATATTTAACAGCTCTGCTTGCCTTGAAAAATATCCACTGGAACATCAGTTAAACTTCCAGAGCTACAGACAGTGCTGTTTTCTTTGCTACTGTTACAAGTTGGAGGCTACTGACAAATGACTTCTGTGTAGAGATTTACTTGCCAAGTGACTTCTGTGTAGAGATTTACTTGCCACTACTGCTCTAGAGTTGGGTCACAGCCACTGATGTTGCATCTGGATTTCTGTAATAGGCTGTGTTTTGGTATTTCACAATTTGGGTTGGGTCACTTTTGAAAGAGGATAAAGAGCTAGTGTTCCCAGGAACATAATAGAGAATCTGGAGTTTTAAAATGCACTTTAATGAAGCTCATATAAGTTTATTGGGTGTAGGGCATGTAGATTCAAGGAACCAAAATTGATGCTAGCTGTTACACATACTGCCTTCAGAGCCTATAGCCCAAGTCCAGTAGGAGACTACTGGCTCTGGTAGAACATACAAGTTTGCAGATTAGAAAGGAAACATGTTTACATAATACATGATGAGAATACATTTTTAAAATGACTCTTTCCACCCTTGTATTGTGGCTTAAAGAATAAAATTGTTATAAATTGGTGACAGCTAAATTACTAGAACCATTTAGTATGCATTCTTTGTCTAATACCATGTAAATAATTTATCTGGTAAATAGAGCCTTTGTGGAACGAGGATGTAATTAAATGTGAATAAAATAGTAGCAATTTTTGACCAGTTTTTGGTGTCTGGTTAGGGTAAACTTATGAAGTCACCTATTTATATTCAGTAATACTTTTGTCCTGCTCCCAAGCCACAACCCTCTTCGTTCACTCTTTGAAGAGGCTGCCCATGCTCCAATGTGCCTTTAAAAAGCAGGGCTCTTCCCTCTTTTGTATTGAAATGTCACTTGGAAAGGCTTCTGCTCAGTTAATGCGGAGTGTGAAAAAGTGCTGATAGCAGGATGATAAATGCACGCCTTTCCAGAGCAAACAGCCACGTTACTGGGGAGCAAAACGGATGAGGTTGTGGTGGTGGTGGTACTCTTGGCAACGTGTTAACCATTGGGGCAGACAGTTTTTCCAGTTAAAAACGTTAACTAGCACATTAACTGCTGCTGACCTTTATCCTTGACTTTCAAATTTGTAATGGAGAAGTATATAAAAATGAACTATAAAGCTGAATTATTTTATTCTGGCATACTTGCCTTCACAATTTAAGTCTGAGTGGTCCCTTTCCCACAGGGGTTTCTTTTTTTGCAGTGGGCTTTTGGGTTTTTTTACTTCATCTTTGCATTGTTCAGTGCGAGGAAATGACAGGCACTGCGGGCTCTTCCTCAAACCCATGTCGTACAGGGTTCAACATTCAGAAACGGGTGCATGACCGATCCCGGGAAGTAGGTGCCACTGCGCGGGACGGCGGAGGCCGCGAGGTGCAGAGCCGGGCCGCGCCTCAAGTTTACCTCACGGCCAGGTCCCGCTTCCCGCCCTGCGCTAGTAACGGCCGCTCGCCGCGCGGGGAGGGGCCCACAACGGCTGTGGCAGCCCGCCCCGCCCGTCAACACCGGCCGCGCCATGTGCCGGCGGGCGCCGAGCTGGGAACCCCCCAGCCGCCACCCCCGCCTGCTGCCGCCCGCGAGCTCCGAGTGCCCGGCGGCACACCGCCGCTGCACGGGAGGCGGGAGCGCGTAGGGCGGGTCCGGCCGGCCCCGGCGGCCGGGTAGCTGCGCTTCCGCGCGGGGGTTTCTTCGTCGCTGCGACGGCTCTGGTGTGCTGGAAAACCCGCGGCTGCCTCCGCCCGCCCGGCCGGTCCCGTCCGCTGCCGGTAAACAACGCCGCTCCGGCTGCCCGCAGAAACCGTCTCCGGGCTTTGGGTTTCCTTGTTGTCGTCTTCGGGGGTTGGGAGAGATCGTCCTTGTCCAGACAGCCCGGTTCAACCCCCTGTACCCCTCCCCGCGGGCGCTGAGTGAGTGGGGTCTGCTCCCCTCCCTCCGGCTGTCTGGTGCGGCGGCGCCAGAGAGCGGCTGCTCAGCGGCTGGCGGCTTCGCACGGCGGGGGAATAAACCCCTTTCGTGTGCGGGGTGTGAGCGGCTGCACGGCGGAACGAGTGACATCAAACTCGGAATAGCGACTCGAAAAGCGGCTCTGTCCTGCAGGTAATAGAGTGCCAGGCTTCTCAGGGGCGCTTTCTTTGCTTTATGTGTCATAATTCACTTCAAATACATTTAAACCAGGATTTAAGTGGAATAATCAAACTTTCCCGGATATTTCTTTTCAAGATCATAGCTATCTTTTAAAGTTAGCTAAAGAGGTAAATTAGAAGGTAGGAATCACTTTTCTGTGTCTCTGGCGGTTTGCTGGACTGTACATGCACATAACCTGCATGCTGATGATAAATATATTGCATAAAAAGAATTGTCCTTGTGAAATGTCATATTGGTTCAGCCATTGTTTCCTTAGATTTTTAAATGTTGAAAAACCAGATGATATTTTTGGGTAAAAGATTTAGGCATGGTGACAAGACTTCTTGTAACTTGACAGTGGGACTGGCTTGTACCTGTGTTAGGTGAAAATTGATCTGAAGTTGGGCAGTTTGCAGCTATGTGATCAGTTATTTTTGAAGTCACCATATTTATGGCATGAAAATTATATTCTTATGGTCAGAAATAGACAAATAGTCTTTCCTTTAATCTAATAATTTCTGCTTGTACTACTAAGCTTGTCCTTAGTGGATGGAGTATCCAATTGTAGTAATTCTCTATTCTTCATGCAGCCATGGGATAGAGAAAGCAAAAGGGTTCCTTAGGCTCCCTCTGTGTTTACAGAGCTACATCAGGTGCAGTAAATCTTGCAACAGATAGCAGGGGCAGTTCTTCCTATCCTTCATGCCTTGCAGATGAAAGGGAAATGACCTGTGTCATGTGGACAGTGATGCTAGCACAGATAGTTACCGGTCTTAATGCAGGGGTATTTATTAAGTTTCTCTTACCTAAATAGCAAATGTAGAACTCTCTCTCCTCATCTCCCTCCCCTTTTTTCCCCTCTTTTTCTTCCCCCCTCTTTTTTTTTCACCCTTCTCCCCCCTTTTTCCCCCCTGTCTTCCCACTCTTTTCCCCTTCCTCTTAAAAAAAAAACCTCTCCTTTTTTAATTTATTTTTATTTTAAGTATGTCTTCTTCTTTTGTTTTCCTTTGATATGCCAGTTTGGCACCAAACATCTGTGATGTTTTACTGTCTATATTCTTAGTGTGTTTGCAAGTGGATGATGAAATGCGCAATTTAGAATGTGATTTGTAGGTCATTATTCGGCGATGGTGCCCACTGAGTCCCTGGGACTTAGCTGGATGATTATGTTAACTCTTCCGTTGTGCTGCATGGTCCATGTAATAAGTGAAGAGCTTGTGTGGAAGGTGTTCTTCAGAGTCATGAACCCCAGGTTCTCTAGTCTAATAATTTCAGGTCCATTACTTTAGATTGCTGAAAGAAAACAAAATCAATTGGGATTAGGACTTTTTAGATTGAATTCTACAGGTCACTTTTTTTCGTATGGTGTTTTAAGGTTGTACTTGAAGTGGAAAGGGGAAATCGTAGTGCAGCTTTTCATCCCTGTTGCTTGTAGAAATCTGTATTGAAAGGCTTGAAAATCAGATTTTTTCTTCTGTGTTACTCAAGTTTTTCAGACTTTTTCTGCATTTTACTAACAAGTGTTTATGAAGTTTGGTAAATGTAGGTTGCACTCCTTACCTTTATGTAAAATCAAGCTTTACTTGCAAATACTATGCAACTTCCTGGCTTATAAGATAGATTTGCCTTCGAAGTGCTGTTGGGTACAATCTAACCTGTTCTAAAAACAAATAGAAGTTGCTCCTCATGAGCATTTTTATGAGCCCTGGAGATTAAGATCTTTGGCACAAATGAGTGAACTGCACCCAGAAAAATGATGAAGTTTGTGTGAGTTCAAAAACCCCAAACCCCAGAAAATTCAGGTGTCTGGGGAGCTGTCACTGCACAGCTCTCAGGAGTGATGCTTTAGGAAACGCTGACTAGCATGGTGTGCCAGTCAGCAGAAACTACTTGGCTGAAAAAGGCCATGTAGCTGCTGTCACTGTTCTTTGTTAATGTGATCAGCATTCCCCTTAAAGAATCACAGAGACTAAATTAACGTGCTTAGTGCACTGCATAGAAATACACTGGACAAATGAGCTCCTGTACAGTCTAGCTCCATTGGCATACATCAGTAATGTGTAGACCGCACGTAATCTGATTGCTAACATAGTTACTGTAACTACGGTGATTATCGAGACCTGTGTATGTCTGTATTGATCTAACTTAATAGGGGGCTGCTGGAAAAACAACCAGAAATGGATATGAGCAAACCCAGCTGTGTGATTTATGGTTCAAGGCTTTTTAGGTAATTTAAAAGATGGGGAGAAGTTACTCCTTTTGAGCATCAAATGGAGCATGACCAGCAAAGTCGAGGGGGGTGATTCTTCCCTTCTACTCTGCTCTTGTGAGATCCCACCTAGAGTACTGTGTCCAGCTCTGGAGGCATCAGCATAAGAAGGATGTGAACCTGTTGGAGTAGGTCCAGAGAAGGGCCACAAAGATGATCAGAGGGCTGGATGGAGCATCTTTCCTATGAGGAAAGGCTGAAAGAGGTGGGCTCGTACAGCCTGGAGAAGAGAAGGCTCCTTAGGAGACCTTAGAGCAGCCTTCCAGTACCTAAAGGGGGCCTATAAAAAATCTGGAGAAGAACTTCAACAAGGCTATGTAGTGACAGGACAAGGGGGAATGGCTTTAAATTGAAAGAGGGAAATTTAGATTAGCTATTAGGAAGCAGTTCTTTACTGTGAGGGTGGTGAGACACTGGCACAGGCTGTCCAGAGAAACTGTGGCTGCCCCATCCCTGGCAGTGTTCAAGGCCAGGCTCGACAGGGCTCTGAGCAACCTGGTCCAGCTGAAGATGTCCCTGCTTATTGCAGGGAGGGTGGAGTAGATGACCTTATAAGGTCTCTTCCGACCCAAACTTTTCTATGATTCTATGATCTTGTAGGCTTTCCCATAGATGCACTACAAAGCTAATTGTGTCTTCCCAAGGGTCTAAAGACCTCGAGAGCACTTGACTGTTTAAAAAGAACTGTCTTAGGAGGGAGAGTCAGAGCCAGTTTTCAGGCTGCAGCTTCAAAGAAACACAGAGAGAGATCCCATCAGAGGGTGTTTGGAGGAAGAGGCTTTCTCACATTCCAGGGGATGGTCATTCAGGGAGAGTGTAATAGACTCTTGTTATTAAAACTTCTTTTCAGAGCCTTATTTCTAAGTAACAATATTATTTCATTAAAGAATATTAGGCTTAAGGTTAAGAAAGAATATCATAGGCCCTAAGGAGAGCAGAACCAGATCTCAGCCAGAGCTTTGTCTGGAAAGAGGACCAGTTCATCACAGCCTGTTTTGAAAGTGAGTACAATTCTCATTGTCAATATCACTTCATATTTAATAGGTTCTTGAGTGATGCTGTGCAATATGTACTGTATTTGCAGAGAGTAAGAGAAGGCAGGTGTATGTGTAGCCTCATAAGAGAAATGTGAAACAGGAGGAATCCATCTTACAAAGTTCTGGAACCAGAACTGTCAGTATGAAAAAAAGACATTAGATACTTAAATGGATGCTAAGCACTTCCAGAAATATGGTAGTTAAATATTTAAGTGTGTGTGAAGGCCAGGGTAAGAGCAGGATTTGGAACAGAGCAAGTGTTTGTGCTTCAGAGGATAAACAAACCTCTTACTCAGGATAAGTGGAAATTTTCTCCAGTGGCTGAAACACCTAGTGCCAGACTATTTTTTTTTAAAGTTCTCTTTACAAAGCCTCCTATTCTGATTGTTTTCTGAGATCATGAAGTAGTTTACCAGACAAGATGCATATTTTCTTTTTTAACTTTTTCCCCATTTGCCATTTCAAAAGATAGATAAGGACATACGGTGTGGCACTGTTTTCAAAATGGGGTTTGGATTTTTTTTTAAAGCATTTTTGTGTCTAATAGGCTTTTCAAAATTGCATTATGGTCTTACCTCAATCTGTTATTCAGTAGATGCTTAAAAACTAGTGGGAAGTACTAGAAGCAATGTTTTCACCTACTTCGATGCAGCCAGCAGCAGTTCAAATTGTCTGGCTCTAATGTTTATAACTTTCTTGGTTTGAGTGAAGGAATTGCCAGAAAAGCTTGGGAGGTTGGAATTCTCTGGACTTCTCACGGAGTTTGAGTTTCTTAATTCAGTTTAATTTAAAAGTATTGTTCAAAATAAAATTTCTAAATTGCATCTGATCTTGGGCTGTGGCAAATGTAGAAATCAGTGACTTTATTGAGTTTTGCCTTTTTGGCTCTGTGGGCATTACTAGTCTAGCTATGGAGATGGTAACAAAGTTGGAATTATTCATACTTGGGGGGGGGTCATTTTGTAAATAAAGATAAAATGTGGTTTTATTATTTTTATGGGTCAGATGAGACTTAAATCTAGGGGTTGAGTCAAATAAAAAGTCCAGAGATAAGCTGTAATTTAGAACCTCCAGTTCTTGTGAATGTCTCATATCCTTTCCACTTGTCCACTGCAAGTCAAAACACATCTGGAAATTGGAGGCTGCTACTTGATTGTGGGGTTTTGTACCATACATGGCATTTTATGCAAAGCCAGTTCCTCCACATGTGTTTAATCCTGTGCCTTGCGAGGAACATGAGCTAAAAGACTGTAAACAAAGATCAAGTCAAAAAACAAAGCTGCTGTGTTCTGACATGATTTTAGTTTGTCATAGTGCATGCAAGGGGGAAACTTGTGTTCCATTCAATGATACATGTGTACAGAAAATCTGTTCTTTGTCTTTGCATATATTAAAGCTCTTGTTTAATTTGCACAATTAATGCATTTTAAAGTAGGGTTTCCCCTGTCTAGACCTATACAAGTGCTGAAGATTGTTTTGCTTCTTCAAGTGGAGCATGACTCACCATCATATTTGTATTCTACTATCCTATTTTGCAGCACAAGCTACCATTTTTAGAAACAGCCATCTTTGTCTTGTCTTTGGACATCTGTGTTTAATGAAGTCAGAGCAGTTAAAAAGCTATTTCTTCATTCTTTTTGTGCTCTTGATTGTGTACTTCTGTTGATTCTGACATGCTTAACACACTGTGTATACCTTTTTTTTTTTTTTTTTTTTGACACAAGCATTTCTTGTATCTTACTTAATTTCCTGTTTGTATGTTAAACCCAGTGACTGGACCAGGTAAGCTGTTGAGGTTCAGGAAGGGAAACTTGTGTAGCTCTAGGTGTTCATTTCTTGTCCAGAAATAAGCTGGAAGTACTCATTTTGAAAGATCCAAGCCTAAAACTCTTCTGGCAGCAATACAAAATGCCTCCTTTTGTGTGCTTTCCCTTGCATCCCATCTGCTTCTCACACCCCGTGTCCTTTGCATTGTCTAGTTTAGTATTGGTTTCTAACACTCAGTGCCAGGCTAATCTTCCTTCAGGTGGCATTTGTGGCATACTATATATACAGGACCATGGGCAAGCGTTTTCGCTGATTGAAACCTCAACATCTCATCTTACTAGGTAGTATAACTGGTCCAGGACCTTTCTAGATCATCTCTATCTATCTTTTTTTTCCACATGGGCTTAGCTGAACTTCCAATGACTTCAAATTCTAGTCCTGCATAATAGCATCAGCAGGAGGTCTCCTAACATGCAGACCACCTAGGGCTATATAAGTTGGTTTACCCTCAAGCCCTCAGGGAGTAGCAATGCTACTCAACAGAGAAGCAGTGCTTCCCAGCAGCTGCAGATGTCTTGAAAAATAATGCATTCCTATACTGTATAGTATAATGTACTGGGTTTCAGTCATCTTTAGACTTCACTGGGGATGTATACGCAAAAGGTTGGAAAACACCATTCTTCTTAATCTGTTAGTTCATTTCCACACTCCGTAAGTCTATAGTCAGAATTTTTACTTGTTCTCTGTCTTAAAGTTTCTCTCTTTCTGATGTTTGGTGAGAGCAGTGTGACATTTCCATTGTGCACATTTCTGAACTGGTTTTCATGTTACTAGGTGTACCTGGGGTATGGAGGCAAACTGTGTAACAGCTTCAAGGTCTGTTTGTGAACAGCTGTTCTGTGTTGGCAACCTGAACCAGGGCAACCATTTCTCAACTGAAACAATGGCCATGCAGTCTGCATCTGTATGTTGTTTGCAGTATTCAGTTTGAATACTGGCAGTAGAAGATGAAAATATATAATGCAATAAGGTGCTATTTAACAAGAGAACAGAAATAAATGGTGTCTGGTTTGTATTTGTGACCTACAGCCTGGTAGTGTCAATGTAGTAGGTGAGGGTTGGTTAGATTTCACATAACTGTCCTCTTGGTGATTGCTATATTTGCTACCTGTACTTTTAATTGCTTCAACTTTGTTTCTTCTAGGAAAAACAAAATGAAGGAACTAGTGTCAAACAGTACAACCAGTATATCTCAAGCCAGGAAAGCTGTGGAGCAATTAAAAATGGAAGCATACATGGATAGGATAAAGGTAAACTTAGACTTACCATTGATGTTTTGCATTTACTCACTAGTTTGTGGTACAGCTTCCCTTTAATATCGCAGAAAGACTCAAAAATCTGTGTTGAGCTATAAACCAATATTCAATACTGTGAATTAGTTACATGCTAATTGCTTGCTTCTCACGAAGTGATTTCCAGGGCCTGGCTTGTAGTCTGCTTCTGTACGAGTGCTTTTTATGTCTGTCAAAAATTGTATTTTGTGAAATATTTAAGATCAACTGGCAAGCACAGGTGTTTGTCTTTGTCATCTGTGGCTGAATGCTAGAGTTTCAGGTTTCTCAGTTCTTTAAGAACTGGAGTAATTCTTTAAGCTATTGCAGTATTTTTGAATAATGATGAGACAACCTGAATTGCTTTGCTTTGTTTGATTCAGCAAAGCTGTCATTGCACAAAAAATATGTATGATTGCAATGTTCAATTATGATTCTTCACACTGTTGTATGTGAAGATTTGATTTTATCATGCCTCTAAATGTGTGAGGATTAAATATTGTAACTAAAGGCACTATTAAACAGAGGTTCTCAACATTTTTAACCCAAAAAGCCTGTGAATTATTCTTGCCTGTCATTCTGCTTTCCACTAGCCTAAAGTTTTGTGAATAAATCAAGCACCTAAAACGTAATAATGTCATGGAAAGTTTTAAGAAAGCAACACTCATCTCTTGCATGCGCTTCCACTGTCTCTGAAAATGGGGAATAATTATGTGGATGAAAAGTCCTCACAAGTAAGAAGAGTTTAGAGATGGAAAGACTTTAGAAGCACGAATGCATATAGGTAATCAGGTTTTCTGCAGATAACTGAGTTGTTACAAACTGTAACCGTTTTCAACTGAGGTTACAAACTGAAGACAGTTTAGAAATATTGGACATTAAATTCTTCATGTAATTTAACTCATATCCATCCATCCTGTGTGCTGAAATTCTGCATGCAGTCGTACAGAAGGCAAAAGTATATAATTATTATTTTAAAATAGTATCAGATCATGAACTCATTCATTAGAAATATTGTATTTTTAATTCAGAAATATTAGTGCAGTTCACATTAGCAGTCATCTTGCTTATATGAAAATAGGCATTTTGGTTGCTCCATTCTGTTGCAGTTTTTAGCAATGTCTTGTAAGTCCATTGAGTTTGCAGATCTGTAGTTTCTGTCTTGTATAGTGTCTCGACAAATTGATCGTGTAATAGATGGCTGTTCACAGGGACAGGTATTTCTATTTCCTTCAATAAGGGAAGGTCTGCCTTTTCGGTGTTCAGTGGGGTTAGTCCCCTGATTCAGGTCACATGCAGCTGCACAATTGACAAGAAGGAATAGGTGTGGGTGAGTGGCAGAGGAAAGGGTTGTGAAAATATGACCCAGCTTATTGGAACTTGAAACTGATAACACTTAGTAGATTGTCTTAAACTTGCTTTTATCTAATCAGGAGTAACTTTCACATAGCACGTCATTAGCTCAGTTATGCAGATAGCTTCATTAGTTACATGTATAATGTTCTTAACTGCATATGTAAGAAAGACACAGGTTATTCTTACAGGTAGTTTAATTAAAAAGCCACAATTATTAGCAAGTGTGGTAGACCTAAAAACCAGATACGTTGAAAGTACAATTGGTTCACCTTTCAATACAGCATGGGTCCAAAAAGGTGCTAAAGAAAATATGATGAGTTTCAGTATTCTGAGAGTGCCTGTACTGTTGTAAACAAAGTACAATTTGCAAAATGTTTATGTCTTGTGTCCTAGAATTTCTTTGAACAAGTATATGAGGGTTTGTAACAAGGGGTTGGTTGGCTTTTTATTCCCTCAAGATCTGTTTTTCTTTTTGATCTTGAAATAGTTAAGTGTGTGTTTCAGTACAGCCAAATTTTACCAGGAGACTTTCCAGTAGTTTCAACAGCAGATTTTGAGTTCTTGGATCATAACTGTAAAGTCAGAGAAATGAACATTAATCCCTTTTTTTCTGGTGTCATGCATCTGCTTAAACCAGTTAGACATTTAACAAAAGATCAGTGTTTTCCAAATAATTTAATTAAACACTGTTTTGCAAAGTAGCTATAGCTAAGTGGTTATTCCCATAATAGACAAGACCACATTGTTAGCATTAAAAAGGTGCCTGTATTATCAACCAGGGAAATCAGAAGTTCCAGCTTTATTTTTTGCTACAGAGGCACTTTGTTTTCCATGCACAGTAGCTGCTGTAACCAGCAAGAACTGAGTCTGCTCAATTAAAATCTGGTAGTTACAAATATGATGATAGTTGCCCATTCTTTCCCCACTTTTGTTCTGGATTTTTCATCTGATTTAAAAATTAGGTCCTATAACAAATCAGAGCAGCAAGCAGTGCAGTGTTTTGAGGTTCCACAAAGATAGCTTGCTGTTGAGGTGTGAAAGAAACAGTTTAAAAGGGGAGAGTGAAGTTACTGATGTATTGATTGGTAGCTGGAAGGTGTATTACTGTGGTGAGTTTTTGAACCTAAGAAACTCAGAATGACTGTAAATTAAACCTGCCTTACTTCACTGCAGGAATGGATAGAATTATAATGGAGAGGTAAGTAGAAAGCAGGAGGTGCAAATTCCAAGCTAGGAAATATCAAATGAAATCGAACAGTGGCCTCATGACTAGTAGGATAATGTTAGTAGTAAAGTTGAGAAAGCAAAGATAATATTGGTGCTTTATCAGACTTCTCCCCAGAATAAAGCACTATTTGATCTTCTCTTTGCAAGCAAAAAAGCAAGAAGGAGTGCTCTGACATTTAAGAATCTTGGTGTACCAGTTATTATTCCATTTTCTTTTTTCTTAAGAAGGTAGAAAATATTCCTAACTGATTCTGAATAGTGTTGGGAGATAAGCAATAGAATTGCCAGTAAATTGTGTGTGAATCTCTTTGTTTTAGATGCAAAGGATAAGCAGAGTGGGTGTTGTAGCAAGAATGGTAATTAGTCACAATCCATGACAAGACAGATGACATCGTAATTGCAGCATTTTGCCCTGTCATGGAAGCTTATAATTATTAGTGCAGCTAACAGGATTATGTTCTAACTTTGGCTGGTTTTATCACCTCTGTTATTCTGAACTATAATGGTAAAATTCCACAGTCCTCTTGAGACTAATTCTTTGAACCATCAGGCTTGAGTGTTGTGTTGCGGGGTATTTTTTTTCTTTCGGCAATTTGACAACCGGATGTATTTTTCACTACACAGAATAAAAATAATAGTATAAAGTGTGAGGTCGGTGTGATACCGATATACTCCATCCCTTCTGCCTATGTACTTTAACAGATTAAAAAAAAAAATAAATGTTAACTTTCTGTTAGAATTCATGAATCAAACTGGAGTCTGATTTTTTTTATTCAGCCACTTCTGCTATATATAAAAATTACTTTGAACCCTCAGACCAAGCTGTATTGCATAGGAGAGCTGAAATGATAAGTGTGCTAGCTTCATTGGAATATTCAAAATACATCTGTTTATTTTAATTCATAATAAAAGCTATTCTGAAACTGTGCAGCAGCATTCAGCTACAAATAACCCTAAAGGTGAGTAAAAGCTGTGATAGAGTGGCCTTCATGTAACCTCCTCCATGACACAAATAGGATGATCGGCACATTATTTTGTACAGTAGCAAGCTACCATGTTTGCTAGGAGGCAACCTTTGCATGCTGACATACACTAATGCAGCCGTCTCTGCTGTAGCCCTAATGTGATGCTCAATGCAGAGGTCTTCCGCCACTCTTGTTTGGAATAATAACACTGAGCAGGAAACTTGCTGGAGGCAACATTGTGTTTAGGTTGTGGTTTTTTTTGGCCACAGTTCTGACTTCGTTAGCTGTGCTCACAGCCACCTGAACCAGTGTTTTCATTGCTCCTGGAATGTGGTCAGCTAACTTAACTCCCCATAGTGAGTGGTCATTATTCCACTGTGCAAGCCCGAGTTACTCCTCTTTTAGTGAAGAAATGGCCGTAATTTGCATGTATAACTGCTGTAATCCCAATGGGAGGATTTCTCCTCCCAAAGCCTTTTATTTTTGATTAAAGGACGAAAATACAAGACCTCGTACAGGTTTAGTTTGCGGAAATATGCTGAAATGTGATCTCGTTCCTCAGTTCCTTGTTGCAGGTTTGTTTTCTACTAAATAATACTATTTAGTAATACTGTTTATCAAAGCAAACTAATTTGTGATTTAAGCACTGTCATATTGAAGAAGCAGTTTGCTCTGCTTCATGGCTATCCTACTAGCATTAGAGGACAAGTTAGATACAAAACATAATGCAGTGCTTTTGCTAGTGAAAATCCTTTTTATTGTTATATGATGTCAAAGCACAGTAATCTGTAGAGAAACAGAAAATGATACTATTGGGTTTATCCCTTTGAAGACTGATGACTGAAATTGTACTTCTCTTCCATCAAATGAAAACCAATATGCTCAGGCTGTCGTTGCTTACTCACGCATGGGACAAAAAAGATAGTTGTAAGAAGGTCGGTCTGTTGAAGTCCAGTGTTGGTTCTCTGTTCCTATAGGGGTCAGTCTACTTGAAAAGATTGTTGGTTTAATGTGTAAAATAGCTATTTATTAGGTTGATAATTGAAGATGAAATGTGCTGGGCATCTTAATGACCCCTGTCTCTGGGACTCAGAGTATTGAACTACCTTTACATTAGGTTTTATGTCACCAGTGTTTTTTATGACATAGCACTGAAAACGTCAGAACTTTCTTGTAAGCACCTGTGGCTCTGAGCTCAACTTGCTCTGTTTGAATGCAAGAGTTCGGGGCCAGCTAATAAATTAATTAGAGCATAGAACACTGAGACATGCAGCTGTGCTCGCAGGAGAATAGAAAAGTGAACATATGTGTGCTAAAGAAAATAGGAATGTATAACGGCAATATGAATCAATTGCCTTTACCTGGAAATACTTTCCAAAATGTTGTGGTGGTACATTCCTCCTGGAAACATGCTAACTTCCTCTTCAGTAGATGCATTCTATTCTAGTTTATACCTTGTTGAGGCATAGAGTAAATCATTAGCAAAGAAAAGTACATTTTCTGTCTTTGATTTTTTTGGGGCTTGATAGGAATTTCGTAGTCAGTCTACATTGTGCCTTTCTTTGGAGAACCTGCTTTTTTTAAATTCACAAGTAAATTTTAATGAAAATTGGGACTATGATAGGATTCATAAGTTTTCTATTTGTTCATTACAGTTCTACCTCTCTATTTTAGACAATGCCCTCACACCTTAAGCCTCATTCTTTTGCCACAGCGTAGCAAGCAGCCTTCAGTAGTCTGAAAATAATTACAATCCTTTCTCTGTACTTCAAAGTCCATGATTTTCCACACGCTTTTGTCTGACATGCTTCTCTTCTGAGAAGCACTGGTCCTTCGGAATACCTCTGCACATCAGAGCAAATCAGCTCAGTCTTCTGCTTTGCATTGGCCCAGCAATATGTTGTTCACATGTAGCCTGAACTCTTTTTTTCTTACAGGCCAGTTCAAAGGCAAACTAATTTTAAGTAACCAAAACCCCTTGCTTCCTCTGCTAGGAGGATAGTCTATACTGGGATGCCAACCATAGGTACTTTATGGGTTTAAGCATTCTACAAAGGCGTGTTTCAGTGGATATTTAAAAAAGTCAGTTATTTTGTTCCAGAAGTTAATTTAAATTACATGCAAATCCTGACCCAACACCCTTGACTTCAGATGTCTAATCTTAAGCCTACTATAGGCTGAACTTGCCAAAGCAAGCAGGGTATGGGGAAGCCAAAGCTAACACACCTGCAAAAAAAATACCAGAAACCTGATTTGTTTTTCCTTTTCACTATAGTTGTGTGAATGTGCTGACCCTGGGAGAAGCTGTCACTTTGTAAAGACTTCCTATCTCTTTTTCTCAACTGTCATAATATTGAAAACACAGTAATTAAAGCAAAGAGATACAGGGAGTTGTAAATATTTTACTGACTCAGCAGAGCAAAAATGTTTCATATATGTATTTTAAATTTTTGAAAAATTGAGTCACAGTGGCCTAATGTCACTAATATTAGGCCACAAAGCTGCAAAGGTTACAAGATTTCAGCTACAGCTGAAATGGTTTAATATTTCATTTTTCATTTTGTGGAAATTGTCTTGTATGCCAACCCACTGTTACATTTCTGTAGGACTTTTCAGTAAGCATTAACCAACCTGCTGAATTTGGAGATGTTAGAAGTATAAAAAAATTAAGGTAATGCTCAAGTTTAATTCTATGATTAAAATAGTACTTATAATAACTTAACTAAACAGAAGACATCAGTCTGACTTCATTGAAAAGAGCAATATTTAGCTTAAATGAGAGCTACGACACGATGGTCAAGTTTGGCTTCTGATTTCCTCTTTCTTTTTAATCCCATGGTCGTGTTTAGAGAACTTTTGTTTTGTATCTGGAGGAGCAAAGGGTAGAGAGATTGTTTATGGAAAACCTTACATCCAGTGGCTAGGAAACAGCTGAAGCGGGCAACCTCTACAGAAACATAGCTTGAAGGAGAATCCCTGTTGTTTATGGTCCATTAGCATATACATGTGTCATGGTTTAACACATTTCAATGAGTGTATGCTTCTGACCTTCCTTCTGATGGAGAACAGCTGAATGCAAAGCTTATAAATTGATACCATCTAATGTCACTATGTTATATAAAATATACGTAAGGATTAGTAAGCCTAGTAAGAGCAAATTCAGAGCTGTGGTCTCTTGTAATTTGGAGGATAAACTGATCTATTTTATGACAGCCACTGTTACTGTATGTTATATGAAGAATATTTATGCAATGCGGATTGGTTCAAAAATTTTTACAGTAGTTTTCTCTTCTGTTAGGTATCCAAGGCTGCAGCAGATTTACTGGCATATTGTGATGCTCATATTGGAGAAGATCCTCTTATTATTCCAGTGCCTGCATCTGAAAATCCCTTCAGGGAGAAGAAACTCTTTTGTACTATCCTCTGAGTGGGTTTTCAATTAAAAATGCCTTCTGCTAAAATTTGGTGTCAGTGTTGCATGCTTTTAGTTTTAGCACTTTTTTCTTCAGATATCAATACTTAGACTATAACAACACTATTTTTAGAGGGTACTGCATTTTCTGGTAAAAAAAATAAAAAAAATCTGAAAAATTCAAGGTAATCCTTAGCTTTCAGACCAATGGATAACTTGAATTTCAGTTCTTCATATAGAGTCTTTTGGTCTAAATGAAAGCATTGAGTACAGTATCGAATTGTAAATGTCTTTGCCAGTCATAGATTTTTCTGAGACCTAAATGAGTCATACCAATTCTTAAGCTATTTTTAACCTTATTACTTTCTTTGGAAGGTGAATTTAATTCATTTGCCTTTACAGATTTCTATCTAAAATGGGTAGCATGACCTTTCCTCAAGTAGCACTATTTAGGAAAAAATCCCAGTGATTTATGATGTTTGGAATGGTCAGTCTTATACAGTAGGTGGTGTTTGTAAATTTTTTCTGAATACTGTAATAAACTTGAGTACAGAAACAATCTTAGTAAAGGAACATTGTAACTACAAGCAAAATGAAGATGTATAGTCACATACTATCAATAAAACTGTAGAAAAACGTGGCTGCTTGTATTTTGAATTATATTGGTTTAAATTGTTTTAGAAAGTGAAGTGAACTGTAATACATCAGCTGTTCTGCAGCTCTCAGTGGAGGTGGTAAATCTGCCCTGATCGGTACAGGGAGGGGAATTACATTTTCTAAGCACCTCTCTACATGCTTTTGCCCACAAGAGCAAGACTTTGTGGGAATGGAGAGCAATGGTAAATTAAAGTTGTTCTAGGATGTGCAGTGAGACCACTGCCATTGACACGAGTATGTATATTTTGTAGCCCCAGGTTAGTCATGAGATAAGTTATCAGGAAGTCATTTATGGAGATTCTGAGAAGGTGTTTTTGGTTTGACTTTGTTTAAAGTGCAGTGAGAGGAAATGAATGGGGTATGGAATATGACTGTTCTGCCTTCTTCAATAAGTAGAATCAAGTCCAATCAAGGCATCTGATGGAAACAACTGTTACATTATAGACTTATCTTTTATTTTTTTTAATTCTCCTTAAGAAAAGTGAAAGCTCCTTTCTGGTCTGATCAGGAGAGTTCTGTCACTGCAGTGCTTTATACGTACACTGTGTCAATGTACTGGAAATGTTACTTCTTAGAAAATCTGGTGGAGATAGCCCTACACCGAAGGCAGGAGACAATTTCATTGGAGAACTATATTGGTCTGACTGACCCCAAAGTACACACACCTGCTCCAGCTTATGTTTAGCAGTTTCCATAAGTATTTTTTGTACTGGTTTGTGCAATGGAAATACAAGAAGTCTGCACTGTACTGGTTTTGTTTTCTTTGCCAATCAACATGAATAATGTGCTGCACCCAGCTGCCAGTCCAGTTACATGAGATGGGTGGCTTGGACTGTGGTTCTGCAGCCGGACAGCTCATCCACCATGTGTGTCTAACATGGAACCTCCATCTCAATTCCTATAGTAGTATTGTGGGAAAAATGATATTCCTTCTAACCAATAGGCTTGTGGGCTGTCTTTCATTTAGAGGTTTGGGTTTTAATTTGGCAGCTGAAGACAGCAGTAGTCGAGTAGACACAGGACTGCTGCACAGTGCTCTGAAAAACATTCAAATCTCTTGGACAGGTCCTGGCTTGGTTTAGCCTTGGTTCCTATTTTAAAGTTTTCAGCTTAAGATTCTTACTCCTGGCTTTTAACGAGAATATTTCTTAATGTTCAGCTTTTTGCGGGGGCTGGAGAAATAGGCTTTAGCTAACTGAGTAGCTGCTTTATTGACAGTGAAATAAAAATGGCTTTCTGAAAATATTTGTTAAAAAGGAGCAACAAAATGCTTAATAAGGTTCTTCAGGGAATCCTTCCTACACTGTACGTGATTTGGTAAGCGCTCTAATCACCATGGCAACGTTTCCATTTGTCCTTCTGCATGTATGGTTTTAACTGGAACAGCATGGGAGGGGAATATAGGGCATACAGCTTTATTCTCAAAGGTTTTGTAACAACTTGCATTTGTGGCTCATCATTAACATTCCCATCTAAAATAACAAAATTGCCACAGCTTATTACAGTACCGCAAACAGCTTGCTCTCTGTTTCCAATTAGCATTAGCATCGAGCTCCTGAGATTGAAACATTTCACAGTAGTTCTGAGCAGTGCTAGCTACAAGAGCTGCATTTGCAAAATTCCTGTGTTATTATTCACAAGGGGGGAATGTCATTGGTTTGGACTTAACGTTTTCTCCAAGATTACACTTCAAGTAGTTGTGAACGTGTTGGACTTACGTTTCTAATAGCCAGTTCCCATGTGTGTGGTTTCTTTCATCAGTTCATAGCTTTGATCAGGTAAAACATTTTGTATGTTAAGATGTTTTTGTGTTTCTAATTTTTAAAAAGGAAACACATAGAATAGCATGAATTGCATATTTGTTTTAGCAGATGTCTGTAATGTACCTGAAGAGGTTAAACTATGGAAGCTTAGCTCCTTAGTGGAAAACAGGACAGATTGCTCTATCACCAGGCCTTATCTACCAGTTCCTTGAATGAAGATCTACTACTGGTGGGGGAGCACTCCTGGAAGATCAACAGTTCAAAATAATTATAACAGTTTTGCATCACATTGAACGTGTGGCTTTATTCAGTAACACCATCAAAATCCTGACTGTCTGAAGAGAATGGTGTCATTTGGGTTTTCATATGCCAGCCCGATCCACAAAAGAACATTAATGTCTTCTTCAGTTCCTCCAAACTATAAAATGCCTTTGTCATTATTGTATTTTTTGCTGCTTTGACCTTTGAGGTGGTTTAGATTAATCTGCTGTTGATGGTTGAGTTTCATGCTCAAACATCTTCCCTCAATCTCTACACAAAGATACCGGAGGATTCTTGGACATTTTTCTAAAACTGAATGCACGTATCATGAAGTATCGCACGATTTTAAAAACCAGTGCCCTCTCAAATGGCTCTGTCTGACAGGTTTGCTGTAGGCTGAAGCAGTGAGGTTTTATCTTCATCAGACGGTCTGATTTGATTCCCACTAACATCAGTGAGAACAAGACTAGGCCTGTCACCATCCTGGCGTCATACTCCTTTCTCTCTGTTTTGTTTCATATGCCATTAGGTTTGTTGCTTTGTATTTCAGGCCTGGAAAATAGCACATGTTCCCTGTTAGCAGTGCGAGTTGGGGCTGTCGTCTCAGAGAATGAGAACTTCAGAACTGAAGTTGGATTCCAAGAGTTTTTGGCATATTATTACCAATACTTTTTTCATATGCCCTTGTTTGCTGCTCTGATGGAATGAGACTTCCCAGTGATGGATTAATGGTAAATGCTAAAGTGTCAGTAGCACTTGTGGGGCTGGCTGTTTTGCATTCCTCAGATTAATCTCCTTGGTTTACCTTGAATGTTAAATGTTATCATTTCCATATTAAAAACTATTTCCCTTCTCTCTATTATGTATTAAATCCCTCTTCTTTGTTTCCTGAACCACGTATTAAATTAGTAGCAGGGTGTTTGGCTATTGCTGATTGATAGGCAAGATTTTAAAGCTAGTCTCTACAAATTTATGGTTGAAGGAGGGCAAAAAAATGGAAGGAAGTTTAAATCACGCTATTCTAGGTCACGCTGTAGAGTAAAATAAATACAAACTTTGCTGTCGTGACATGAAGGTAAACACAGGAGCTGTTGCCAACTGATTGGGAAGGACATCATAACAAAGCATTTTTGTAGTGACTTATAATAGGATCAGCTCCAGCAGAAGGAAAGAACTCTTTAAGAGTAGTGGTCTGTAAAGGTGTATATTAAAGCCTGGAACTTGGATATGCTACTCATTTATCCAGCTGGATATCTGATACCAAAGGGGTAGCAAAAGATGTACTTTGGGAGGACCTGATTATATAGTTTTGCCTGTCTCATTGTCTTCACTGTACAGGGGCAAAAAAATCCGTATGTGATTCTCCTAGAAAATACTGTAGTTACAAGCTCTCCTTTGGGTCTGCATCAGGATCTGGATTTGTTTCTTCAAGGAGACTGAAGAAAACTTGGGGGAGGAGTAGTTCCTAAGAAACAGACATTTCTTGTCCTGAAAGCTAATAATATTTAAAGTCATTAGACTGACTTAAATAGTACTGTGATGTGTGAAAAATAGTGGGCAAAATTACCAGCATAAGTGCTATATAAAATGCTACACCTGCATATTTAATCTTTTGGGAGAATATTTGGAATAAATATTGTACATTTGCATCTAATTGAATTCAGTTTTATGGCACTATCAAATTAAGTACAGCCATAAATACCAGAACCGGTATGGGAGCAACTTTTTTGTCTGTTAGAGGAAGATGTACGTCTGAGTTTGTCAAGTGCATTTACACCACTCACGCTTGTGAACAAACAAAACGAGCAGCTTTACCCTAAAATAGGGGTTTTTCTTTCCCACATGTCTGTTACAAGGAGAAATTGCACAGGATCGTCTGTTACTGCCACCTACTGATAAAGTCATAAACAGAAAAAAGTACCAGCATCAGCTAGAAACGACCTCAAAGGGGGATGCTCAGCTAATACACATACTCTCAGGAAGAGCGAGCTGGCACTTCTGTTCCGATGTGTTGTGTAAGGTGTCACCTGTCACTCTGGTACTGCTGGGATGTGGTTCAACCTCACACTTCAGCTCCGGATGTCTCTGTTTACAGGAAGATGAAAGTCAAATGCATGATTTGTTTGAGCAGATCACTTGCCTAGCTAAAAAATACTTTAAAAGTTGTGGAAAGCTTTGGGTGTATCAGTTGCCATTGCTCTGAACTCCCTGAATTTCATTTTCCAGTTTGACATGTAAGTTGGGACAGCTGTTCCTCATTGACAGCATTCTGCCACTTGTGCCATCGCTTCTGCCTTTTGCTGCCCTGAGTCAGTGATGTGAATGCAAAGGACAGTAAAGCCCGTGGCCAAGGGGGCCCCCAGCACAGCCAGCCCCTAATAATTTCTCCCGTTTGCCTTCCTCATTGCAGAACTGTAAAACAGCTTTCATGTGACTGACTAGCTGAGCTATTCCT